ATCTAAGGCCGCTTCTGCTTCTTCATGGGCCTTTTGCCTTATCTGAAGCCATTCTTGAATTGACGGAACTTTTGATTGTGCGAAGTTTGTCGGGAGTGCCTTAGAATGTGAGCCGAACATGAGAAAGAACGGCAAATATTTTGTCGCGGAATATTCCCGATTATTGAATGCAAATTCGAGGTTGGGGATGTAGTCGGCCCAATCGTGGGGATGGGTAGAACAGAATATCCAGAAATATGCTTCGATTTCCCTATTCATGCGTTCAGTTTCTCCATCGGTTTGTGGGTGATATGCCGTGCTCATTCGTCCTTCTACACCAGTTAGCTTCCATAGTTCTTTCAAGACGAGGGAGTCAAATTGAGGTCCTCGATCGGACAGGAACTTGTCCGGCATTCCAAATCTCCAAAAAACGTGGTTGTGGTAGAACGTTGCTGTCATTGTCGCGTCCGTCCTTTCTGTGCAGGGGATTATAATTACCCCCTTCGTAGAGTCATGGTCGACCACGACCATTAAGGATGTGAAACCTCGCAAGAGCGGTAGTGCGGTGATGAAGTCACATGTAACGAATGCGAAAGGCCTAGCTCAGTGGGTTGCTCGTATCGGTTGCAGTGGTGGAGTGGTCGGATGAGTGTTGACTTTCATCTGCTGGCATGCCACGCATCATTGGACGTAACTGGACACAAACAATCGTATTCCTGGCCAGAAGAAGTTACGCGTCAGTAATTCCGCTGTTTTGAACCGTCCGAGGTGTCCAGACGCTAGGGCATCATGGTAGAGTTTTGTGACCTCTCGGCGAAGTGCAAGGTTAGATGGTGCATAGCATCGGGATTGGTAGTATAGGACACCGTTATTTTTCATCCAATCATCCATGGTCATCCGTGTGGGAAATGGGATTGCATTATTCTGCATTGCCGTACGGACGGAGTTTGCATAGTCATCTGTTCGTTCCGTCTTTCAGATGCGATCTAGTAACACTTCATCAGTATTTGCCGTAGTGAAGTGTTGCAGGTCATCCGATTGCATGAGCAGAGATTGAGCGATGTGCAGTGAGCAAATGTTTGTTTCCGCAAAAAGCGTGTCTGGCAGGAGGATTTGGTCAACATTGTTGTCTGCTGAGTGTGAGGGTCCCAAATTTTGGGTAAGAGTGTCTGACTGCACGAGTTGCGAACCCGGGCAATGATGGAGTGTGAAGTCAAACTGGGAGAGGAATAATTGCCATCTTGCTTGTCTCCGATTGAGCCATCTAGCTGCGCGGAAATATGTCAAGTTCTTGTGATCAGTCAATATCTGGAGTGGAAATCGTGTTCCGAGGAGGTAGTGTCGCCATGCTTCCAAAGCTCTGACAATGGCAAGAAGTTCACGATCGTAGATCTCGTAGTTTCGTTCAGCTGGCAGGAGGGATTGAGAGAGATAGGCGATTGGATGCCAGTCTCCATTAATATCCTGTTGGCAAAGTACTGCAGCAGTTGCAACTAGTGATGCGTCACATTCCAGAACAAACGACTTGGTCTGGTCTGGCATTAGTAGGGGGTACTACAGTGGCCTACTCCCACCACGATCAAACAAGTACGAGGATTTCTAGGCTTCGGAAACTTCTACAGATGATTCATCGATCACTACTCTGATATTGTACGGTGTCATGCACCATAACTATAAGTATGGGAAAACTAAAGGAATAATAGGTATTTAAATCAAAAAGAAACCGCTTACTCAGAGCTGCAAAGTAAGCATAAACGCTTAAGCTTACTAAAAGTGAATCAATGACTAATAATATGACTCAGCTTCTTAGTAATCTAGAAACTATGCTTAGTAAAGGTCTATGCTCAACAGCTATGAATTACCAAAATATAGTAATACTCTAACAAACATTAGTAATAGCTTACCAATACATTAGTAAAACAGACAGAAGGCTGACTAATACAGACAAAATGCTTATTAATAAAAGTAGAAGTAGCTTAGTAATTACAGTAGAATAGAAGAGCCAGTTTTGCTATTGGCTAAGGAACAACAGGCTGAAAGGTATAAATAGGAGAGGTTCTCTGAGAGCAAAAAGGACACGAACACACCAACCCACCAAGCACCACACACACTCTCAAGGATTTAGCTAGCAGCAAACCTGCAGTTAATCCCCTGAGCTCTTTAGCTCTCAGAGAATAGACTCCTTTCTTTAAAGCCTAGGAAATTCCTTAAGCACAGTAGAGCCTCTGACTTTCAAATAACCTGAAGGGAAACGCCCTTGGTATAGTGCATGAGTTCACTATTTGACTAACCCTAGACTGCGAGAGCTAGTGGCATCATTATTTGAGACTGTGGTACATCTCCTGTAGAGCTTACAGTAATTAGACTAGCAGTAAAGAGATTAATTCTATTCTTGATCTTCAACTCTAAATTGGAAGCTTCAGACTGCTTCAAGTTATACAAATCCTCTAAGGACATTAAATTGTCCTTACTAGCCAAAGCTTACTAAGTTAACCAAGACATTAACTTGTCTTTGTTACCCTCTTATCTTACTTATCTAAAAACACTATTCTACTAACCCAAGTAGCTAGTTCTTAAGCTACTAACCAAACCTTTTTACAGCCCATCTTCTAAGATTCCTTAAAAAAGTCCCTTGTAACAGGCAAGTGAGGCCTTAGAGTACTTAAGCAGATTAGTAGGTGGTCTTTGAATTAGTCCCCCACGAACACCAGGATAGCTTGGTTGAAAGGCTAACCCAGTGAACCCTGGAAAGAAAAGATTGGGAAAACCAAATCTAAGTATTCCATACTATACCCTTCTTGCTTTTAGTTTAGAACAGACCAAACTCCATTCTCTTTTATTAAAAAGTAGCCTTCTAGGGTTTCTCCTAGAATCTTCTTTATACCAAACCTCATTTTTATTTTTACTTACTTTTCTTATCCTAACCTTTTCTTGACGACAACGGCCACTGGTGGATCTTACCAAGAAAGATGCACTATTTATTTGGACCCCGGAATGTCAGAAAGTCTTTGACGAACTTAAACGGTCATTCACCACGGCCCCTGTCCTTGACTTTTACCGGATCCATTTCGATCTTGTTGTGTGAAACAATCATGCCCAGGAATTCTACCTTCTCAACATCGAAAATGCATTTCTTCAGTTTGAGATACAAGTCGTTCTCTTGAAGTTGTTGGACGACTCAGATCGTTTTGCCTCGGATATCTGCCGAGTCTGTTCCGCCGATCAGAATGTCGTCCATGTAAATCTGGATCCAACCTTCAGTGATCATGTCTTGGAATATGTCGTTCATCATGGCCTGGAAGGTTGCCAGGGAATTGCACAGTCCAAAGAACATGACTGTGGGTTTGAAAAGTCCTCGACTTGTTTTGAATGCCACTTTCCATTGGTCTCCTTCTTTGATTCTGACATTGTTATACCCTGACCGTAGATCCATCTTGGTGAAGCATTTCCATCCTTTAATTCAGTCAACGAGGTCGGATATCAATGGTAGTGGATAGGAGTTCTTAATCGTTCCTTCATTGAGATAGCGGTAGTCTTGGCAAGGGCACAGATCTCCGTCCTTTTTTCCGACAAAAAAGAAGGGGGAAGCCATAGGTGATTTGGATGGACGAATGTATCCTTTCTGTAGATTCTCATCGATGAAGTCGTTCATCTTTGATTCTTCTAGTGGAGACAGCGGGTAAACCTTCCAATCCTTAGGGGCAAATTCCGGTTTGAGTTATCAATGGCATGGTTGTAAGACCTTTCTTCCGGAAATCTCTCTGCAGCTTTCTTCTCGAATACCGAAGAGTAGGATTGGAGGTAGTCAGGGAGCGTCGTCTCAGGTTTCTGTGTTTCTGCCTCCTGTGCAAGAGTCATGGCTGGGTTGACCTTCATTCTAATGGAGAGTCCTAGTATTGCTTGTGCGATTGTGGTTGTGACCAGGATGGTATGGATTTCACCGGAGTTCGGTATCCATGCGGCTATATAATCTCCAGTTATTTCGTCATCTTGTTCAATAGTTGTTGATGAGATATGAAAGAGGGGTGGTGCTCCTGGGTCATTCGTCATACGGAGGGCTCGGATGGTGGTGTCTAACATTGGCTGGAACCTGTCGCTTATCCCTGTTGATCCAAAACCTTGGTTTCCTCGATCTGTTGCAAGTAGTCCTTCTACTTCCTGGATTGATGGTTGAGCAATTCTTTCTACAATTACCTGGGCGATGTGGTCGCCCTTGGTGATTGTGAAAGGGGTATTTCTGTGATTGACCAAGATGACTTGTATTTCTCCAGTGTAGTCTCTGTCAACTACCCCTGCTGCGACGTCGATTTCTTTGAGTGCTAATCCACTTTGTGGGGCAATACGTAGGTAGGTGTCAGGTGGAGGTGTTATTCGTAATCCAGTTGGTATCTTTGCTCGAGTATGAGGGGAAATGACCGAGTCTTCTATTGCGGTAAGGTCGTATCCTGCTGCTTCTGGGGATCCTTTCGTTGGAACAGCTCCTCTATCGCATTGAACTAGAAGATGCTCGGTGAGGAGTCTTGCATCGTCAGCAGAGGATACTTGGATGACTCTGCCTTCTGAGTCCGGTTCTTCTTCCATAACCACTTTTCAGGTGGTAAAGTCAAGTATCCCGTATTTCCAGTTAATTCTTGGGTTGTGATGTTGTAGCCAATCGATTCCTAGAATAGCATCTTGCTTTCCTAGGTGAGTAACAAACATTCATTCTTTGGTTTCTTTGCCGCCGATTTGTACCGTGGGTTCTACATAATTCCGAATAAATCCAAGTTGGTTGGGAGTTCCATCGACATTGAATACTGGTATTGGTTTTGCCAGGGGGTATTCACAGAGTTGTAGTTTCCTTACAACTTGTCGGTCGATGAACTTGCCCTGAGCTCCGGAGTCGATGAGCGCATTGATTTTTGTTCCAGCATTTCCTTCCGATTTCATGATAACAGGTAATTTCATTGCCTGGGCCTTCATGTCTGCTACTAGTACAGATAAAATCGAAATTCGAAGAGGTTCAACAGCTGGTGTTGACCTCACTGGGTAAAATTCGGGTTATCGTCTTTTCCGATGCGATTGTAGTAGTGGTCGTAGATGATCCGATCAAGATCAGGGAGTGGGATGGAGCTCAGCATGGCGTCGATGTCGATGCGCGATGGGGTTGTGTGTGAGTCTACTGGGGTTGGATTGCTGACTGCTGGTGGGTGAGGAGAACTTGGATTTCCGTCCCACTGAGTAACTTGGACGTAGGGACAATTTTTGGATGGGTCGCCTTGATAGTTTCTCCAGTTTCCTCTACCTCCTCAACCTCTGCCTCTCTGGTTTCCTCCTCCTCGGTAGGTTCCTCTTCCTTCTGCTTGCCGAGGTTGTCTGCATTCTCTGGCAATATGCCCAAATTTTCCGCAATTGTAGCACTTAATTCCACTTTGTCCTATATTAAGGGCATCTACATTCATAGTGTTAGGGTCACGGGTAGATGATGCCGAGGTGGTTGTCGTGGTTCCGGAATTGGTAGGAAGGTGTGTCTGTCTGTTCTTGATATGCTTGAGAATTCCGAGCTTATTGTCTAGCTCGAGGGCTTGTTGTTGCCACTGGGAGAGGGTGGCATTGATTGGCATGTGGGCTATCAGCTGGCATGCAAGGGATTCCTTTAATCTGCAAAGGTATTGCTGAAGGAGGTTTCTGTCAGCATCTGGGTTGACTATTTCTGCTTCTGCGATCAACGTGTTGAAGTGCACGTTGTATTCGTTGACCGTTTCATGGTCTTTTTGGACAATTTGGTAAAGTTCGACCATGGCTTTGGATTTCGGGTTGGTTGTTTTGTAGGCCTCCAAGAAGTCTTGACGATGTGTGGCTCAGGTGGGCCATCCTTGAAGGAGATATAACTTCTCCTTGACCGTTGCCCATTTTCAGGGTTGTTTCTTTCCCGAGTCTTTCATGAGCGAGTCTGCAAAGCGAATCTTTGCCTGGTCATTTGGGAATCGTGAGGCTTTGGAGAGGAAATACATCTCGCATTGATGGATGAAATCCTGGGCTTTCTCGATATCTCCGGAAAATTTGGCTGGCTTGCCTATTTCTTCCTGGGAGAGAGCGTTGCGCAAGGCAGCAGTGAATGCTGCTAGCAGCTGAGGGTCAATGGGGTTTGGTCCTAGAGCTGCTGGGATTGGTCCTCCTCCGCCTCCAGGTGGTCCTCCTCCTGGTGGCCCACCTCCGCCTCCACCTCCTGGTTGTCCGGGAATTCCTCCTAGAGGTCCTTGACCTCCGACGTGGGCAGCTGCAGCCCATACTGGTGCTGGCGGTGGTGGGTTATGGACGTATTGCAATGCCTGATGTAGTTCAGCTATGGTGGCTTGTCCTTGGAAGTGTGTGCGCTGGAGGAGTTCTTCTAACAGCTCCTCATCAGTGAGGGCTGTTGTTTGTGTTGCCATGTTATCTTCTGGCACTTCTGGTTGTTGATCAATGTTTTCTAGTTCTTGGTCGGTGTCTGAGAGGGCTTCGAAAGTATCCGTGAAGTCGTCTCCTAGGTCTCCCTCTTGTCGGGCTTCGATACGCTCTGCAGGTTGGTCTCTGGTGACCTCGATAAGTTGATCAGGGATTTCCTCGATCGCTTCGGCGTTTGATTCGTCGTCTCTGTGTATGCAGATGACTTCTCTGCACCTGTGCCACTTGTTGTCTCGTGTCCGGAAATGATAGTCTCGTCATTGGCTAGTGTGGTGTCTGTGTGTTCAATTTCGGCACCTTTCCGGTGCAAGTTCAGCACTTCGCTGACTTGTAGTTCTGGTAATGGGGGGTTGGACCATGTACGTCTGGTCACCAGTGAAGTGAGCTTCGGCCTAATGTAAGAGTCGTAGTGTGCAGAACATGGACTTAGGCGAAGTCTGGGAAATGATATAGAAAGTGACTAGTAATACAGGAGGCCGAAGCTAAAGTACACGACATTTCCGGCTGGTATTTATACTAACCTAGCTACTGCGGGATCAGCAGAGAAGGGACAATGTATGTACGAGAATGTCCGGGAAATGGAAGTGGTTCGGAAATAACCCGGAAAGGAATAACTCGGAAAAGGGTGGAACCTTCGAGTAGTGCTATTTATCCGGAGAATAGAGAATAAAAGGAAAAACATATCTCGGGACTACGGACCGATCGTAACACTTGTAGCTGCTTATATGACCCCCACAGCCCTTATAATCATGCATAATCGAAATACTAGCCAATATAATCAATGATAATCATGTTCACACTGGTTATGCCTGGATATTTGTATCCTTCACCGAAGCCTAGCACATTTATAATCACCATAATCCACATAATCGCTTATAACCCAGGCCGTATTTTACTGATGTACTAGCTGCGCGCCAATTAGCACTCTACCTCTTACCTTGACCTCTTCGCGATTTCGATCCACCCCGCGTCGTATGCGACTGCGGCAGCCCTCCCGTCGAACGACTCTCTAGGTACTGTGTTCAGTTTAAAGAAGGTCACGCCGGCGCGAAAGCATTCACAGGTATGTCGTCGAGTTTTGTACCACATATGAATCACTTCTGCAGACTCAATGGCTGTGGACGCTGTGACCAGATGCTGATATCGAACCTTTTAGGATACACGAAGCTCCCATATGACAATCCCGGCCTTTTATAGGTGTTCTACGACAGAAGCATCATGTAATAGGACACGCTCAAGCGATTTGTATGCTGCGCGCACATTGCTCTGTGTGCGTGCGCTCCGTGGTTAGCCAAGGGCCCCTCCTTAGCGATGTGCTGGACGAAATTTTCAGCATACTCAGAGCGGACGAACTCGCGCACTGGTACATCAACAGATGTTTCTGCAGGGACAAGCGGGACCTCTGGGACGTATCCGGAAGGAGATATCTGTACTCCTGGATTTCCTGCGCGAGTCGCTGCACGTGCAGGGCGCTGTCCGTACCTTTCGTCTTCGGATTTCGCCTATTGCTGTCCATGTGCCACAGAAGAACGTCGTAGATCCTGCCTCGCTGGTCGCGGTGTTGTCGCGCCTGCCTCGCTTGGTGTCTCTCTTCCTCGAGGACGTTGTAGTGATGGCTGAAACGCCGCCAATCATGCCCCCAAGCCTCTCGATTCACGAGCTTATCATCGCGTCCCATACTTTCCCCATTCCTGTCTACTTTCTGAACCATACCATATGCAACTTCCGTCGCATAGAACGTCTTCGAATTATAGGCCCGAGATTCCTCTTCGAAACGCATGCCAGCTCCGTCGAAACTGGCAGCAGGAGTCAGCCCGACGAAGAGTCTGTGTGGCCCCTCCTTGCAACCGCCACTCCTGACATCTATGAGGCGAACGTTAGCCATCTATCGAGATTCTTCGAGGTGGCCGGAGATCGGCTGGAGCAGTTTGGATACTCGATGAGGCTGAAGACGCTCGATATGTTGAGTAGGTCGTCACCGGTGCTGCTGCACAGGAATGAGCTAATGCACTTATGGCGTCTAGCACAGTTTCGTTTGTTTGGGGGGAGTCGGTACCGCCCAGGATGATAGTCAATCTTTCGCACTGCACCAACCTTCAGTCGTTCTACATCAGCATCAACTTGTTTTCGGCGGTTCTTGGTGTCGACCTTGAAGAGCCGATATGCTCCATGATATCGACTCCGCAAGCAGGCCCGCGGGATCGGCTCAGACAAGTCATCTTCAAGACTTAAGGGCCATCGAGAATCCGACGCTCCATTTGCGCCACGAGTCTGTCAGTCGGTGGCTGTCTCGGCTCGAAGACATCCTGTTGCAGCTGCGCGATGAGAGGGGGCTGGTCGAGGCCGTATTCTGCTTGCTCGATGGTGCGGACGACGCCGACCTCACCACTGCAAATGCGAACGCCATACGTGCTGCGCTCCCCCGACTAGTGAAGTCTGGGTTGCTGCGAGTGCTGATCGGATGTGAGCTGGTTGTTGCGGACTATAGTGACACTGCCATGCCTGATCCCGCAAATGTCAGGGCACTCATGGGCTTCGTTCCCGAAAGAACATTGGGCTCTCGTTCGTAGACTGAAGAACCAGCATTCGCGCTGTCTCTCGACGCATCGGAGCTGGAGGTTTATTTTATTGTACGAAAACTGTGATTGTATGCGTAGTGTTGCGTGAGCAGATGAGGGCCAGCGCGACAAAGATCGTGTAAAGCGTTCAGCGAGACTCTGAGATGTGGGTTGCACATTTCGCATCGATTCACAGTCCAACAAGGATAATATACATTTACATTTCAACTGGGCAGGGCTTCCAATTAGGGCATACATTAAGTGCGTGCAATCTCTGCCTTCAGAATATCTGCGGCCTGGAGCGAAGAGGTAGATCAGCCATCCAAAAATATATCACGTGCAAACGAAAGCAGCAGACCTTCTCGCCAATGGCATACGCGATGGACTGCGTGTGGCATGAAAGCTCCTAGACAAACAGGTCAACCAACCCCGGAACGAACGTTTGGAAAGCCTCAGCCACGTACGATAGGAACAATGGAACAGTCGACCTGGCGAGCCGCATCATCATCAGCAACACAGCCAAACCAGCCAAGAATCGAGCGAACTCACGACCCGGAGGTTGCTCGTCCCGTACACCTTCAGCGCGGGGTCGACGACGCCGCCGTCCGCGCGGGGCATCATCGCGGCGGTGCCGACAGGGTGGAACACGGGCCCGCAGTTCTGCGTGACGTACTCGCGCAGGCCCTCCTCGCCGCGCGCGAGGACGTCGGGCGCGGGCAGCACCTGGCGCGTGACGGCGCGCGCGAGCGGCGGCGTGCCGAAGAGGCGCAGCGCGTACTGCACGATGCGCACCGCGAGCGCGAGGTCCGCGCCGTTCGCGAAGTAGTTCGGGTCGATCGCCGGCGGCGCGAGCGCGTCCGCCGCCGCGATGTGCACCGTCCCGCGCGAGAGCGGGTGCGTGAGCGCGCAGAAGAGCGAGGTGTACCGCTTGCCGGGCTCCGCGGCCGGCACGTACGGCAGGGGCTGCCGCCCGGCGTACTGGAGCAGCCTGGGCGGGGGTTGCGCGTAAGCAAGGGGGAGGAGATGCGATGGGGAGCAAGGAGGAGCTTACTCAGCCTGGGACTGGCGCTTGTCGCTGAGCAGCCTCTGCTGGATCTTGTACTGTTTCTCGAGGCCTGACTTCAGAGAGGGGATGGCGTTCGCGAGGACCTCCGTGTTCTGGGCATGCGCGTGTTCCTTCCAGGACTGGACGTCGTCCGGAGAGCCGAGCGCGTCTGCGGACAGGAAGACGAACGCTGGAGCAGGGACAGACGCGAAGAGACCCAACTGGTGCTGACTACGAGAACGAGCCTGTTAGAATCGTGGTAGTGATGTGGGAATGCATACTCACTAGAGCTCCTCGTGCTTCTTAAGGAATTGAGCATCCGCAAGGACGTCCATCGTCTCATCGGTGGTGTCAACCTCGACGACGGTCGTTACTCCAACGTGGTCCTCTGCAGCCTGGATGTCAGCATTGGCAGGGATGTCCAAGATACAGACACGCACGCAGGTTCTCCCCCACTCCCGGTAGATCAATGATCGTCTCGATGCCAAACTGCGACAGAATGGACGGGTTGCCGATTCCCGAGAGCTCTAGGATTTGCGGCGTCTGGAGGGTACCTGTGCTATGGCGTGAGTACACAAGCGTCTCTCCGAGTTAGAGAAGCACAGGTACCTCCCGCGACGATGACATCCCGTTTGACGTTGTCGATGCGCAGCGGCTTGCCATCCTTGATGTACTGGATCCCGACGGCCCGCTTCAGGTCGCCGTCCGACTCGAGGAGGACCTGCAGCGCAGATGAGCACCTTTCAGGTGGGGAGTCATACCGAGCATTACCTTCGTCACGTAGGCTTCGGTTAGCACGAGCAGGTTCTTCCGGTGCAGGTTCGGCTCGAGGTAGGCCGAGGCGGCGTACGAACGCTTTGCAGTTGTCGCGTCGACGGAGACGAGGGACGTCATGCAACCGTCGTTTCTTCCGTTACCCTGAGACGGCGAAAGCAGTGAGCACACCGAATACTGCTCCCGAGAACCAGGTCGCGCACCGTCTCGGGGTTCCTGGGGATCCCGAGTGCCTCCGCACTCTCGAACAGCTTGAGATGCAGATCCGCCCAGACTGGGCTGAAGGACTGCTTGATCGGGCCTGGAGCAACGGTCAGCTCGATATCCGGTCAATGCTTGGGTATGTGCGCAGACCATCAGTGCCATGATACTCGGGGTTGGGCTTGGCGGCGTAGTTCAAAGCTTTGGTCGGCGACAGGTCAGGGAGCTGCAGACCTTCACTCTGGGCTGACGTTCAGTTGACACACGCTTCTCGAAGGTGGCATCGGTACCTTCTTCAGATAGTACAACAGCGAGTCCCAGTTCCATCCTGGATTGCCCAGTTCTTCGATGGCATCGATCTCGTCCTTGGATGGGCGGAAGATGCCCAAGAAGTTGTTCTGTGCACGATTAGACGTGTGTTTTGATCAGCCGAGCTCATCACTGACCAGAGAGGAGCCACCCAGGCCCTTTCCTCTCGGCTGCAGCACCACTCGGTCGTTTGCGCGCTTTTGGGGCACGGACAGGAATGTCCAGTCGAACGTGGGGTTGGCGATGGAGCGACCCATGTAGCCTGTATTGCTTCCTTGAACCTGTTGCAGCGACTTGTCGAAAGCGTGTCACGCACCTGGAATGTCTATCTCGGGTGTAGGGCCATGGTGGATGCCTGCTTCAACGACGAGCACGTCAAGGTTGGAATCCTCGGTCAATCTGCCTCGGGACGGTCAGCACAGCGAAGGTACAGGTGATCCGGGGTCGCCTACCGCGCCGCGAGTGTCAGGCCAGACGTTCCGCCCCCGACAATGATGTAGTCGAGCTGGACATCGGCGAGTTCCTCAGGCGTGACGAAAGGCATGGCGTTTGGGTCACTGTCGACGTTGGGCCGGGGCTATAAAAGAGTCGCTGTGCAGAGAACGCGCGTCGCAAGCCGAGGGCGATATGGGGATTGCCTAGTGCAGGGCTCTGGGCAAGCTCTGGGGGCTTCTTAGAGATTCTGTTCTGCGGCATCACCGAGACCGGCGGATTTGTGTCCCAGCTGATGATGCCTACACCATGCGTGCGAAGTCATCGCCACGTCTTGGGAAAGCCAACGACAAAAGCAGCAGGGGCTCTTGTAGACTCGCCAGACGCTTCACAAGGGCAAAGGCGGGCCTCAAGCTGAGAACGGGTCCCTGCACGTTTGTGGCGTTCCCTCCCAGCGGGCGCTTCTACGGTAATCTTGATCTTCCCTAATCTGAGAGATAAGATATACTCACACGATGTGTACGATGCCTGAGGCTGATCAGTCATGATTGGATGAAGGCTTGGGAGTTAGATAACACTCCTGAGCATGCGAAGAAGATGTACAGAATGACAATTGTAGCTAGTGAACCAAGAGGCTTGCGGCATTCTCATCAGACTCTGTCTTTCGAATGTTCAGCGGCTGATGTTTACGCTAACGCAGCGTGAACAACACGTTCCCAATCAGGCTCCTTTTTTCAGCGTGTATCGAAGATGTACCTGCTTATAAGCATGGTCTAGGCTAACATACACCCCAGGTCCCCGCTAGCCCAGGATGTCGTCTTCGCTGAATGAAAAGGACGAGTACGACACCGCACAGGCCGTTCTGTCCCTCCAAGACCTCCGCATCTATCACGAGAAGGCCGCGGGGCGTCTCGTTATAGACCCTGGGTACGTACATCTGCTGTTCCCAGCTGCACATGACCAATGCTCGTCGTACAGGAAGGCTCGGATTGAGTTTGGCGACCATGTCATGGAGAGCCTGAAGATCTCCGTTGACGGGACTAAGGTCCTCTGGCCGCAGCCGTTTGACGACTCCCGAGATCCCCAGAACGTAGGTTGCTCCACCTCTCGTGTCCGCAACCCCAACCTGATTGATAGCATCCAGTGGAGCGATAGACAGAAGAACCTGCAGCTGGCCATCGCCACGCTCGCTGCCGTCTCACCGGATTTCAACGTGGGGATAGGCATAGCTGGGTTGCAAGACATTGCCAAAACATACGGAGTCTCCACCGAGAAGATCACCAGCTTCACGACTTCGTGTGTATCCATCGAGTGCCTAACTTGGATTGGCGTGCGCAAGTTACTGAGCGCACCACAGATGGGCCGTGTTCCTGCTCGGCTGGGGCGGCATCGTCGCTGTAGTGCTCATGCAGCGCGTCGGCCGCCTGCCCGTGCTCTTCTGGTCGCAGCTTCTCGCCCTCGGCTTTCTCATCGGCTGTGCGCTCGCACCGGACCTCGCGACGTTCGCGGCGATGCGGTTTCTGACGTCCGTGTTCTCTGGGGTCCCGCAGGTAACAGGCCTGTACATCGTCAGCGACATTTTCCCGTTCCACCTCCAGGCCCACAAGGTGCGCCGCCGCTTCGGCGTCCCTGGCTGCCATGGGGTTGACCGGTCCCCCAGCTGAACGTGTGGGTGATGGGCTTCATCATCTCGCCGTTCTTCCCGCCGTTTGCCTTGGGCTACCTCGTTCCCCGAGCCAGGTGCGCAGCACACGTCCCTTTTTTTTCCGCGTCGGGTCACGCAAGGCTCATGCTCCGCCACAGCTTCCGGTGGGCGTACGGCGTCGGCGTGATCTACAACGGCATCGTCGTGCTGCTGATCGCGCTGTTCGGCCGCGAGACGTGAGTCGGCCCGCGCTGCTCCACGCGCCTGCGCATGCACCGCACACTCACACCAGATCCTCGCCCCTCCCCAATGCAGCCTGTTCGACAGACGCGACCCCACGGCGTACGAGCACGTCCCGACCGACACGCTCGCGAACCGCGCCAGGACCCTCGTGGGCCTCACCGGCGCGCGGCTCGCGCGGTTCCGCACGCCGTGGCGCGAGCTCGCGCTGTACCCGCTCCGGCTCGTCTGGCGGCCGCACCTGCTGAGCATCATGGTGTACGAGGTATGTGCGCTGCGCTGCGCGCGCGCGTTCTGCTCCGCACGCCCCTGCGGCTGACGCGGCGGGCTGGCAGGGGCTCCTCTTCGGCTTCAGCATCGGCATGAACCTCACGAACTCGCTCTTCCTCGGCCTGCCGCCCCCGCTGGGGTACGGCTACAGCCAGGACGCGATCGCGACGATCTACCTCACACCCGTCGTGCGTCTCCTTTTTTCCTCCGTCTCTCCCTCTCTCTCTCTCTCGTGTGCGCGATGCTGATATGTCCGGGACAGGTCGCCGTCGTGCTCGGGCAGGTGCTCGGGCACTACCTGAACGACTTCATCGTCACGCGCGCGATACGGCGCAACCGGGGTGTGTACGAGGCAGAGTCCCGGCTGTGGTGAGTGCGCCCTCCCCTCCCTCTCTCCCACTCTCGTCGATGAGCGGCGCATGGCTGAAATGGAGCGCGCAGGACGTGCGTCGTCGCGCTGCCGATCTACGTCGTCGGTCTCGTCGTCTCGGGCGCGGCGTTCCAGGCCAAGCTCTCCGTCGGCGCGGTCGTGATGGGCTGGGGCATCCGCGAGGTCGCGGTGATGATCAACACCGTCGCCGTCTGTACGTATCTCCCTTCTTCTTTCGAGGCCTGTCATCAGCAAAACTCACCGCTTGTTCGTCCGGACTCTCCCCTCCCCCCCCCCCCCCCCCCCCTCTCTTCGTGCTCAGATACGTACGCAAACGACTGCTTCCCGCGCTACCCGGGCGAGATCAGCGGACTGCTGAACCTGTTCCGCACGCTCGGCGGGTTCGCGATGCCGTACTTCCAGACCACCTGGGCGCGCGAGCATGGCGCGCTGCAGGTCTTTGGCTGCGAGGCCGCGTGAGTGTGGGGCTGCAGCTGTTCTCAACATCAAACGCCGTTGTTCGCTTCTGATTCCCGCACAGGATCGTCGCTGGGATGTTCTTCATGATCGTGCCTGTCGTGTACCACCTGGGGCCCAAGTTGCGGGTGCGTATTCGGAGATGGCTCCTCGATGGTGTGTCGAAATTTGGGATCTGATCGATCGTTCTCTGCAACAGGCAAGGTATTCAATGTGATCTCTACGAGGTCTCGTTCGCTCTCTCTCTCTTTCTCTTTGGTCTACACTTCTACAATACACACACACGCACGCACGCACGCACAATCACAACCTCGTGACACACCAGATAAGCTGATAGAACGCGACGCCACGCTCTATGACAAGGTCATCCCGCGCCTGCTCGACGACCCGAGCCTCGACGCGCACCGTGCCCCGCGCGAAGACGCCCCCGTCCCAGAGCGCACCCCAGCTCTCCGCGCTGTGGCAGAACATGCGGTTCCCGAGGTAGCCTGGCGCGGGCGGCGGCGCCTCGGTGCGGAAGCCGCGCGCGGGGCGGCTCACGTGCGTCCCGAAGAGCATCGCGCCCCGCACCGGCGCGAGCAGCGCCCCGAGCGCACGCGCGACCGCCGCCTGGTTCGCCTCGCTGAAGAGGTGGAAGAAGTTCGAGGCGTGCACCGCGTGCAGCCGCCCCGCGAGCGGCGCGAGCGTGTGCAGCGCGCGCAGGTCTGTGTGCGGCGGCGTCGGCGGCGCGGGGCCGTATGTGATGGGCGAGGAGCCTATGAAGGTGCTGTCGAGGACGTCGCCCGCGAGGAAGGGCACGGGGAACGTCGCGGGGTCTGTCCCGAAGAGCTTGTGCCCGATGTCCCAGAATTCTGCGGCGAGTGGGGGGGTCAGCGACGGGAGCGTGGGGTGATATGGTGTCATGCACCTGGCCGCAGGTCGGATGCTATGATATTGTGCGCTGGATAACCGTCTGCTATCGCTTTGCGGATGTCTGTTCCGACTGAGAGAGCGCTGAGTCATGTGCGGTGGCACAAGTCATGTTCGCTTACAGCAGCATCCTATGTCCAGGAGCAGAGCATTCTCGTGCTCCTGCGGGAGGGACAGAAGTCTGTCGTAGCACGGCAGCCCCGAGATCTTGAGTCTGGCACGAATCAGTGCACGTATAGCTCGTAGTTACGAACGACTCACCTCACAAAGTCGAACCTTCGTATGCAAGGATACGGGAAGACCTGCGGAGCAATCAACCTACGCTTTTCGGTAGTGGCGATGATGGCTATGCCTTACTTCCACTGCGTCAGCCTGGACACGCAATACGTGCGCTTTCAGCGCATCCAGGTCTGGGAGGCCTGTTACCTTGAGCAAGAAGGCCTCTTCCTCTGGTGTCAGCGCGAAGTCGACGTCCTGTGCAGTCTCCGCATGCCCTTGAATGATCTCTTCGACGTGCGGCTCGGCCATGGTGAAAGTGCTAAGATAACATACACTTGCGCAATCTTGCGTCTTCTAAAGCCATGCACTCCTTTCGCAGCCCTCTCGGACGTTCTGTGGGTTCAGCGCGCACGTCATGTCTGATATCCTACATTGCATTGATCATACTGGCACCGCAGGACGAGATAGGCCCTTTTCCATTTGCCACATGCGCACGTTTCAAACGACCATACCGTTCCTGGTGATGGATAGAGCGGTGAGACTGTGAGCTGGCGATGGACTGCAATACGTGCCAGCGCATAACGGCAGAGATGTCCATCATAAATCTTTCTGCAAAACCGGACTTCCATAGACATTGGGCGGTATTATTCTACCCGAACACAGAGGGCGTGTGTGTGGGGACGCGTATGCATCACCCAAATGTACCTTAGGTTCGAGACCGTTGGAAGCCACAAGGGTGTCGGACACGCCATGAATTGAGAGTTGTTACATGGCCCTTGTGATCCCTTTTGTGGGGAAAGTGTCGCTGACTGCGCTGCATACTTGAGCCTGCTCTCCGATGAGGACGAAGGTTTGCCGGAGGAGGTCACACGGGCGCGGGATTCGCACTTCTCGGAAAGGGAACTTTCCCTGCTGATACTAGGAGGCTGTGGTGCTTTGAGAGGTGACGTTGAAAAGCAGGCAGATGGATGAGAATAGCCTGCGGCGGTATAGGCAGCGTTCTGGCAGTGGGAGAGCCGTTGTCAGCGCGAGGTCAGGGGCAGAAATGTTGGGCGCTCGGAGCTGCCCCGCCACAACGGATCCGGAGGGCGCCGAGAACACCGACGGCCGTGGTGGCAACAAACCGTGATATATCCGAGACACCCTTCCTCAGCTCTTTACGTGCCCACGTCAAATTGTCCTTGATGCGAGGTTTGCAGCAGCTTTGCTCTGCGATCTCATGCATCCTAGCGTGATTATGAAACGTTGGCGGCTCAAATGGTTCCATGATTGCGCCTGGCTGGCGCACCGCTCAACGATAGGCTAGGCTATGGGACAAACGCGGCCAGAAAGTGGATTCACGGAACCGTGAGGTGCAGACGATCTGGAATAGAAGCTCCTGCACGAGCCAATCGGGAAAGCGACGCCCATCAGGAAGATTCCTGGTATGGCGCGGCCGGATTTCCCATGGCGGAGCGGAGCAAAGAGGAGAGCATGTGGTTTGCACGCTGGGCTCGCACAGCTGGCGTCCGGCGGCCTCCATTCACTGCCCCTTGTTCATCAGACGCACAGACGTGATATCAACCGTGCTCTCGCCGTTCGCGTCACCCTCGACTGCCTCCGGCCTCATTGCTCCCAGCGAACATCGCGCCATCGCACCCTCTGGCAGACATATCCATATCGCTGCAGTCGCTTCCCACATCCGACAGCGAGGCATTGGCCGCCAATTGATAGCCCGGGACATCAGCGAGATCAGGTAGGGAGGCGTCAGATGGATGCCTCCGGTGAAAGTCGCATAAGACGGAGACTGACGCCAAACCTTGCAGCGGTGCCTGCTCCTTGCTTCTACCCTTTGCATACCCAGGTGTACATCTCTCAACGGCAGCTCCGTCCATAATGTCGACCGTAACGGAGACTCTCCCAGCGGACATCGCTCCCATGTAAGTCGCCTTGCTACTCGGTTCAAACTACCGTCGTTGACCCGCTATCTGACAGCGCCGGCCCATTGGTAAGCGCACGACCGCTGCATTGTGACCCTGGTTGAGATAGACTTTGTAGCTCCTGGGTTACCTCTTCAACTGGGGTCTGTACGGTGTCCTATCCGTGCAAGTCTGTAAGTATCGTGGACAGCGGTCTAGCACACGATGCAAAGCTGAGCGTGTCCCGCGACAGACCTGTACCATCTCGCGTTCCCAAAAGACAGCCGGGTAGTCAAGGCCCTTGTCTACAGTGTCTTCCTCATCGAGACGACGCAGACAGTACTTGTGACACACGACGCCTTCAATGCCTATGCGAAAGGCTATGGGAACATAGTCGCGCTCGGCTCAGCACAGCTGGAATGGTTGGCAGTGCCTATCTTCAGCGGCATCGGTTAGTACAGCTCTCATCAAACCCTTCTTCTCATGCTCATCCGGGTCAACAGTGAGCGCGACGGTACAGATGTACTATGCCTACCGTGTCAGCGTTCTTTCCGGCTCGAGGGTACTCGGCTTGGGCATCTGCTTAGTGCGTGTCAAAATACGTGACACCTGAGTACCTTGATACTGAATGTATACTTTAGATTGCGCTGTTACAAGGTTCATCTGCGGTCGCTCAGGGTGCTCAAGCCTTCAAAATTGGAAACTTTGCTGACCTGGCGACCGAGGCATTTGCCAGCTGCACGGTACGCCCGCCTTCTGTACAACTGTCAGACAACAGCTCTGCTCACGTTGCCACAACGCAGGTATGGCTCGCGGGTAGCGCGGCATGCGACGTGATCATCGCAGGATGCATGACGTTCCTCGTAAGTTACTGATGCCGTCTGCGGATCTGTTGGCAGATGTGCTGATGCCACCGCGCGAACAGCTTCTGAAGAACGACACCAAGATGCCCGCGACGCACGCCGTCGTGACGAAGCTGGTGCGGCTCATCGTGGAGACAGGCATGCTGACAGGTACGCACGCCTTCTCTATTCTCGCCCCACGCACGCAAACAGGAATTCACCTCTCACCTTCCTCCTTTCCTCCCCCCCCCCCCCCTCCATCCCTTTCCTTCCCTTCTCGCCCGCGCGCACAGCCGTCGCAGCAACGATCGACATCATCCTCTTCCTCGCGTTCCCGCACAACTCGTACCACGGCTGCGTCGCGCTCACGCTCGCGAAGCTCTACAGCAACTCGCTCCTCGTCCTCTTCAACAGCCGCATCCGCATCGTCGGCGGGCGCAACGCGACCTATCCCATCGGCAGCTCGTACAGCTCCGCCGCGACGAAGAGCCAGCCGGGCGCGCACAGCACGTTCCGCGCCGTGCAATGGGGCTCGCACGGCGCGGCGACGACGACGGCAGGCTCGCTCGGCGGCGTGCACGTGCAGGAGGAGAGCTGGATCGGGACCGACCCCGAGTCGATACAGATGGAGGATCAGGTGCGCTTTGTGTTTCTGCTCGTCGGAAAGGAACAACGAGGGCTGACGGTTGAACGTCTGATTTGTGCGCAGTCTACTAAGAAGCCTTCGAGCCTGGCGCCGGAGGTCTAGAAAACGTCTGCTCACGCTTCTTCTCGCCATCCCTTCATTGTCTGCAACTTGGGCCTGTGGAACGCCTGTAATCGGGACGGAATAATCATGGCTGCTGTGCTGTTGTCGTGTTGCTGTAAGCTAGTGTACTATATACTCCCATGTGTAATATGCGGATGTGACAACATGATGGTTGAGACCGCGGATCACGGACCCCTCCCTCTGTACACTTGGTGGACGACTGTCGACGACAACGCGCAGTTTGACATTCCCCAGGTCGTTCGCACACATAAATGCCACATGACGCATTCTGTTACTTCCAAGAAGCAGCAGCAGCAGCAGCATATATATTGCTACGAGACTATGCTTCATAGGAACAACAACAACGAACGGATATATGGCGAATAGTGGGTATACGATACAACAGACTACGAACATGGAACACGAGAAACTCGCATCAGAAACGAAGGCGTACGACACACTACTCGTGCTGAGCAGGCCCATCTGCTGCGACCGCAGGCAACGCCGCCTCCCGAACGTCAACTGTCGAGCCCGCCCCGCTCGACGCCGCGTTGTCCGATGCCTCCACGCCCTTCTCGAGGTCGGGCGAGCCGGAAGGCTTCTCCGTCTCCACGGGCTCAGCTGGAGCAGGAACAGCCGCCGCCGGCGGGGCATCCATGCGCCTGAACCCGCTGGGCCTGAGGGTCAACGCTGCGCAAAGAAAAGAAAAGAAGAAGAAAAACGCAAGGTCAGGCTCAGGCATGCCGAAAAGGAAGCGAGGACACGCCGCTCTCACCGAGGGCCAAACCAGCGCCTAAAATTGGCGTCTGAGAATCAAAGCAAGGAAGGAAAGACACGGGATGTGTGCCGTGTGAGCGAAGAAGGACAGAGAGACGCAGAGGGACGCGTGCGCACCATGGCGAGCCAGATCTCGCTGACGGACTGCGAGTACGCGTGGATGACCGCGTCGCGCTGCGCGACGTCCTGTGCGCCACGAGGAAAAAAGAAAAAGAAAAAAGAAAAGACCAGGGCGTCAGCGATCAGAGGAGGGCGGGAATGACGCGAAAGGGGCCGCGAGCGCACGCACGGGGATGTTCTGCAGCTGGCGCACGCCCTGGCTGAGCGCGGCCGGGCTGGTGTCGAACGTGAGCCCGGGGATCGTCGAGACCTTGCGGCGGAGGGTCTGTGCATGTGCCCAGGCACGGACGGCGTGGTGAGCGTTCCTGATCTATGATGGGACGGACAATTGGGAGGGGCGTACGCTGGACAGGATGGCCTGGCCGATGGATATGCCCATCGTGCCTCCAAGTTGGCTGGGGAAAAAGGGAGAGAGCGAAGCTGTCAGGCGCGGGAGGATACGGCCGAGCGGGGAGAGACGCGCACCGAATGAAGCCGAACGCACCCGTGCTTGTCGCGATGTCCTTGAGAGGCATGATCATCTGCAGCCCGATGAGCGGCACCTGGCGTGCGTCAGGGTCGCCCTGTCAGAACGGCGGTCCGTTTCCACACCGACTGTGACACCTACAGCAAAGAGACACCCCACGCCAATGGCTGCGATCAGGGGGTAGAGCTCCTTCTTTGCGCTAATTGCACGTCAGAGACCCAGAGGCCAGGGACATCGAGACTCACTTGTTCGAGTGGTCGTCCAGCGAGATCATCAGCCCGAAGCCGAGTGTGATGAGGATCCAGGCAAAGAACATGATCCCGCGGACGGTGATCTGGCGGTATCGCGAGAGCATCTGACCGGATACGAGAGCGAGGAGAGCACCGCCGAGGGAGAACGGCAGCATCCTGGCAGTGCGGACGTGCTGTCAGAGCCTGAATTAAAACACAGAGGCAGATATCACGAACCTCACTCCAGCTCCGGTCGCCGAGTTGCCCAAGACTTGGAAGTACACGGGCAGATAGTACGACGCTGAGAAGAACGCCAGGGCATGGAAGAAGGTAGTGACGAGGATAACCGCCGGGGCGTGCGCCTGAAATGAAACTAAGAACCGGCTCCGAGTCCTGAGGTAGGACACTTACCTTGAAGATGCGGGGAGGGATGATCGGAGAGCGCGTGGTCAACAGCTCGTTGGCCACAAACGCCAGGAGGAGGCAGCCACCGACGACAATAAGCACGATCGTTTCAGCAGACGTCCCTAAGAATATAGTCGGCTGCTAGGCATAGATCAGGCTTGTTTCAGTTGAGTACGCACAAGTGATCCCGCTGTTGTTAAAGCCGATAAGCACACATACGACGCCTCCGACCACCAGAGCCAATCCAAGAAAGTCGAACTCGCGAACGTGCTCTCGCAACGGTCTGCCTTTGTGGGGTTTAAGTTTGAGGAAGAAGAACAAGATGAGAGTGGCAAGACCCCCGAATGGTCTGAAATTCGACGCTTTAGCTCTCCTTCTGCGTGCAGTCTTTGTTGCGCTCACAGGTTGATGTAGAAGATCCTTCACAGTAAGAGATCGCGTCAACAGGAGTCATCATAGTACAACGACGACGTACCATCTCCAAGTGACGTGGTCAGCAAATGCCTATATCCATGGGTCAGAACCACCGTCTCACCATGGCGAACAGACTTACACCACCAACGAGGGGACCAACGATGCTGGCAATGCCCCATGCTGCACCGACATATCCGCTATACTTTCCCCGACTGTCACCCGGCGCACGTCATAATCAAGATGAAAGACGAGGCAGATACAAACCACGCACTCTTTGAGGGGGACAATGTCCGCAATGACGATTTGCACCATCTGGTAGATAGCACCGCCTCCAACACCTTGTATAGCACGACAGACGATCAGCCAGGTCAGATTTTGCGCAGCGCCACATAGTGCAGAACCGATCTAACACGTCGTTGACTGTGAGCTTCGTCATGAGCAAGGGAAGGGTGAGCATGATTCGCACCAGGAATAGAGCAATTGAGCCGTAGAAGATTGGCTTGCGACCTGCGGCAGCGATCAGACGCAGCCAGAGCTCATAAATGAGAGTGATACCGACCAAGAATGTCTGAGAGCTTTCCCCAGAGAGGCGACAGACTAGCGGATCCCAGGAGGTAGGCACTAATGGCATCAGTGAAATAGGGGCCGTTAGCACCGCACAATTTCGGCAGTATTGCGCCACCTACGTGCCGACCCAGCTGTAGTTCTTGCCGTCTCCAAGGTGCTCTACGATTGTAGGTAGAGCGGTGGCAACGATCGTCTGTCCACGCGAGTGAGCTGACAGTCGTTCCTGAGCCAGTGGCCAACCCTGACCTGGTCGAGCGCCGACAGGAACGCGCAGCACATGAGACCTATAAACACGAGCCAGAGCTTGTTCTCCGGCTGGGGCTGCTCGGGAGGAGGCGCCTTGGGCGGCGGTGGATTATCGTCGGCCGTCGAGGGCATGGCTGGCAGGGGAGGTGGTCGTCGTCGAGAGCGTGTTCGTGGGCTGTTCTCCTATCACAGACAAGAAGTACATTAATATTCCGGTGCATAACTTCGTCGTGTGAAGATGGGCCAACGCCCGAGAACGATTGCAAACATCTCCGCAGGAGAAGTTTGACCGTCGTGCCGGGCGGAAGACTGTGGATGCCTAGCGCATGCCTGGTCTATGTCTAGTGCATGTCTGCCTGGGGAGTCGGGTACATCCACGGCGCGTTTGAGGAAACCAAGGAAACTGTCCAGTCTCGCTGAACCTCGCAGGTCGAGGAAGCCGAGCGTGCCGAATCGGCAGAGACGAGACGCCCCACTCTTCCCCAAACGGGAAGGGGGCGGTGATGGCGAGTGTCGGGTGCGCTTTGAAACCTTCTGTCCGCCCTCATTACGCTCTCATCTTTACGTGTCTGTGGGGTTATTGATGCATGCTCGCATTAATATCCCTCGTCATTTTGCCAGCCCTCCGAGCCGTCTCGGCATGCCCGCGGTGCGCCCGACTGCGAGATGTCTGCGCTGACATCTGGATGCAGCCTAGCTTGCGTCGGGGACACGTCCAGAGGCCACATCAAACCGACCTGGTGCCTTGACATCAGACGACCGACAAGTCCGCTGTTCAAATACTGCCGCAGCGTCCGGCAAGAGGTCTGCCGTCTTTACTCCTGGAAGCCGCGTGCCTCTCACGCACCGTCGGATCGCCCTCGCTTCTACTGATGGGATGTTGCGTTGGGCCGTTGGAGGACGTATAAAGTGACTATGATGTCTCAGCTACGCCACTGCAACCGGGGCATACGCTCGACGCCCTCTTCTCCTTCACTCAAGCCCCGACATGCGCTGCTTCAGGTCGGTACGCGCGCAGATAGCCCTCGCGGTGCTGGTAGCCACCGCGAACGTCGCAAACGCAGCTCTATACACCGACGCGTCGCAGCTGCCGACTTTGAGCTACGACTTTGTCGTCATCGGAGGTATGCCTCAGCTGCTGGAGCCTCCTTTACAAGCATGCTTACACCCATGCGTAGCTGGCGCGGCCGGCAACGTCATTGCCACGCGACTTACAGAGAATCCGAACTTCTCTGTTCTGGTTATTGAAGCAGGCATCTCGTAAGCCCACTCAGTAAGGTTTAATTAACGCGTACTCACGCCCGTGGGTTGCCCAGCAACCAAGGCGTCTTGGGTGTCGAGGTGCCGTTCCTGGCCCCGTCTAACCTGCCCAACTCCTCGGTCACCTGGAACTACAGCACGACGCCCCAGGCTGCGCTCAACGACCGCGTTTTAACGTACTCTCGAGGGCGCGTGCTTGGCGGCAGCAGTTCCATCAGTATGGTATCTCCTACGTTTCCCCCGTTCGTGAGATACTGAGATCCGTCGGCTCGCCGTAGACTTCTTGACCTACACCCGTGGCTCCGATGACGAGTACAACCGCTGGGCAGCGCTGACAGGCGACCAGTCTTGGGCGTGGAACAACGTGGAGCAATACTACCTCAAGGTCGGTACTCATTTCCTTTCTGTGGCATTATTTGTTTTGTATGCTTTGCTCCCGGTTTTCGTCTGTCTGCCTGCCCGCAATCCTCTACCAATACACCCGGGTCTCTGCGAGCATCGCACGCTGCTTCGCAGGCAAAACAGACGAGACCATTTCTGGCGTTCAACGCCGAGCAGCATCTGGACGGGGCGCAGTGACTGCGTAGTCCTAGCTGGACTGCGATCCCGCGTGATCCGTTATACCCCGTTGTTTTCGTTCATGATACACTTTCGAAAGCTGTGTCTGATCATAGTGATACGCAGAGCTCGCGTCTCGTCCCCCCAGTCGACGGCCACAACACTACTGGCTTGGTCATTCCTGCGGACCATGGCGTTGGGCCAGTTGAGATCAGTCTCCCCGGTATGCCCACCGAACTTGACGAACGTGTTGTCAACACCAGCCAGTCCTCCGGCGCCCAGTTTCCGTTCAACGAGGACATCCAATCTGGGAATTCCGTTGGTGTCGGTGAGCAGCCACCATTCTATTCCGAATGACATGTCCTGACGGAGATTGTGATCAGGTATCGCCCAGTCGACTATCGGCGGTGGGGTGCGCAGCAGCTCTGCGACGGCATACCTTGAGCCCAACATCAACCGGACGAACCTCCATGTCCTCATTGATAACACGGTGACGAGGCTGGTTCAATCGGGCTCCACCAAAGGGACGCCGGTCTTTAAACAGGTCGAGTTCGCGCCCAGTACATCTGGTGAGTAGATTTGGTTATTCGCCTATCTGTAGCTCTTGCTCATTGTGCTGCAGCCAAACGCACGACTGTCACCGCAAAGAACGAAGTCGTCCTGTCCGCCGGCTCCGTTAACACTCCCCAGATCCTGATGCTCTCCGGCATCGGCGACGCGAACGAGCTCCAGTCGCTCGGGATCAAACCCATCGTGAATCTGCCTGACGTCGGGCAGCACCTGCAGGACCACCCGATCATGTCCAACTACTTCGTCGTGAACTCGAACAACACGTTCGACGACGTGCTGCGAAACGCGACGATCTCCGATGCAGATCTCGCGCAGTGGATGGCGAACAAGACGGGCCTGTTCGGCAACGCGCCCGCGAACGCCGTCGCCTTCCTGCGGCTCCCGGCGAACGACAGCATCTTCGAGAGCGTGCCGGACCCCGCGGCGGGGCCGGGCTCGGGGCACTACGAGATGCTCTGGGCGGACGGTTTCGCGGCGACGACACTCGCGCAGCCGGCGACGGGGCACTTCGTGACGATCAACACCGCCGTCGTGTCGCCGACGTCGCTCGGGAGCGTGCGCCTCGCGAGCGCGGACCCGTTCGTGTTCCCGCTCATCAACCCGAACTTCTTCAACACGAGCTTCGACCAGGCCGCGATGCTCGCGGCCGTGCACGCCGCGCGCGACTTCATGGCCGCGCCGCCGTGGCAGGGCTTCGTCGTCAGCCGCTTCGGGCCTGTCGGCACCGCGGCGACCGACGCGGACATCGTCGCTGCCGCGCGCGACTCGATCGTCACCATCTGGCACCCGACGTCGTCGGCGCGCATGTCGCCGAAGAACGCGTCGTGGGGTGTCGTGGACCCGCAGCTGCTCGTCAAGGGCGTGAGCGGACTGCGTATCGTGGACGCCTCGGTTATCGTGAGTAGCGTTTTCTGCTGCTGGCGCGCACGCATGCCCTAACTTGGTGGTTCTTCTCGCAGCCTATCATCCCTTCTGCACATACGGTCGCTCCCACATACATCCTCGCGGAGCATGCAGCCGACATGATCAAGGCAGCTTGGTAAACACAGTCCCTGTGAACATCACAGCAGCTTCTTCTTCTCCTCTCATCTGGATTCTGGCCTGAAGGACTTGCCATTTCTTCGCTTCTCTCCATAATGTACCACAGCTGTTGTAATATGAACTCGTGTGATTGAGTATTGGCGAATATAATATACAGTACGGCTCCCAGAATGGCGACCGGCTCTATGGATACAGTAAGTTGCAGGTATCACCCAACCGCAGCGACAATCATAAAAGTGTCAATAAGTTATGCTACGTATCCCTGCCGCACCTGTGCCTCCGTACACACGAGGTCTTCAACTTCGATGTGGGTCTGGATAGGGTCGAGTGAGACCGCGCCCGGTATGCGTGTGGTGAGCATGATGGACGACGTGTCACCACACTCGCTGTTGCACGTCTTGGCGGGCCGCAAGCGTGCACTCTCGCGCAGCGAATGCGAGTTCCGCCCGCCGACGATGGTGATCCGGCTGTTGAAGATGACGAGCAGCGAGTTGGAGTAGAGTTTTGAGAGCACGAGCGCGACCGAGCCGTAATACGAATGGTGCTTCACGGCGAGGAACAGAATGAGCGCGAGGGTTGCCGCGAGGGCTGCAAAACGAGGCCTGGATCAGCGTCTGGCGCGATGCGAACAAAGTCAGAGACACAGACCGGTCACGATGCCCGTCTCTATGGCGAGATGCACGAGATGGGAGATGAAGGGTTGTGATCTCGTGTCCTTGCCGAGCAGCTGTATCATGATGAGCACCAACAACCATGCGGACGCCGAGTGAAAGACCTGCCAGAGTCGTCATCGAAGCGGCGATGAGCACATCGCACACCGCGCTTCCAGCGAGCCAGATCTGTTTTCCATCCTGTTGTCAGCGCCAGTCTAGTTTCGGCGCCAATTTTATTCGCCGTACCGTGCAGCTCACAAAAGCCTGCGCAAGGTCTCTGAAGTTGCCGATGATGTGGGCCTGGACACCCTGTGTTACGGCGGCGGCGGCTTGCAAGAGCGCAATCTAAAGCGAAGGGGCCTCATCAAGCAAACTGTGGGTGGTGCAGAAGTCTGCAACGTACGAAGGCTATACAGAGACCCAGCAACTTCGAGCTGGACAGCACGCTCGCGCGATACGCATAAAACATTTGCACTGCGCAGCTGACTGGGTGGATGCTGAACGCTGAGTATCGTCAAAGCCCAGACTGCGAGTGGCCGCTCACCAACACCACTCATAATTGGCACTGCAAGCCACTCCAACTGAGCCGACTCCAAAACGGCGATGTCCCCAAAGTGTAGTGCGTATGTGTTGAAGGCATCGTGGGTGACGAGAAGGGTCTGTGCGCACTCTACAAGATAGACACTGTACACCAGAGCCTTGGTGACTGTTCTATCCTTCGGAAATGACAGATAAAAAAGGTCTGCGGTGTTTCTCAGAACTGACTGCCTAGTCGATTGCTCGAGCTTTACTCACAAACTTGGACGGACAACGCTCCATGAAGACACCAGTTGAAGAGATAGCCCAGCAACTAGTGGCGTGTCGAGCATAAGTTCAGCACTGACAAGACCTGACAAACTTTCACACACCAAAGGACCCGCGCTGAGCAGCGGCCAACACGTCAGCTAAATTTGACTATCCATGTGAACACCGACTGACATATTAGTAGGTGTAATGCCGTGTGTGGACTGGGCCGCTTGTGACTGGGGCACTTGTGGCATTCCTGAGGAGGACACCAGGTTCGACGGCGAGGAGGAGAGATGACATGCAGGCCCAGCGACAGGAGTCCGGTGCGGGGCGCGAGCCAAGGCTCGTCTTTATGGTTATCTCCCCAAGATTTTTGATGATCGCTTGAAACACTGACCGCGATCGCTTCGCCTCATTGATGGTGCGAACACATTGGGCGAATGCGCATATGTCGGCGGTAGAACAGCACATTTGCCATTAGGCTTTGTGCCGGGCCCGACCACAAGTCAGGCGGGCGAGGCCGCTACCGCCCTGAAGTCTCAGATCAGTGTCTGGGGATAATAATAAAAAAGCACCTGGGCTCGAACCTGCAGCCCGACTCGCGCAGAGACACGGGGCCACGTCGGCAGACCCGGAAACAATCCTATCGCCTTCTAATGGACGTGGAAAAGATCTTTCGTCGTCTATTTGATCACAGCCTCCGGCCAGCAATAGCGTGGTGGCGCTCGCCTGCAGTAATCATAGTTTACGAACCGCTCGCCGTTGCTGCCGACAGATCTCGCGAATTTCTTGTGATATCACAGCGTCGTCAAGTTTCAAGAGCCAATCATGCTCCAGTGGCCATCTCAGGTTAAAAGAAGCCTACAGCCTTCCAATACTCGACCCAAGCTTTAACATCTTCCGCTCCGAGGCGTCGGGCTCGCCCCAAGGAACCAGATGCCTGTGCAGCGTTGCCACAACGCACATCAGCATCGGCCGTTCCAGCAGACCGCAGGCCCCTGAAAAAGTCCAGGGCCTTCAGCGCTGGCAACTCCTGCGCGGCCGCCTCGTCTATAGCATCCGCCGCAGCATGCTTCTCCAGCATTCCCAGCCACTCGTCGTACGAACAGAGCTGCAGGCTCAGCTCCTCGGAGATCATCTCCATCATGGAGCTAAGCGGCACGGGATCTGGGTGGACGAGGTGCAAGATGTCGTGCGGTGCATCTCGCGCTTCAATGATTGCAGCGGCGGCACAGTCCAAAGGGAGCCATTGGGCATCCTAGTTTGAAGTTAAGTGAAAAGACATCACGATGGAGCAGACACGGGAGACGCACCCCGCTGAGTCTCGGTAGGCATTTTAGAAAGATGCTGGTCCGCACCAACGCCGGCACCCATTCCTTGGTGTCCCAGCAGCCGCCTGCGCCGCCGGTCAGTTGGCCTAGGCGCACAACCTGCGTCTGTAGCCCGCGGGTTTTCGCTGCCCTGGCCAGCACTTGCTCCGCGACCCACTTTGACTCGGTGTAGCCCAGTTCGGCGATGGCGCTGGGATCGTGGATAGGCTGTTCTAGCACTGGTCCTACACTTCCCGGACCTGCTAGGGCCTCGATATCAGCTAGAGCCGCAACGGACAACAACAAAGCGTACCTTGGAAAATGCCTGCCGAGCTCGCAAAGACCAAGCGCGGTCGCGTCGCAGACGCTAATGCAAAGTTAACGAGCTCCCTTAATCCTTCCAGCGCATCTCCGAACGATTCGAGCGCCAGATTGAAGTTCACAGGCCAGCCTGTGGGATCCGTGTGAGCGACCATGGTGGCGCAAAGCTAATATATGACAGCTCGTACCGAGATGCAAGACATGGGTGACGCTAGTTCGCAGCTTCCAGACGCGAGGTCAGACGTGCCAGCAGCTGTCAGCTAAAAGCGAAGCCCACCTCCTGCTGAGTATCATCCGGAAGCCCGAGGCCAGGAACAGTAAAATCAGCTTCAAGAGACGTCAACTTTGGCGACAAAAGCAGGCGGGGATCGAGGCAGCGCTTCTCCAGACTCTCCTCCAGCCGCCGTGCCAGCGGCACACCGTCCGGGGCCGTGCGGTCCAGGCTGTACACTTGCGCTACGTCCTCCGCTCCAAGGAGTTTCGCGAGCACGTTCGCGCCCAGGGCGCCTGTCGTGCCTGTGACGATGACCACAGCCTTGCCGCGATCATCGACGACGGGCGCGCCCTGAGAGACCGGCGGCAGGTTGGAAGAGAGCTGCTCGACGAGCGCGAACATGCGCGCTGCCCGGGACGCCTGCAGCTGTGCCTCTTCCGAGTTCGGACTGGTGCGCCCTTGGGCGAGGCCGAACACGAAGTCGGAGAGAGAGTCCACGGTAGGGTGGCGATACACGAAGTTGCGCGAACGGTGTTCGCGGGAGAGCTGCAGGGCCTGGATGATGGTGTTGCCGATCCAAAGCGCGTGAAGGCTTGTGGGGATGTCAGCTCAAGCGGTACTGTCAGAGGCTAATATCTCACCTGGTGCATCCGTGCTCAAAGAGGTCCTGGCTATCAGATGTCACCGTTGGTGCGTACTGGCGTACAGTCGCCCGCACAAAATTCTTTGCGTCCGTGAGTGTCCAGCTCTCAGGCGCAATTAGGTGCTCGGGACCATCCGCATCATCTAGGATGTACATTGTTTTGATTTCTTCGTCGTATTGCTGCAACGTCGCTCCCTTGCGGACCGTATGCTTCTCTGTATACAGCAGAGGCTTTGACGGAGACGCGACAAGGATCATCTGCTTGAATATCTGGGAATGCTTTGGCACGGTAGCGTTAACCCGCTCGACAGTTGGCCTGCATGAGACGTGTGAAAAATCACTCCATGGATAGCGAGCTTGCACGTACCAAACATGATCTCTAAACCGTAATACGCCTTCAGCGTCGGCCGGGTCGACATGTTCGGTTGGGAAGACCAGTGCTCCAACATGCGTCTGTGCACGTCCGAAGAGCAAAGCTGCCTTCACCTTTGAGTCTTCGCACAGAGCCGCTTCTAATATCACAACACGTCAGTCAAAGGATGGGGCAGAGTCGATGTCGTCACTAAACCTATTGGTCCTGGATTGGTCTGTGAGGGTCCCAGTCAGCACCAAAGAAGTCCAGGGTCATCAAATGCGAACCTTATACCCGTTTGCAAGCGTGATCTGGTCGTCTGCACGGCCATAAATCCTCCAAAACCCTTCTTTTTCTGGATGCTTCTCCAGAAGGTCATTTGTGGCAAACCCATCGTGGCTGTTGATCTTGGTGTTAATGATCGGCAGAAAATGAGTAGCGGTTTGCTGGGCCGAAGGTGTGAGGGGGATCCGTGACAAGTTTAAAGGTGAACGTACAATTGCGATCAGCTCGTAGATGCCCGGCCCCGCGGGGACGAGCTCCACTGAAGCGTGCCTATTAATGCGGAAGTAAAACCAGTCTTTGCCGAGAACATCTAGACCATCAAGTTTTAGTATGTAAAAATCTGCGGCAGCCAAAATTGGTACATGGCCGTCACGTACCGGGGAAGAAATGGCCAAGCACGCCAGCTTCTGTGCTATTTAGAATCCTTCATTTTAAACGCTCTAAACCCTAACAATACATTCTACAGACTCCATTACATACTTCTGCACTGTCGCGGGTATGCTCCGAGCGGGGCTCGCCGTTGCGCCTATCGCGCTGACAAACTCGCCTGCGGCCATCGCACATCTCCTGCGAGAGACGTCGACAACGCACGTGCTTGTCAGCGACGACAAACCCGCGCGCACGCTTGTCGATGCGGTGCTCGAACTGATTGTGGATGCCGGAGGGCAGCCTCCGGTTGCTGTTCCGATGCCCAAGTTTGCCGAGATATTCGACAAGGACCGGCCCGCCGAGTTTTTGCCGGAGCGGGTATACGATTATACAAGTCCTGCCATCTATGTGCATTCATCTGGTGCGCAGCGAGGACAGCTGTGATGGATTTTATTTGTTGACACCGCTTTGCTCTTAGGATCAACATCACTACCCAAGCCCATCGCTTGGACGCATGCCTCGTTTCTGCAGGTAGCAGCGACTCCATGTAAGTGCACGAAACGTTAGCACACAGCAGAGTGTGAACTGTTCCCCAGGCTTTGGCTCGCATGACCTCCGCGACGAGGTGTTCGGCATCCAGGGCCTTTCGATGGCCCACGCCAGCGGCCTGAATCACATCGCCTTTCTTGTAAGTATATATGCCACAGATCACCTCGGCATTTTCACAACATTGAAAATGCTAGGTTTCGAGCGGATACACAGCAGCTACCCTACCACCTGGGCCGCCGTATGTTATCCCGACGCCTGAGATCGTGATGGACTCTTTCCGGGACACAAAGCCCACATTCGTGATCTGTGTGCCAAGCTACTTAGAGGTAAAACGCTTCCATCTCTCCCTGATCCGCGCGCATAGCTGTTGACATCATTTCATAGGCTTGGTCTCACACGGAGGAAGACATTGACGTCTTGAAGAGCCTTAAGGCCATCGTGAGTACCCTCGAAGCAAAATCAGCTCAATGACTTAGATGTACTTCAGGGCTACGGAGGTGGACCTCTGGCGAAAGCTCTCGGTGACGCTCTGGTGACTAAGGGTGTGCCCGTGTGCGCTCTCTACGGATCGTAAGCGACTCATGCAAGTCTTCCATGCTTAATCTGACGAAAGCTCACCAGAAGTTGCAATGATTGCGACCGGGCCAAGAACGCTGGTCTGCGCAGGCGCATCGGCGTCGGCGTCGACGTCGGCGCCCGCCAGGCTTGTAACGGTCCTGCCTGCTCTGTGCATGGCGGGGACGACGTCATGATACGTGAGGCGCACGAGCTCGCCGCTCTCACGATCTTGGTAGACAAAAACAGGCTGCCCGGGGTTGTGCACGTAATGCCAGTCATACAGCTCTGGCACAGTGCAGGAGCCGTCTATCGGCGGATGCTTGAAGGTGCATCCTTCCTTGGGTGACGGCATCGGCACTGGCAGCACACACCTCTCTGTGGCGGGCATGTCGAAGTAAGTGAGTATAATGACGAGGAGGAGGACGTGCAGGGTGTATTAGGGTCAAGCGTGAGCAAGTTGTGGGCTGTACCTGCTCCTCGCACCGCGCGTGCCCGAGTACTTGATGTGGGCGAAGTATGATTCGAGGCATGATAGCTTCGAAGGTCGCATGATTCTATCATAGATGCAGATGTACAGTTTTAGGTGAAAGATCTCGCATGCCCAAGACCGTCAGATTGCAGAGTAATCGGTTCTCCAGCGCGCCGAGAACTCACGGACAAGGAAACAAAAAGCCGGAGCTTGAGGTGCGAGATGCGAAACATTTTATTGAGGTACAGGCGTACTTGCTGGCTGAGTACGGCTGCTGGCGATGGCGCCACAAAGGCGATGGTGGTGGTCGCAGAGTCGCAGACCTAGCCAGACTCGGCCGAAAAACCAGTTCCCCAAATGGGCGCTTACGGAAGCGTGCGTCAGCATAATTGGCCAATCATAGCTCACGACTCTGGGCCAATGACGAGAGTCCCATCTACTCGCTGTCCGCCAGTCCAACAGCTTGCAAAGATATCGATTACGCCTGTACATGTGTGGCAGACGAGACCAGCATTTTCAGCGACGACTCTATATTATCAACACGTCACAGTCCTAGCTCGTCAGCGTAGGGAAGAGCCTTGATGTCACCGACGGCGACGTATGTGGGCTTCGACTTGAGGAGCGAAGAGACGGCCTGCGGCAGGCATCCTCAGCAAGAGTTGCATTACAGGATGAAAGGCGACTTACGTTGGCAACAGCAGAAGAGTTGACGTTGTCGAACGCAGACAGCGCCTCGTCGAGAGATGGCTGCGAGCCCGCAAGGAGCTTGCTGCCGAAGGCAGCGACCTGGCCTGACTTGGCGTCGGTTGCCGATGCGGCAAAGAACTTGGCCTTGGCGACGGCGCGCTTGAGCTCCTCGTCCTTCACGTTCGCAGCGTCCTTGAGCGCCTTCACCGCGGCCTGGCCGGCGGTCTTGACCTCCTCAGCGGTCGCACCCTGAACGAGCAGACCGAAGAGGGCCGCGTCGGAATAGGGGAGGAGTACAGCTTGGACGCTCGCGCCTTCGGGGAGAGCAGCAGCGATCGGCGAGAGGCCCTTCGACCACTTGACGGACGGCTTGGGCGACAGATGCGCGGTGAGGACCGCGAGCTCAGTGGCGGGCGCGCCAGTGGTGCCGAAGCCGATGAAGACAGTCTCGGGACCACCATGGCCCTCAACACGGGTCTCGCCGCCAAAGTACTTGCTCGCGGACGAGCTCGGCGCGGAGCTGGCAGAGAGCTTGCCTAGTGACTTGTCGAGGAGCCGGGTGAGAGTCTCCTGTGAGATGCCGGTGCCGACGACGGCGATGTTGCCCTTAGAGAAGACAGTTGACGCGTACTCCTTAATGGCATCGACGTCGACCGGATCGTGTTCAGCCGAGAGTAGAGGCGCGCCAAGGCCGCTACGGAAAGCGAGGACGTGTGCGAGCTCAATGGCACGCGTAGCAGGGTTGGACACGGCAGCAGCAGCTTCCGCGGCGCAAACAGGCGCGATGGACTCCTGGAGCTCGTGGCGAGTGAACTTTGCCTCGGTGACGAATGACGAAAGGACGTCGACGAAATACGGCCTGGCGGTCGGGTGAGAATGCGGAGGACGGCACACGAATATGGGACTCACTCATCACCCCGCAAGAACTCTGCTGTCAATGCCAGGTGCTCCCTTGACAAGCTTGAAGACAGGATACCACCATACAGCTCAGCTTCGCGAATCGTCGCGAGACCGGAGCGCTTGCTTGTGCTCTTTCCTCCACAACTTCAGCCCGCTGCGCCCACACAGTCGAACAGGACCAGTCCGTACCTTGAAGGCAAAGTTGGTCAGGGCGTGGGCAATACCAGGCTTGTTCTGGTATCGGCTGCCAGCCTTGACGAGGAAGGTAACGGTCGAGGTAGGTTCACCGTTGTCCGCCGCGGCAATTTTTACGCCAGCAGCATCGACGACAGTCGCAAAATTGCGCACAGCGCGGGTCGCGCGTGACGCAGATGTCCTCGCGGCCAGCATATTATGGAGGTGGTAGAACAAATGGGAGCAGACGGCCGCGTTCAGCGCGACCGACGTTGAGGAGTGCCCGGATTTCACCGAGCTCAAGCGCCTATTGCTCTTTTAGGCAGCTCGGCACGCAGGCTTAATTCAGCTACAGTATCCCTCTGGCACCCTCTGTATAATTCCTGGGTGGCTCTCCACATCTGGATGGATTTTTCGTAGGCAATACGTCGAAAGCTGCTTAGGTAGGGTCTTAAGTTCGGAGAAAACGGCAGTGAGCTGCATTACTTCATTTAGAAACTATGATAGACGCTCGGTTCAAGTACGCCTCACTTTGCGCTCTCTCCCGGTTCTGAGGCTTACCGTGACTATCGCTAGGCTGACAACCTGCGGAATCAAGTATAACATACCATCTTTAACCTCAGCATGCGCATTCGCCTTCCTTTACTTTGCTCGAGCACTGGCTGCTCCGTGAAACCTGCGCCAGGCGCGCACTCTCAACGCTCTGCGAACGTCTCGGCATGGCTCCCAAGCTCAGCAGGCTGATCTCTCGCCATCTGCGCTCGCAGAGTCACGGGCTGTTCACGCGAAAGGATGCCCTTCTTATAGGCCCCGGAGGCGAGATTGTCGCTGCATATGGAGCGGGCGACCGGATACCTGCCATACCGAAAGTTGTGACTGGTCGACTGCAGCAGTATACAGGCGCAGTTGGTCCTCAGGCGACAGTTGTGGCGAACGAGCAGACTGCTATATCTACTGTAAGCTATACAGTGAGAGGTATCTGCCTGATGACAACTGACCCGCGTTGTGCTGTATCAGCAGGGACCCACGGCAATTCTGAGCGTGGCCTCTCTCCCGTCGCCGTCTACTGCAGCCGACTCGATAAGCGCGAACTCGTTGGCAAGCAGTCCAACAAGTACGCTGGAATCTGCGGTTTCTTCTAGTCTAAACGCATCCGCAAGCTCCTTTGTACCGACTTCGACCGTCTCCTCCTCAAGCACTTCAAGTAGCAGCGCGGCTTCCTCGCAGCTAACTACTTCGAATACTGTCTCATCTACCTCGTCCACCTCCACCTCCGCTTCCTCTAGCTCTATTCCAAGCTCGGCGACCCCGGCGGCCGCAACCACCTCTACTGGTTCCCGGGACCATCGTCAACTCTACCTTGGCATTGCACTCGCATCTATCTTTACTGCTGCTATATTCGTTGCTCTTGCTACCTACCTCTATCGAATATACTCTCGCTCTTGTCGCCATCGTCGCAGGGCAAGAATACTCTGGCCTTGGGACCGTAAGAATCGTGACATGGAAGGCGGTCTATCCACGGCAGGCGCGTACGACTATGGACGCTTTGGTGCTCGCAATGACGAGCCGAAGGAACCCAAGGATCGAGTCGACAGCGAGCTTCCCGATCCTCGATCCACCGGACGCTCTTACGCCGAACGCCAACTTGCGCACGGATTGTACGACATTCCCATCACCGCCAGCCCGTTCCGTCCGGTACCACTATCGCACATGGACACGATACCCCATCTTGAGCCAGAGCTTGGACTTCTCCAGGTTGCCAACTATGTGCCCGGTGATATTTCCAGCGACGACGGCAGCCGGGCAAATTCGCGCCAGGGAGTTGTCGTCGAGCCGCAGCCTGCTGCTTCTCTGGCTGCTGAAAAATGGAGCGTCTACAGGCCCGACGATGGATTCAAGAACCCATGGTCTCCTCTGCGGGTCAGATCTCGGGAAGGCCTGGGCATCGTCGAAGAGAAGGACATCACGGACGCGCCCGCAGAACATGAGGACCAGAAACGGAACACTGAAGAGCCAAGCAGTGTTTCCGCGCCTCCAGATGGCTGGGCAGCGTCTCTGCGATCAAATATTGCCAATGCATTCCAAGCTGTAGTGAGCAGCGCTTCAAGAGCTTCCTTGGCTAGCACGACTCGTCTGCCGGAGAAGCAAGATCACCAGACCGTGGCTGCTGATAATCCTTTCGACGATCCGACGACATCTAAGATCAGCCTCCCAGAAGCGAGCACGGACGATCCTACCCCAAGATGCACCGTATGTCTATCCCCAGCTGACGATGCGGGTCTAGAGCCCTCCGGCGAACCTACGTGTCTCTGCGAGTGGCTACAGCAGAAGCAGTTGCCCATGCCCTCGTCAATGCAGCAGCACACCCACCTGGACGTGCCCTCCTCTGCGCCGGCGCTCTCCCCGCACCTGGTAGTCCCGTCCCCGCTCAGCCACTACGACTCGTCCGACGGTTCTGTCCAGGGTTCACCAAGCCCGCACTTTGATCTCCCGCAGATACCGAGGTCGCGCCGCGGTTCGCAGTCGTCGTTGCAGCAGGCGATCGACCGCAAGCGCTTGCAGCGCGGCCGCTCCAAGAAGCTGGTCGCCACGCCGCGCACGCCGCACCATGCGAGCACGCCCCTCGCGCGTACGAGCTCGACATGTACCGTTGGTTCGGACATGTCGCGCTGCGCGAGCACAGACAGCGCGGCATCGGGCCCGCTCACTGACCAGGAGCGGTTTGCCGTGCATGTGCTCAGGGAGCGTCGGAAGAGGGTTGCGGCCTCGCAGAGGCTCGCTGCGAAGCAGTCGTTGAGCCGCCCGAGTGTGCGCTTGGGATCGAGGCGAAGGAGAAAGACCGGTCCTCAGACTCCTGCAGCGGAGACACCCATAGCTTAAATTTGTAAATTACCTTATTGCCGATTTATCACTCCTTTCGAATGACTTCTTTCCGTGGCATTTTCGTCAGCAAATATCAGCATCCTGTATCGTCCATACAGATACACCTCCCCAGATACAGCACACAACTCAATGACGCACGCGAATGCGACGTGCATGCACAGTAAAGTAGAAGGCCGACATCCCGCGCACGGTCTGCAGCTCGCGCTGTACATCGCGGATGAGAGCCTCCACATCTGCAGCGTGCCTCCCTGATTCCACCAGTAGTGCCCGGAGCGACTCGACGTACATGGCAAGGAACCCCCGGTTGCCGACGCCGAGCAGCGCGCGTGCAGGGTCCCAATCGCCGATGGGCACCTCGAAGCAACGCGCCTCGACGCGCTCGAACCGGCCGCAGTCGTGGACAGAGCGCTCGAGGTACTCTGCGACAGGCACGACGCCGCGTGCGGCAAGCGCGGCCCCGACAGCCTCGAAGAAGCGACACGTCGCGGGCGCCGCCGCGGCAAGATCGCGCCCGTCGCGCATGACGACGAAGCGGCCCCACTCGCACGCGAGGAAGAGCCCACCCGAGCGGAGCACGCGCGCAGCCTGGTCGAGCATCCCTGGATAGTCGCGCATCTAGTGGAAAGGGGCGGGCGTCAGCGGGCGCGGTACGCGCGGTGTGGCGCAGCGGAGGGGTACGTACTGCCAACGAGACCGAGCGGGCGTGCACGAGGTCGAACGTGCCATTGTGATAACGCCACGGCTCGTTGACATCGGCCATCTCGATGAAAACATTGTCGGGAGGGGTACGTGTGGCGATGGGCACTGCGAACAGAGCGGGTCAGATGGCAGAATCGGAGGAGATATGAAGAAGAGGGATTTTGGCTTCGTACCGATGTCTATTCCGTCGAAGCGAACGTTTGGAAATTCGTCCGCCATATCGAGAACCCTGGTGCTGAACTTTACTACGGCGTGATGACCCATCAAAAAGCCTCGACTCACCAGCGACCCGTACCCGTGCAGAGATCTAAGACACGCTTCTGTCTCCTCACCACCTGTCGGACTGGGCCTAGATAGTTGCTGCCCAGTAGCTGGCGCAGGAGCTCGTGCTGTCCGTTGACCCTCTTGAGGCATTCCCGATCGTCAGTCGTCGTCGAACAGCGTAAGCGACGAATTACTCACTTCCTGCTCCCTTGCATCCACAGGAAGCGGATACGGGGAGCTACCATGAGAATGGAATAGTCGACCATCCCGCTCGCGGAAGTATTCAGCGAAATCGGTGGGGTCGAGTTGGGTGACGTCTGACGATGCGTCAGAACGAAAGGACGACACGGAGGAGCCATCGTCCGAGTCGTTGGGATCAGGCTCGGAGTTTTCCATGTCGTGGTTGTGGTTGTTACTGTAATGGACGCGGTGGATGAGGATGGCCATGGTGAGTGTTCTGTGCTGCGAGCGTTGCAGGATGGAAGCGTACTTGCAGAACAAGAGACGGCGGGACGAGCTGTCCCCTAGATACCCCTCGAGCGGACTGCTAAGCACAGTCTCAGAAACTCCGACGATAATCGAATATACAATTGCACAGACTCGGGCCAAACAGTAGGTGTCGGCTGCCTGATCAAAGCGCGATCGCAGGGGATACCCTAGATGAAGGACGCGCAAGAAAGGGTCGCTGACCGGGACAGCTCGAGAGGTTGATCAGCGGCCGGTATTAAAGACGACGTGAGATCGACGCAAATATGGCGAAGCAAGTTTCGCAGCTTCACCGGCGGTCGAGGCGTTGGCAAATCCAGGGCCAAAAGGAGAGGCTAGGGTCTTTGGACGCGTGCCCGCGGGCCAGGCTGAACAAGACAGGGTACCTCAGCCAATCGGATATGTGTGATCTCAGTGCCTTTCATCAGGGGAAAAACAAAAAGGCGATAAGCTGCCCATGCCTGCAGAATTACCAAGTCCGCGATGTTGGACACTTTTGAACTTGTGCATTTTCGGAAAACGGGTGCGGCGCGAGAAGGGGTTGTCATGTCCAGACGCTGGAGGAACGGTCGTCTCGTGCATAGCTTTCATCATGGTGCCCGTGATACCGTGGAAAAGTCGGGCATGCGCGTGAGGAGGGAAGCTCAGTGCGGAGTAGAATTCTGGATTTCCAGCAGCTTTTCAAGACCCGACAGTTCGTAGAATGGACACTACCCCGGACGGCACGGCTCGCCATGTTCCACGGCCAGAAGCGCGTCCACAGGGAGCCTGCCCGGGAGGCTAGACCCCGTCTTCCTGTGTGCAACACGGCAGGTTAAGTTGAAAATCTCAGAACCAGTCGCAAGGCCTCTGTAGGCGCGTATGTTTACCTATGTTGTGATTTCTCACGCCTTGGCCTTGCACAAATTTCTGCTAACAGCTTGTCCTCGCCCATGAGGAGACGGTAGAAGGGTGTGCAACCTAAATCACAGGGTAAAAAAAGGTGGAGTGTAGGGTCATCATATACAGAAAAGAATTGTGCCTCGGGAGTCGGTTACCGACAGTGCCTCCGATATCCGCCGACTTCTGTAAGCTGCGGGATATGAGGTGGGTCGCACAGCTGCAAAACAAGGGATGTACCTGCCAGGCTATTAATATGTTCTCGTAGGCCATGAGTATATGAAGCGAGGACATTGAGGCTCTAGTGGTCAAACTACGGCTTCCTTATTGGGACATCGTGCATGAATTACCGAGTTTCGGGGTCTGACGCCGTTGACAACGCGGCACACAACACGCACACAAGTGCTCGCAGCGAACACATACCGCCTTTCCACACCAAGTAGTATATAACACAACGTCAGCATCTAGAGGCCAGTTTTTTTTCGCGTCTATCGCGGATACTTCTCGTTGTTCATGGCACAAAAGCTAATCCACATCCCTGACTTCCCTGACTACACTCAATAATTCTTCATGTCTCAGCTGTACAAGCTTCGGCTAAGTCTGCTGATCCCAAGAAATCCGAATTTAGGACACGCTGTCGGAGAGCGCTTCGAGGGTACTGTTTCCATTCAGTATCTTCTCAGGTATCCTTCACGGTGTTTTCTACAACGCCGATCTGTTACTGACTCCGTCTACAGCTTGCGAGCAATACATGGCCCGTTTTGGCCAAGAGACACTGACTCGCCCAAGTGTGAGAGTCTGCCGCGCCGGTCGGGAGCCCTAATTAGGCCAGGTCGGGGCCGGGACCCACGACACTTGCTCGAACTCGCGCCGCGGCCCCTCTGTCTCTTTGCCAGGGGCTACCACAGCCATTCCCCTCCCCATATTTTCGAAAAAATGGACTGTGATGCGGCCACAAATTTTTTTGTAGAGCAAGACGACCGGATGAACGCGCCTGACGAAACTGAAGAAGAATTCGCAGCTCGTGTGGGTGACAGGTAGATATCCTCGTCTCGTCAACCCGCGTTTCTCTCTACAATGATCAACTTTTACTAGACGGTCTGCTCAAGGAAGCTCTTCTGTCCGCACAGGGCAGCATAGTAGTGACCATCGGACGAAGACGCCGCGAGACGCGACGATTAGCGCGATGCGCCACAGCATGTGTGTCCGACAGAAGCCAAAAGCATCTCCACTTTCCGCATACGCGGGAGAAGATACGATTGGCCAGGACGCTTATATGTCGAACCCGGAAGAGTGCATACACAGGTACGCGCAGTGAACCCATTCTGGGTCGGTACGCTCATACACGACCTTGTATTAGCGGGAAGAGGAAGTCTCCTGACCAAGCATCAAGAGAAAGCGGGGCCCCAGAGAAGAAAAGACGTCAGCAGAGCCTGACCAATCTGACCGCGGCCTCTCGTAATGTTTACAATCCCGCATGCAACTCTGTGCAGACCGACAGTCCCGGTACCTGTCATACGTGCGTATTCGTAAGGCTCCTAGTCAGATGGTTACTCATATCCGATACTAGCCGCAGCTTTGACAAGGGTCCTAAGGCAGGGAAGCTTATCGTATACGAGGAACCGAATGATGACCAGGTGGGAAGATCGTCTAAGCTCGTTGACGGAGGCATGTCGTCTCTGTCAGCCTCTCCGATCATAATGCAACAGCATGAATCACATCAGAGTGACCTCGATCCCAATTTCATTCCAGCCGTGGTAACGTCGGCGTCCGGGCTATCCCAGGAATGTTCACCTCAGCATCGCCAGGCAGTGTCTCAGCAGATACGCGCGTACCATTCGCCTCCGCCCGACATTCAAGCGGCGACTTTAGACGAGCCCTCTGCCCAGCGTAGCTCCCTGATTCGGGCGACATCTTTCGAGGATGGAGTCGCAGCACCGTCGTCATCAGCGGTGAAGAGTGAATTTGAGCGCGGGAACAGCGGGCGCGCTCGGACACCTGGGAACGCCCGCGCTCGAAATGGGAGCCCTAGCTGCACTGCAGCGGCCGTCAGTCCTAGCTCGGGAGACACCACCACTGCCGCCAGTACTCAGAACGCGAACGAACAGCCCCCGCCTTCCTTTCCCCCGCGGACGAAGACTACATCGCGCAAGAAGAAAGTGAACGATGAGCAACCACCAAGCGGTGCGCATGTGGAAGAGTCGGCGGCAAAGCCCAAGAAAAGGCCCCTCAGGGAGCAGAAGGAGATGAGCCCGGCCGAGTTCGCGGCATACATTAGCCAGGTAACTTCCCTGAATGCGCCAAAGAAAGCGAAGAACACGACGTTCCTCAAGGGTATGAGAATCTATTACGTGGGCTGCGATACGGACAAAGCTGGCGAGCGGACAAGGACAAAGATGCAGCGGGTGAGTGCTCCGCCCACGCCAACGCTCGCGCGCAATCGGAGCTCACCTTCCACCCCCACAGCTCGTCGCGTTCGGTGCGACACTCATGCCCACGTACGATCCCGCGGAGATAGAGATCATCATCACCGAGCCGAAGCTTACCCAGGAGCAGTTTTGCGCGAAGCATGGGCTGCAGAGTGTCAAGGATGTCCCAGCGCATATACCGATCCTCAAAACGAGTTGGGTGACGTCTGGCGAAGAGAGGCCACGGCTTGACCGTTGGGAGCGACACCCGAGCTACAAGGACCACGTAGTCAAGCAGCCTGACCCCGCGGAGGCGAATAGGGCTCCCGTGTTGCGACCCACGACCGCTAGCCAGGACAAACTGAAGGCAAACGGAGCCGCAAACCGCGACCGGAAGAACGAGGCGAAAGTCCGGAAGCAGAGGCTTGCGAATTCTGACGAGAGCGACTTTGATAGCGAAAGGCAGAGCACAAGGTGCGCAAGGTACGCATATAGCCATGTCCTCGAAGTCCCCGTCGTGCGAACTGCTCCCTTTTCTAGTCAATTCACTGAAGGCCATGCGGACAAAGAGAAGGCAGCGGTGTCCGCGGAGGCCCAGCCAGATCTGCCTCCAAAACAAGGTTGCCTCTCGGGATCTTCATTCGGCGCTGCCGGTAGCGGTGGCCCTTCTGCGGAAGGCGAGTCGTCACGCATCCCGGTACCGCCTGGTGCTGACAGTAGCGAAGACCCTTTGGCACAGTATTATGGCGTCGCGCGAGCCGAGCAGGAGGAAGAGGTACGCATCACCCCTGAATTACTGTGGAAACATAGTTATAAGAGTCTTTCTTTTGCCTAGCTTGAAGGGTACTTTGAAGTCGAGCCGCCTGTTATCCTAGGTGGACAACGTTCGGTATGGGCATCTACGTTCTCAATGAAGGCGTTTCTGATGTACCATGCCCGTTCAGCATTTCCAATGCGACAACGTACCGGATTACCGGCCCAAGTTGGGAGAATGTCCTAATCAGGACATCATCGATATCGTGCGTTCGGATCTCGGTTTTAGTCAGTTCTTGCGTGCTAACCGCAGGACGATTCGTTCGCGTTGCTCCCGAATTCTAGTTCACGCAGTTGAAGGAAATATACGAGATCAGAAAAGCGGAGAGCGATAACTTTAGGGCAGACACGTATAGAAAAGGTTAGCCGATCCTCACTGTCATCAGGCACGTCTCCCACAAACTTCCTCAGTCATCAAAAGCCTTCGAGAGTATCCGAAGAGGATAGAGTCTCGCGAAGAACTGGTACAGATCAATGGCGCTGGAAAGAAGACTAAGGATAAGGTGTTCATAACGTCATCCGTGTCAAGAAAATCAGACTAACGGAGTTACAGATTATGGAAATTATCAAGACCGGGCGGCTACGTCGCCTGCAGTTCGAGATGACCGCGGAGCTTGACGTGTTGCGACTGTTCCAGGGCATCTACGGTGTTGGTCAGTGTAATGTATCAGTTGGCATGTGCCTGAGTTCATATATCTGCGTAGGGTCTATCACATCATTAAAGTGGTACGCGGCTGGCTGCCGGACCTTAGACGACATCCACCAGAGGAAGGGAGGCATCAAGCTCAGCGATGCGCAGGAGCTCGGCCTCAAGTATTACGATGGTACGAGTCTTGGGCGACAGCGGTCCGTCTAGCGGCTCATGGATCTATCAGATATAAACTCGCGTATCTCTCGCCAGGAAGTTGGCGAGATATTCCAACGCATTAAGGACATCGGTGCGTATCTGTAAGCTTGTTTCATGTACTTCCTCGGGTTCATGAGCCCATTACAGCCCACGGGATTGACAAGAAGCTCATCGTCGAGATCATGGGGAGCTACCGCAGGTACCGCCGCCCTACACGTAACGACGTCGTTGCATGGCTGCTGACGAGCGCTGCACAGGGGAAAGGCTGACTGCGGGGATATCGACATTCTCATCACACGCCCGACAGATGATAAGAAGCATCACAAGGGCCTTGCGCAGCGGATGGTGAACCTCTGTCAGATGCACGGCATCATCGTCGACCACCTCAGCATTCCCAGCAACTGGTGGAGCACCGAGCTCGTGTATCACGGCCTCTGTCGCAGGGACGATGATAGTCCTGTGCGGCGCCTCGGTACGTCCAACTTATCATATATCCGGCGAGAGCGAGCGCTCATGAGTTCTAGATTTCCTTGCTGTACCATACGAGCAAAGGGGCGCTGCGCTGCTGTACTTTACTGGCGACGACATCGTCAGTGTTCTGCTTATTCGTATGTTGAGCTTTCGTGCTCACAGAGTTGCATGCGCAGTTCAACCGCTCGATGCGCGCCAAGGCGAATAAGATGGATTACTCGTTGAACCAGCGCGGCTTGTACGACATGGTCGTCAGGAATTCGAGCAAGAGATCGGAGAAGCTCAGCGAAGGTGCTCTTTTGCGCACCTCTTTCACTATGGTGCGGTGCTGACGCGTCGTGGGGATAGGTGTCATCATTGCATCAGAGACCGAGGAGGAGATCTTCGATAAACTTGGTTGGTTCCACATCTGCCTTTGCTTATCTTGTTGCCGATTGTTGTGCCATAGGTGTTCCCTGGCAGGAGCCCCATCAGCGCATCCGAGGATAGGCAAATGCAGTTTCGCGTACAAGATACCCCGTGGACTCTCTCATACCTTCTGTACCACTAGCCCCCCTGTAGCCCTAACTCAGCCCTTGTAGCTCGGCTAAAGATGATTCGTATCTCTTCTTCAACCGTAAATTACTAGCTGTATTAGTATGTTTAATTGTACTGTACAGTCGTATTCCAGGTATCCGTAACCTCCATAAGAACGAAAGCATGGATTCTACTCTTCCCCTACCGCACAGCTTGGCCCGCCAGAAATCTGTGCAATGAGGGCATCAATACCCAGCTCGCGCTCAATCTGCAGTCCCATTCGTCAATAAGTAGAACACATTAATGCGCTTAGTTGTGTAACTGACCTCATGCTTTAGCTGCACGTCATCGGCGCCCGCATTCGACCCGAATACAGCGTCCATCTCCTCCAACGAGACGTTTCCCGTTTCGGGCACGACATACGTCGACCAGAGGTAACCCATGAAGCAAGCGATGGCGAAGACCATGAAGGTGCCTCTGAAAGCGGGGCATGAAACAGAGCACAACGCACATCAAAGAATTGAGCGTACTTGGGAGAAACTTCCATCAGCTCTGGCGTTACCAACCCAATCAGGACTAAATTCACGCTGTTAGCCTGACAGCGTAAAACGGACGGAGCGCACGCACAATTGTTCAGCCAATTCGATGCCGTAGACAGTGACACGCCTTTGCTGCGCATCGAGAGCGGGAACACTTCACTTGGGAGTATCCAGCCGATGGGGCCGTACGACATGCCATACGCAGCAGTGTAGACGTATACGCAGCTAGTACGGGAGTGAGCCCAGTGAGGAGTGGAAGGTGGGATAGTAAGTTTCGCACCCTACTGCGATCCAGGCGGCGCTAATGTTAGCTGACCAGTTGTCCGCATACGTACTAATCTACAGAGTCGTCGAGACGTATTGAATGTGATGCAGGGCAGAAAAAAAGACGGATGCGTACCAGAAGAGCGATCATGACGTGCGAAAGCGCCATCACGATGCTGCCCCCTGGAATGAAGTTAGTCTTCATCTGCGACGAGGCAGAACTGGCTTACATCGCAGCAGCGGCCTTCGACCTGGGGTATCATGAGTGGCGGTTCTCCGAGAAGACAATATTTGGAAGAACCTACCCAGCCTGTCGATTAAAAGGATGACAGGGAAGACCGCCAAGGCCTGGACTATGCCAACACCGCCGGCGACTAGTAGCGTCACCGTGTCACCCTTGAGCCCAACAGCCAGCAGTAATGTGGGCCCATAGTAGAGGAGTGCGTTGATGCCCGACCATTCTATGCGAGAAAAATTCCATAAGCTGCGTACGATGGGAGACGTGGATCCTACGTTGAAACACCATCATCATCACGCCTATCGATGTGCGCTTTCTATACGTCTCGCTGAACAAACAACTCCAGGTTTGCAGCTCGGAGCGGACAGTCGAGAAGAACCCGCGTTGTTTCGGTGAGAGGGACGTAGCGCGTGCCGTCATGAGGACTTCGGTGCGCATTTCGAGCAGCTCTAGCTGAACATCACCGTATCAGTGAAGTGTTCAAACTTCAGAATCGACGGGATAGTTTCACAACTTACCTGGACGAGAATGTCCTCGTCGCCACGGAGCATCCTCAGTACAGCCGCAGCCTCGTCGTATCGCTCTTGCGCAACCAGCAGCCGCGGCGAGGGTGGTAAGATTCGCTTGAGCATGGCTCCGGCGAGGAGTACAATAGCAGGGAATAGCTGGATCAAGAGCGGGAGACGCCACGACCATGATGAATGAACTACAAGGATAGCGTAAGTGCTGAAGTGGGCGCAGATTGGCACGGGACCTACTGCTGCGGGTCAGGAAACCAGTCCAGAAACCGACAACGGCTCCCACTACAATGGAGAGCTGTTCAAGAGCCATTAAAGAGCCTCTGACTTCCGGCTGGCTGATTTCTGCCATGTACAAAGGAGTAAGTGTGCTAGGAGCGTGGGTTCAGCGGTCGCAGCTTTCGGAGGAGCAGTCCTCAGTTACCTCAGAGCCCCGACACCAAGACCACCAATAGCACGCCCAATGATTAGATGTGGTAGTGCCTGGGCTGCAAATTGTAGCGTAGATCCTATGCAAAATACGACTGGGGATATAGGCATGGGTGTTAATGGTCTTGTGACACGAGATGGTTCACGAACGGCATGCTGTTACGATGGCTTGTCGACGGGAGAAGTGGTCTGCAAAGAGCCCTGCCGAGAGGGCACCAAGCAGGGATCCTAGCTCAAGCATAGCGGCTAAATTCGTCTAATCTCAGATGTATACAGACTGACCTGACGTTGGTGGACGTACTCATAAGCCCTTTCTCCCAAGGTCCGACAGGCCAGCGGTCGAGGAAATCCTTCATTACTAGTATATTTGCTATTACACCCTGGTCATATCCAAACAACAAGCCGCCAAGTGAAGCGAAGACCGCGGCTCGTAACGCGAAGGAGCTGCGCAGCAAACCAGCAAGTCCACCGGGTCCGTAAGCGTACGTGTAGCTACGACTGTCTTCCGCAAGTTTCAAGTAGCCTCCATGTGCAGTCCTGTATATGATTTCGTGTTCAGGTTTCGCTGGAGGTAGTGTGGTCGCGGGTGTAGAAGGAGAGGGCCGGTCATGGTCGGCAGACTCGGAGGGCAGCGCTACATATCCGGTACCACTCTGAAGAAGTATCGTCAGCACGAGATACTGTGCAAGCTGAATGAACACACCATCTAATGTCCCGAATATATGGTTAATAAGAGATGACCGACAGCAGGAGATAGCGAGGCGTGTTGGTGAACGTTAGAGCGGAGCACGGCGCTACAGGCCCTGATATGGAGATGAACGGAACTGATTGACGCCAGGAGCGGCGGCGAAAGAACTCCTAGTACTTCCGTCTCTCTCGCCACAACATCGAAGAGCTACTTTGTAAACATACGTATGTCCGCCCAGTGGTACAGCAATTAAATCCAGCTGCGTTAACCTGCTCTTTAAGAAGCAGTGCACTCGACTGCAGTCGCTGATATTCCGCATCGCTATGTGTTGCCGTCCGCCTGCGTTATGACGGCGACTGGCCTGAAACACAATCTGGGCCTGCTCTTGCTCTGACACATCTGTTACTCTTCAATCTTACGTGATATAGGACCTGATGTAGAAGTTCAACTGTCCCCGTCACGAGCAACCAATACTGTTCAAGTTCGCGGTGGGCGACACGACGATGCCTCAAAGCTCTGGAGCGACGCAGGTGACATACATCGCATACTCTCTCTCGTCCTCGCGAACCTTCTGCTTTCTTACAGGTTTCTACGCTCAACAGCAACAAAATCCGTCATTGATACATCGCTGTAGTTGTGCTCCAAGCTGCAATCTAAAGCTTCAGCGCTCGGTGCCCAGCCCTAAGGGGCATCGCAATGAGATGCGGGCATCCTCCGAACAGTCCCCTCAGGCTCCCGAGGGGCAAGTGAGGTCCAGTCCTGTTTACGGTAGTGCGCCTATAGCGCACGATATGTTAGTGACTTCGGCCGGTGCGCGTACACGACACATTATTCTGGGAGAATAGATTGTCAGAGCCAGGGTCTACTGCGATTTATAAACCCTCTTCGCGTATAGGCGTGCGAACCCTTATGCAACCTGCCTTTCCCCCTTCCCACCCCTCCCCCCTCCCCCCTTACTTTTCTGCACATCTGCCTGCGAGATTCCCGGACACTTGTTGTTTAATATCATGTCTACTTCTGCCGCTACCGCATCCAGTGTCCGCTCACTCCCCATCCCGAGCGAAATGAAACAGTCTGACCTGACACCGGTCGACTCGCATGATGTGCAACCCATAGAAAAGGGTGGCACGAAGCGCGAATTTCGTTTCTGGGTGGTTGTCCTGGCAATCCGCTCCTCTTTATTTCTTAGTGCGCTGGGGCTGGTGAGCGTTACATCCTACCCTCCCTGTGAGTTTGGTAGCTGGTAATCTTGTGCAGACGGTATCCCGACGGCCCTGCCCACGATCGTTCGCGACCTCCGTGGCAGCCATTTCGTCTGGGTGTCTTCCGCGTACTCGCTCGCGGCGACAGCAGCGCGGCGAGACGACTGGTCTTGCGGCTTAGCTCTCTGCCCGGCGGCCTGCGACGCCGACGGTTTGTCCTTTGTAATGCCGGCGCGTCACGACCGGCCACATGCGTTGTTTATTTTTGTACGACGGCAATAAACAGAACGAGACAAGGGATATCTTGAATCAGTAATTATAACGGTTAATATCACGGACCTGAAGGCGGCAAGGCTGTAAAAAAAGAACCGGGCTCTGAGACATCAATCGGGATCGTCAAAGGCTGTTGATCAAAACGCCACAAAGTCACGAAGGTAAAGACAGATTTCGTCTCTTCGCGTAGACCATCACTGCCTCTAACGGTATGCCGGCACAGTGGCGCGCCACGACGCTCACGGGTTGTTGGTGTTGCCACCCCTGAGCTGCGCGACGCGCACCTCGGGTTATCTGGTTGGCAATGGTGATGCAATCACTGCGCCGCATCATCCAGACCGCGACTCGGAACTCGTCATATCACCGCAGAACGTCGAATATAGAGGATCAGTATGACGGAAACGGAACTAGCAGCCAAGCATCTCATGTGAGAGATAAGTAAAGCTGCACAGCTTGCTTAAAGGTGCGGCGGCCGCGGCCGACTAACGTAGGCACCAGGAAAACATTGGGCAAACACGAACGAGCTCCTGGACAGTCTCAGAAGCCATCGTCCTTACTTACACTCTGCCTCCCCACAACGGCGTCACGACAAATTTGCCCAGAAACATTCGCGCGCAGCTTGCGGGAGGCAACTTGAACAAGACACGGCCTGCGAGAGCGCGGAAACGGCACAACGTTTCCGCGCGGAGCTAATCAGGGATCAGGTGGTATATAGCCGGCATGACAGAGCAGCATGCTTTTTATTCGCTTCTTTTGCTTCTTTTCCCAGCCACCTTCGCCCCGCCATGGACAAGACAGTGTCGAGCGATACTATCACTGCGACTGCCCGGCACCAGGTCGTGAGGGTGAGTACATCGCGGGCGTTCTGGAACTTGGGCTCACATGCATGACCTGCACAGTACACGGCGGGTAAGTATAATTTGGTCGTAAAAGAAACCAACAACGGCTGACGAAGTCCGATGCGGTAGTGGTCAGTATGACAGTCCTGGTGAGTCTCCCACGCTATTTGGCATTTGCGCAGCTGATGTTTTATATCTAGGTAACAGATTGGATGTATCTCTTCTCGGAAGAGGTCAGCTTCTTAGCTCTGGTCATTTCCAGCTTACTAAAGCTCAGCAAACATTAGTTGGAGCATATCTGGTCGCGAAAATGGTCATTCGCGGAGTTTCTCTATCTCTTCACGAGGTACATGCCATTTATTGATGTCTCGATATCGCTTGTATGTGAGTTGTGACCTTCGCTGCCTGCTTGTTGAGAGACTTATCGATGAATTAGACTATTTATCTCCCACCATTTCCCCCGAGGTTTGTCGTACCAACATCTCTTGAGGTTGCATAATGCGTTAAACAAGCTCTAGACATGCCTCGTCAACTATGCAACGGGAACGTGTGAGTATGAGCTTATATCTTAGATGCTACTAAGCTCATGCGACTCGCACAGGGCTGCTCGTTGTCGGCTTTGCAATCGCAGAATGTACGTCTTGAACTACCGCCGCTCCACTTTGAATGGCTTAACAGCTTGCTGTAGTAATCCTAGTCTGGAGGACGTACGCGATCTGGCAGAAGTCTAAGAAAATTATGTGGACTGTAGGGATTGTGTGGACGGTATGCGCGTGCTCCCATGATTTCCTTCCAGCAATTAATGTCCGATATAGATCGTAGTGCTTGCAAATATCCCAATTCTGACAATCTTCACACGATCATTGAACTGTACGTATACGACGTACAGTTTACTTCTGATCCGCTCTGACACACGTGTCAGTCGGGCCGCAACCTCTACCCCAGATTCCGGGATGTAATTTGGTGAACGCGAGTGACATCGCATTTGGGAGCTTCTTCTCAGTGTTGTTGATGGAGATAGGTGCGTCTTCGCAGCCTGACATCACCCTCGTGTAAAAGTCCCTGTACTTACCTCTCGCTCAAAGTTGTGGTTACTCTCACGGTCTACAAAGGGGTGCAAGATGGTAAGCCCTCACAGTACTTATATACCGCTGTTTGACAAGTTGCAACTGACGTCAAACTTAGTTCGTAGGTCGTCAAGCGCCCTGGTACTGATTATGTATCGAGACGGTACGTAGTAGGATTACGTGTATCTTCCGTCTGGCTTATCGTCTGGGTCCGATAGGCGTCTTATACTTCGTCTGCCTGCTCGGTAAGGCCCTGTATTAGCATGCGCTTATCCCCGTAGCTAACTATCGCCTGTTCACCAGTGATGTCCCTGGGGAACGTCCTAGTTATCCTCGCAGCACCGGTAAGAGCCCATCCCGACTGTACTTTGTTTTCTGTCTGACTTATGCCGGCCTCGACAGGTTGAATACTTCGATTTGCTTATCAAGTTCGTTCACCCTGCTGTCGGTTTCGAGTCTATAGCACTGATTGCTCCCCAGTCTGACGCGCGTGCTTCACGCGATCCTCTGCTGCCGAGTTATTCTCCACTTACGACAAGCGGCGCAGCTCGATGGCGCGCAGACAAGTTCGCAGAGCTCGTCTCAGCTTTCTACCATCCGCTTCAAAATCCAGTCACGACTGCGTCGTCAGCCTCCGATGGAGGATTCCATGGAAATGACCGATTATACCGATAGGGTCAATGACGTATAATGATGATGTATTTCATGGATTGTAGCGATAGGCTGTTTATGATCACGGGGTGTGAGTGATTATTGCTGCTCGGACGCGCGAACGCAGGGCTGACACTGCGCAGCCTGGTCCGTTAACTCTCCATCGTTCTAGCTACTTGAGAGGCGCCAGACCACTTTTCGTGCCCCTCGGCTTTCTCGTCTCCGTCTACCCTTGGAGCTGAATATACGACGCCTGCGCGGAGGTGATTGCGTCGGTGAACTAGTCACTACCTGTGCGCGAGAATCACGCCCACTGGAGAGTCTTCAGTCGGCTTTGATCGCGTGCAGAACCTAAAAGCGAGATTAGCAACAAGCGGAATGAGTCATCTTTCTTTAGTAGGTGCCATGAGTCCTTGACAACCACTCACCTCAGTGCTCTTGACGTGCCCTGTCCTTTCCCTAGCGATGTCAGTACCTAGTGCCTACGCTCAAAGTCTCTCAATCGGGACCGCTGTTGCAGGACATAGCGCTTCTGGGCGAAAGGGGCACGCCTTGGCGGAACCAGTGACCCGTGGCGTTGCCAGCGGGGCCGATCTCCAAGAGCTTATTCCTATGCCCGAAAACTCAGCCGCCATCGCTTCCGCCCTCTGTAAGCAATACCGGAGGTGCACGGAGAGGCACTAAACGTCGTTGATCCCGAAGATTACCGCCGCACTTCTTTTGCCTTCGGAATCGAGTGTCGTTTCCGTCTGTATGGACCGCCGATGTGGCTCGAGCATGGGCGTATCAGCGATATTGGCACCGATGCTCAGGGTCGCCAGTCTGGCTGACCACTCAATAGAAATCTGCCCCTTCCTTCCCATCAAAGTCTGCAAGCTTATGCGCCGCGGCGGCTGAGCGCGCCACCTATGCTTACCCAGGCAATTCTCTGATACAGCGAAATGACAGTACAAGGGGGCATTTCCAAATCAGCCAGCCTATTCCGTTCCCGGTACTAGCCAGCGCCGCGTCTTGCACGATGTCCCACGTCAAGGGCAAGATCGACGCATCAAATTGACGCGATTTTGGGAGGTGCGATAGCGGACCCTGACCATATAGGCATGTGCAACCGCTCAAATAGTCCCATGCCTCGGCTATCTAGCTGTACTCATCGATCTTACCGCGACCTGGAATTATTCAAGTGTCCGTTCAGGTCAACCGCCGTCCTGCGGAAGTACCTTGCCGTACACGTCCTTTTACCCTTTACCAACTTGGACTTCGGGATGCACTCAGATCCCATCATTCAGTTTTTTTGTATCTTCTGCTGGCATAGAATGCGCCAAGTTCTGTCCTTCGCAAGGCACGGATGCAGATTCCCCACAGTACATAGGCCATGGTTATAGTTCGCAGGCAGAACCTATCTTCCTCCTTTCATTGCCCACGAGCTTGCGTGCAAGCGTCTACACATTGATCATGGAGGCGTCCCCTTCCGTAGACTATGCTCCTCTGTAAGCTCTCACCACCGACTGTGCGCATGTCTGCTTACTGAAAATGTTTTAGCGCCGCTCCTTTGGTGTGTGCTTTGTCTGTGGCATGAGAGCAGTCGCTGACATTCTGCAACAAGCTCCTGGGCACTCTCTTTAACTGGGGTCTCTTCGGAATTCTTTCTGTACAAGTTTGTGCGTGCTTCGCAATCTCCCGAGTCTTCCACGACTGATGTATATACTCCAGATTTATACCATTTGTCCTTTCCGAAGGACAAATGGTTAGTCAAAGGGCTTGTATACTTTGTATATCTTATAGATACAGCACAGACAATTTTGGTTACGCGGGACGTATTCGTTGCATTTGCCCTGCACTTCGGCAACCTCGACGTGCTCGACTCGATCCAGTTGGAATGGCTGGCGGTTCCCGTGTTCAGCAGCATAGGTGTGCCAGCTCCTGTGACATTCGAGGGACTGTTGCCCTTACCTCTCGTTTTACAGTAAGCTGCACTGTTCAGCTGTATTATGCATATCGCATCGGCATCTTGTCTGGCTCTCAGATTCTTCGCACTTTCGTTTCTATGGTGTGTTATTATCAACTGTGCAAACCTAGCAGAATCTGAATCGTGTCTTCTAGCTTGCACTGACCGCAGGCGCTGCCGGTGTCATTGCCGGTTCGCAAGCTTTCGGTGTGCCCAAATTCTCGGAGCTGGAGCACAGTGCATCTATTAGCACCGGTGTATGTAGCTATATGTCCCCGGCCGACGAGTACTGAGGTTTGAGCGCATGCAGATCTGGTTAGCGGGTGACGCAGCTTGCGACATCACCATCGCTGTCCTCATGGCATATTACGTGAGTACCTGCTTCCCTGCCACTAGGTGTGCGCGCACTTACCATGTCGAGCAGCTTCTGAAGAACGATAACCCAGTCAGCAAGACCCACGCCATAGTTCAGCGGCTCATCCGGCTTGTGTTCGAGACGGGCTCACTCACAGGTAAGCTCACCGGATGCCTCTACCGGGCCGCTTATAACCAAGTCGGCGCCACAGCCTTCGCCGCGTCGATAGATCTCATGCTCTACTATGCATTCCCCCACAAGGCTTACCACAGCTGTCCGGCGACAATACTCGCAAAGCTGTACTCTAACTCTATGCTCGCAATTTTCAATAACCGGATCCGCATCGTCGGCAGCCGCGACTGGTCGTGGTCGGACGGGAACGTCATCTCAATGGACAGCAGGAGCCAGCATCGCGCTCGTGATGCAAGCTCGAGCATCGGTCCAATGGTCTTCACGCGTGCGATGGACAGCGACTCGTCGACTTTTGCGGGCGGGATCCATGTCGAGCGGGAAGTCTGGTCAGAGGCGGAGAGAACGAATGTTCAGGTGCGCTACCCAGACGACACACTTTCCTCTTCGATCGACGCTGATGCATGCCTTATTGTCTCAAGCCACCCCCTGGTATCAAGAAACACCGAGACCTCGCCACGGTATGAGCTGCGTGGATATGTTGTCTATATGTAAGTTATCCATCCGGGAGTGCCATGCGACCGCAATGCGAATCGCGCAGCCTAAGAATACGCAGGCTTTGCGCACGGGTGTACTGTTTTTCCTCTATCTAGCTTAGCTGTTGACCGTTATGATTATGGTGCTACAAAATATATATTGAATATAATGCGTGTCTCTTACATTTAAGGCTTGAGCGGAAGACTTAGTGAATGGCTTAATGAAGCCTGGTAAGCTTTATTTGTTCCCACAGTAACAAAGGGCGCTTACCTATATTTAGACTTCTACCCTAAACAGAACTTGGCACATCTCTAATCCGAATCGCTTGATCAATGCCATGCCCTTCAGTACTTTGCGCACTTAAACATCGAATGGGGAGCTGCAGGTGCGTACTGCGTAGGTCAAATTATACGGCTCGTTTACAAGCTACTGAGGAGGCTGTGCTCTCGTCGCATATCTTCGCTCTTAGGACACAGTCACACAGAGGTGCAAATTTCCTCAGTTCAAAGTGCGCTAGGTGAGCTGCGGTCTCGGTGATCTGCGATGTGTTGGTTTCTTACAGCACAATCCCATTGGCGGACTGCGCGTCGCAGCACCACTTATACTCTCACGGAAGCTCGTTGGCGAGTGACTAGCACCCCGCCTTAACCTCGTCGTGCACCCATTCCAATCTGCGTCGTTCTCAATTCCTTCGATTACTCCTATCTTGGTCAAGCCATTCGCATACCAGACAACGCTGCAGTTACAGGTATGTCGGTTACGGAACCATGTAGTATTTGATTTAGTAAGGCTAATCTGCTGCCAGCGCTGTGACTAGATGTCAATGTCGGGCACTCTAGAATTCACGAAGCTGTCCTACGACGATTTCGACCTTATCTTCAGCATTCTACGAGAGGAGCACATTGCGGAGTGGGATGCACTCAAACGATCAGGATCTGCGTACAGAACGCTGTGTATATGCGCATCCGCATCCCGCACCTTGCGAGACCTCGCCCAGCGCCATCTCTTCCGGGATCTGATCTTCACATACGGCCCTGTTATTACCAGGGACTGTGATAAGCTTAGTCATGGGCGTGGCTGCGCAGGGTGCGGATGCTCCTGTCACTCAGAGGAAGCTCCTGCGCGAAAAGAGCTTTCTACGTTCCACCAATATCTTGTAGATTCGCCACACGTGCGCCAACACGCGCGCAGCCTGAGGCTCAGAGCCTCTCCGCTTGGAGTGCGCGCTAAGGAGACAGTCGAAGCGGCTTCATTGTCGCAGGTCTTAGCACAACTACCTAAGCTCGATACTCTTCATCTCGAGGACATCAGCTTGCGGTCTACACCGCAGACGTCATCACCAGATTCCTCGTCCCAATTGGTAAAGATTCCTGCGCTGGAACGGCTCACACTAGCTTTCCAACATGCGGGGATCGGCTCCCAAGACTCTGTCTTCAAAATCCTCGCGCAGTGCGACAGCGTGCGACATCTTCGTCTACTCGGCATGCACAGCTGGAACGGACGGACTCTTCCCGACCCTGCAACCGCCGCGACCCTCAGGCCTTATCTAGGGGTCAAGTCGGTCGAGATCGAGACCTATGGGCCTCTGTTTGGCAAGATTTTTACGTATCTGGCGGCCGCTACGCGCGCCGGGCTGCGGTCGATTCGGGTTAACGGGGTCACGAATCCGGCGGTCGCGAGCGGTTTGCAGACGTTGCTTGATGCCACCAACACTCAACTCGAGCACTTCGCATGCGGAGATATGACTGCTGGCCGGCGGACTTTTAGAGGTGAGTGGATACAGTGTGTTTTCCAGGCGTAAACTAATTATCCCCGCACATTCGCAGAGATTCAGGCCATGCTATCAAACGTACATGGTCCTAATCTTTCACGGTGCACGAGCCTCGCATCCATCGAGATTACTCTGCACCTCGGTTGCAACTCGCTCGGGCTGGAACTACAGTACATCATCAACCCCATGCTCTTGAGCTTAAGAGTAGGCTCCCGTGGCAAGTTACGACAGATCATGCTGAAGAGCGCTGTGCGTGAGGGTCTTCTATCAGACCTTCAACATACGTCGGTATCGCCGTGGCTATCGAAGCTCGACGAGATACTTTTGACGCTGTACGACCGTCGCGGTGTGGCTGAGGTGCTGGTCAGGCTGGACGATGTGGCGGGTAGGCTGGATCTTGCAGCTAAGAACCGCAATGCCATTTGGGACTCGCTTCCCCGGGTTGCGAGCTCTGGCATCCTGCGTATCCTTACTGTGTAGCTCAAGTCTGTCATTATAATGTGTTGCATATCAGGAGTGCCATCTAATTCAATCGCGGCAAAAATTTAGTTCTGCTATCTCCTTTGTTTTACCACGTCGCGGGTAAACTGGGAGCGGTTCAGCTACTTCATCAGCGGAGTTGGACCTCCGATGCGAAGCGCCGAACCACTCACCAGCCGCGTTATCCCGTTCGCGTCACGTCTTTGGCTCATCGAGTGACCATAACATCGAATAAGACGCTGCAGGTATGTGCGACAGAATATTTACTTGCATACGCTGCTTAGTACCCCTGAGGAGGCCCTGCTGTTGCCACACCCTTCCGCTCATTCGCAACGCGACCTAACGTTCGGATTGCCTGGGTTCAAACTTGTCAAATCAGTGTGCTAGGGTAACAGTGAAATGTGTTTTACGGCTTGTTATCCCCTTAGCGCGATGTTTTGACGAATGCGCTCTGCTTTTAATGTTTATTGCGTGTCGCCGAACTCAATCTGATTTAAGCCGAACAACACAGGCTGCAAAGTTACAACAACTCCCCCGTCGAATATATATCCCCATATCTTTACTGGACAGCAAGAGTTACGCTAGCACAATAGCAGCCAAGGGTATGTATGCTATGGCATCATGCGGCGATAACGCTAATTATATCGATGTATCACCATTACCGTGAACAGATGTTGTTGTCAAATTCTCCAAGATTCATAAAGCTCTCCGAAGACGATCTCGATATTGTCTTCAGCATTCTACAGGAGGATCGCATTGCCGAATGGGACACGCTCAGGCTATTTGGACCCGCGCATAGAACACTAATGGCATGCGCATCCATGTCCCGCTCCTGGCGAGTCCTCGCCCAGCGCCATCTCTTCCGCGATCTGGTCCTCACATACGGCGTTGTCATCGCCGAAAACTGCAACGGCATGAGACATACCGCCTGCTCAGGATATGGGTGTTCCTGCCACTTAAATGAACGTACTGGCGCACGGAGAGGGCTCTCTGCGTTCCACCGGTTTCTCGTAGAGTCTCCGCACATACGTCGGTACGCACGCAGTCTGAGGATCAGAGCCTCCCCGCGAGTTCATGAACGCAAAGAGATGGATGCAGCCTTGCTCTCTCAAGTGTTGGCCGAGCTTCCAGGACTCAATGATCTGTACTTAGAGGAGACCAGCCTGCTACTCTCACGGTCGGTGCGTGCGCAAACTTCGCCACCAACAGGAATCCTCGCATTGGAGCGGTTGACACTGACCTTTCAACACGCGCGAAGCTTTTATCAGGACTCCGTCCCTCGCATCCTCGCCCAATGCCACCGCGTGCAGCATATCCGCCTGCTTGGCATGGTTGGCTGGAACGGGTCGCCCACGCCGGGTCGTACCTCTATGGGGCCTCCAGAACCCCACCTAGAAGTCGAATCGGTCGATATTGAGATCTCTAAGCCACCAGGCGGCAAAGTCTTCAAGTACCTGGCGGTCGCCACACAGCGGTTGCGGTCAATACAGGTCAACAAGATCGCCCACCCGGAAGTGATGGATGACTTGCAGGCGTTGCTCGATGCCACCCACGCTAAACTCGAGCGCTTCGTATACGGAGACATGACCGCCGACCAGTCATGGGATAAAGGTGAGTGGCCTTGCGCATTTACCAAGCGAAAGCTAACAATCGCCCTGCAAGGCCCTGACCTCTCTCGCTGCACGAACCTCGTATCTGTCGAGATCATCCTGGATTTGGGCTGTATTACCACCGGACAAGAACTGCAGCATGTCATTAACCCGATGTTATCGAGTCTGCAAAAGAGCCCTCGAGACAAGCTACGACGGATCACGCTGCGGACTGCCGTGCGCTGGGGCCTCCCGGCAGTCTTCCGAGATCCCCTAATTTCTCCCCGACTTTTAGAGTTCGACGAGATACTGTGGGCATTGCACGAGCATTGCGGCCTCGAACAGGTGATGATCAGGCTAGATCTTGCGGCGCGTTGGCCCGATCTTGCGACCGAGAATTGCAGGCTTTTTGAGAGTGTGCTTCCTCGAACAGCGTGTTCTGGCATTCTGTGTATCCTTACTGTGTAGTTTATCCGATAAACACGTATTTCAGCAAGTCTCTTATCGTCATTTCGATGTACAGCTTGTGGATGGACTGGTTGCAAAGCGCGGCAGGACACCGTAGTAGGCAAAGACGCTCTCACTTTTATCCCATCTTATCTATTTATTCATTTATTTTATTTTATTTTTGGGAGGGATTTAAAGCTAGTGCCAGGGACAAGGGCGATACTTGTGTTTTGTGCCCTTAGCATGATATGTCGACGACTACGCTCCGCTTACAGCTTTGCATTGACTTATTAGCTGCGAATCGTTCACTAGTCTCGATCTAATTTACGCTGAGCAAACCCGATGTCTGCAAAAGAGCTCTCGAGAACAGCAGCGACGAATCGCGCTGCGGACTGCCGTGCGCTGGAGCCTCCCAGAAGTCCTCCAGGATGCCTCAGGTTCGCCCCGAGTCTGATTCCCAGAGCTCAACGAGATACTACTGAAACTGCACGAGCGTTGCGGCTTGGAAGAGGTGGTGGTCAGGCTAGATCTTGCGGCGCGTTGGCCCGACCTGGCGGCCGAGAATTGCAGGCTTTTTGAGGGCGTGCTTCCTCGGACGGCGAGCTCTGGGATCCCGCGCATCCTTACAGCGTAGCTCCACCTGACGGACACTTCGGCAGGCAGTTTGTGGACAGACTTCGTTACAAGGCGCAGTAGGATAAAAAAATCGTAGCACAAAAACGCGTCGTGTCAAGGACGTCTAGGGCATTAAGATATACACACGCGCGTTCACTCCTGCTCGAACTTGACCTTCTCGTCGACGCTCTCGGCGCTCTCGGCGCCGCCGCTCTCGGGGCGGACGTCGTCGATGTTCGCGACGGGGCCCGTGAACCAGTGGACGCCGCCGTAGCGCGGGAAGTAGTAGTACGCGACGCAGAGCAGGAGCCAACCGCCGAGGACGAGCGCGGTGTAGTTCATGTCCGCGCTGTCGACCGCCGGCGTCGTCGGGAACATGAGGATGACGATCGAGAAGGCCATCCAGATGAGCGCGACGAGCGCGACGGGGAAGCCCTGGCGAAAACAACGAAGTCACTCGTCAGCAACTCTCGCTGTCAGAGGCGAAAAGAAAAAAGGGGAAGGGGGAGGGGAAGATGGGGCACGCACCCAGCGCCCGAGCGAGAACGGCCCGGGGACCCACTCGGCGCCGCCGAAGAAGCGGCACGCGATCGGGATGCTGTACGCGACGAACTGGCCGGTGGGCACGAGGCTGAAGACGGCGCCGATCGCCGCGGGCCCTGCGAACGCGAGCAGGCCGAGCAGTAGCGACGTCCCGCACGCGAACCACACGCAGTTCACGGGCGTGTGCGTGCGCGCGTTCATGCGGTACAGGTACCGCGAGAGCGGCAGGCCGCCGTCGCGCGCGAACGCGAAGATCTGGCGCGAGCACGCCGCCGCCTGCGGAAGGGGTCAGGGTCAGTGGGCGAAGAGAGGCACGGAGAGAGGGGAAACGCGCGCACCATGTCGGCGCCCATCAGCCACCTGGGGACGGTACGTGAGCGGATGGGTTCGCGGGGGTAGGTGGGGAACGTACTGCATGAACACCACAACGGACCAGATGGCTAGCGTGCCGCGCTGACCGAAGCTGTTGAAGAAGATCTGCGTCGCTTGCTCGTGAGGTAGGCGGCGTGCTCGTGTCCGTTAAGATACTCACCGTCGCCATTGGCTGTCCAATAGGGTCTGACATGATATCCTCGATGTCCCTGCCCATGCAGAAGGCGAGGGCAACGTTGATAGCTGACCGGTCGTTTCAGCATGAGTGCGCATGTTTCTCTCAATGCACGTACCCCAGCCGAGAATACCACCGATGCCGCAGGCTCCCATCATCGCCCATGGGACTGCTATACTCGCATTGGTTGCCTCCTCACTCATGTGCAGAGACGAATCGAATGCACCTGCAAAAACAGATTTGAGAACGGGCGGTGGCATGTAACCTAGAATACTCACCAATGGACCACAAAGGCGCGAGGAAGCTGAGAATGAAGGCGAATCCATTAGGCCATCCGTTTACTGTTGACTGCCGTCAATATCCGATGATAAGCAAAGAAGTAGAGATAACATACAGTTAGTGAAACCTCCGAACGCATAGCTCGCAGGGTTCCTAAATTCGCTCGGCGTGGCAGCCGGAACGGCGATGATAATCGCCAAACAGAGCCTGATTACGAGGTCAGTGGGTACATCAACATCGAGACTGAGACGGGGCACGCACAAGACATTTAACGCGATGAAGACGGTCTGCAAGCGCGCCAGAACTCTTGTAGCCATCGACGCCACAAAACCATGAGTGAACAGCAGCGCGGCGTAGACACCACTGTTTTCTAGGCTGAGTACGAAGACACACGAGATGTGATTGCAGCTCACAAGATGTGCGCCGTGGTGGGCACGTAGGTCAGGTTGGAACCGATGCTGACGGCTGCCAGGAGCTGAACCGCGCATCCCCAGTCCGTCGAGGCGACGCTAGCGATGTTGCCCATGGTGTTAGAGTCTGCACGACGCCCATCTTGTCAGCGTCTCCGAACAGGGCACAACAAAAGCGTGATTCGCACATGCACAGATCCACGACAGGAAGTTCTTCCACTTTGGTGGCGCATACTTGTGTGACCAGTAGTACAATCCGCCGGACGTCGGGGCGGCCGAGCCCAGTTCGGCAAGGGCCATCGTGATGAACATCAGGAAGAACGCGCACAGTGCCCACTACGAGAGAAATCAGACTGGATACAGCGAGACAGAAGCAGCGGGACGGATACGCACACCCCAGACCAGGGCAACAGGGCCGCCGTTAGGAAGCGCATAGACGAGCACGGACCTGATCAGAGTTATCAGCAGCGGCGATTATGGCAGAGGGAGGCGGTTGCCAGCTTACGCGATGGAGGGGAAGATCCCGATGATGCTGAAGGAGATGCCGAAGACCTCGAGGGGGGTGAAGTGCCGTTTGAACTCCTGCTTGTAGCCCAGGCGGGCGAGGCGCGCTTCGTCCGAGTACTGGGACATCGTTGCGGGCTGGCGGGGCGTGAGCGAGGCGGTGCGAAAGCACTCTCTTCGGGGACGTCGTCACTGGCAGATGGGGCCACGACCAAGGAGGACACCGGGCGAAGCGGGGGAACATAAGTATGCGCGGGAGAGGATGGATCCTGGATTCTCTTGGCTCGTTCGCCGGCCGGGTGGTGCCTTGCCGTCTCGGGCGAGAATAATGCCACGGGGCGAGCGTGGAGAAAAAGGTCTGAATGGACGACCCCCATATGTCAAGGTTTCTGATGGCGAATCAGCCGGCCAGACGGCGGCGGCTAGTCACAAACGACCTCACAGACCGCCGCTGCGTCTCAGCGACGAGTATACTCGGGCACCATACTATAAACTGCGTGACGACGCCACTGCTGCTCTGTGCCTGGCGCAGCTGAGCGTTATGTACCTGAACAAACTCTGTCTACGCCCGCACAGGGTCGCCTGTAGCGCTGTGAATTGGTCACCATTCGGAGAACCGACGCTGAGCCAAAAACCCGAGCTGACGTGCGCAAGATAGCATCATGCTCACCGGACCCTGCATGGGCCTCTCGTGCCTGGGATCCTCGATGGCACGGGGCCGCGGCCTGAGAGATGTCGCGTACGGGCACAGCTCGGTCGTGGCGCCTCTCTCTGGCTCCCCTGGGGCTGATTTGCAGATAATAACGGACGGGTGCCTGCGCATCCACGCTGCCCTCCTGCTGTGCTCGTCACACCCCGAAAGATTTGCGTCGCCTTGCCGGAAGGGTGTACGTTCATGCTCACGAGGTGGGGGCTCAGTCAGCTGCACACATGTGGGACCGCCGGATGCTATCGTCATGCTGCGATGCAGGGATGTCGTGATGTTCGCGAGTCTGGTCGGCGTTGTGGCCGGCAGAGAGCCCAGCTATTTTGACCAGAGGCCAGGTTCAGCTTCGTAACCGGGAAAAGAGATGTCGGACTCACCACCACCATGATTGCGATGGAGGAAGAATGTTTGAGGAGGTGTTGAAACGCCGGTAGCTGCCGCTGAAAGACAGTCAGGGTCGACTTACATGGCACGGGAAAAGATTGGGGCGACAACGGCCCAGGCAAACTGACGGGGCATTTCCACGACTCTACGTTGCAGGGTGTCATTGAGAATACGCAGAGGAAATACATCAAACGAGTGCGAGAGGGCATGAGAGCGCAATAATTAACTAGCAGCCGATCAGCCCAATCAGCCCCGACGCGCAGACAGACTTGGCGACGCACCTGTACACACAGGACCCAACAACCAGCAGCAGTTACACATTCATACGGAGGGGCCGCTAGAACCCCCTTGCCTCCGAGAAGTTGTCCATCTCGATCTCCGGGACGTCCGTGCGCTGCTCGGTGCCGAGCTCCCAGCGGCTGCGCGTCGCGGCCGCGAACGTCGTTGAGCCGTCGATGTCGGTCGCCTGCTGGCGCGTGCCGTGGAACTGCATCGACGAGTACGTCTCCCACGTCTTGTGCTCGCCCTGCGCATCGTAGAACTTCTCGCGCACCGAGATCAGGAGCCGGTTCGCGAGCACGGCGGAGATCGTGAACGAGAAGCCCGTGCCGAACTCGTCCAGCGTGACCTACATGTGGTGCCGCAAAAAGAAGAAAAAAATCTTTTAAATGATAGCGGGGGCATTGGTCAGCGGGACCACGCACGATGTTGAGGAACCACAGTGACATGTTGCCGACATAGACCAGGAAAATGCTGCGAGGTCACGTGATCAATCTTCGGCGCTCGCGACAACGGAGAGGAACACGCACACGACGAAGTAGAGCACCGAGTCCCGCGTGAGCGCCATCATGAGCCCGCCGTGGAGGCCCGCGCGGTAGGACATCCAGCCCTTGTACACGCTCAGGCCGAGCAGGATGCTCTCGATGCAGATGATCGTGAGCCAGAACCAGGTGATCCAGTGCGCGTGCGGCGGGTCGCCGTCCGCGCAGATGAACAGCCCCAGCGACGGCTCGTTCGTCGCTGGTGTGTGGGTGCGCCGCCGTGAATTTCGGTGTTTACGTCGGAGGAAGCAACAGCGTCGGCGGAGGAGCGTGTGGGGGCAAAGAAGTCGCCGAGTCAGGAAGCGTGCACGCGACGACGATCAGATGGAAGGCGGGCACGTACACACCAGGCCGGGACGCTGCAGCCCAAAGATGACGCCGTACACGGTTGCCTCGGCAGCGGTGAGGAAGACGCAGAGGCAGAAGATCCATCGCTGGCTGTTGTACATGGCGTAGATGCGCAGCTCCAGGATGACTGCACGTGTGCGTGCTCTCAGCGCGGGGAAACGGAGACGCAGGGACGCAGGACCCACTGTGTGTTGTGATGATCTGCAGCGCGGCACCGGTGTTCTGCCAGTGGAAGAATCCTGTGCCTTGGCGCAAACGAGCTGCATTTCAGTTGCATCGGAGATGGGGGGAGAACAGGGAACTCACAGCTGAGAGGGTCGCCAGAGACATGTGATATGAGCTGTAATGGCGACGAGACGGGCACTTACAACTGTGCCAAGAGTTCAGAAGGCAGGTGGAATGACGAGAGTGGGGGAGACGTACGTCAAGCGACGGATGTGTGTTCATGAACGCTATGGTGAGACGATGAGCGGGGATGTGCTGTATTCAAGAAACGAGCTTACCGCGGGCGTTGGCTCTGCATGCGCAGGTTAGTTTACCAAGGACCACACCAGACAAGGGATGACTCCTCACATATTGAAGCCCAGGCTGTAATATCGACTCTGCCCAGCATGTACGGTAAGTACTCGCGTGCAAAGCGAAGGGTTCCCCACGCACCCAAAGAAATAAAGCTTTCCCGAAAGACCATCGCTTGCGCTGTAGCAGCCTCAGACAATACAGTCAGCACATCAAGTGATCGTGCGCACCCAAAAGAGATCGATCTCATTGCTGAGTTGTAGAACTGGCTCCACAAGTTAAACACGTCCCACGGAACCGACGGGGGACGCACAATATTCGTATCCTAGAAAGCATATAACAGCGACTGGCACGGCCGTGAGCAGGGCTCTCCGGTCGACGGTCGGGGCACTCACAATAAGCATAGCGCTCCATCTGGGCGTGATAGTACGCATCGTAATCCAGCTCCATGCCGGGCTCGCTGGTCAGCGAGCGTGGTCCGGGCGATGGGGACCGGGTTCGCAGAAGCTGAGGCGACCGCAGGAGAGGCGTGTGGTCATATACGGGGGACGAGATCACGAGAAGGCCCTCGCCTAGCGGACGGGATATGTGGAGAAGGTCACCGCCCTGCAGGCGCACGGAAACGGCCGTGCCACGACGACCTCCTTATGGACGCTTTCTGATCGGGCGCAGGCGGGGGGAAACGGTGAGAATGAGCGTTTGGCACGGTCGCCAGCGTGGGCCTTGAGCGAAAAGTGGGGAGTGACTGGCTCCGACTGAGCCAGCGGCTCGCGCGCAGAACGTTGGGGTCTGGGTTGTGGATATGCTGCCGTCGTCACGGTGCACACGAGCACGCAGCTGCGGCTACAGACGATTGGCCGAGATTCTGTGCTACTGCCGCCGCGCTGCGGATACATTAGTACTAGCGGCTCACTAGTTTGAACGCTTTCGTCACCTTCTTCGATATATAACCAGTGTGGGGTGCGTGCCGTACGTCGTGGCCAGGCTCGCATCCGAGGGGTGGACCCGCCTGGTGGAATTGATGGCGACCGTCCGTTGCAATCGCCCCGACCTCACTTTGCCCTCCCACGAACATCTTCCCACAACCTCTCATAACTCGGTCATCATTAATCATATCTCACGCACAAGCCTCGAGAACCTTTACAACTCTGATGCACTCTGATACATGATGCCCGACGCGAAGAAACCTGTGAGACCCATCTCGAGCACGGCATCCTGCGAGACACCCCCCGCCATTTCCCGATGACTTCAGCGATGCCCCCAATCCTGCAGAGGCCTTTCGGAGTCCCCTCCTGAGGTCTTCCTCGAGCTGTCAAGGAGCGAACGACGGAACATCAGAAGGCAGTCCAAGCGTCAGAGACCCTAAGCATATCTGCGCGACTTATCGGGGCATCAAGCTCGAAAGTTCTGCTGCACCAGAAGACCAGAAGACCAGGTATCTTGGCCTCCTTTCAGCATCGCGTGAGCTTCGAAACTCGAAACTCGTGTGAGTTCGGACATGCCGGCCCAGTCACCCTGCTGTCACTTAACCCACCCTGGAAGCTAGGCGTCGCAACACCCGCCCTCAGCTTGCCGTCATGCCCGTCGAACACGCATTCGGTGTCGTCTACACGCCTTCCAACGTCGACTCGTATGGCCGACAGAGCCCTCCACTCACCGAAGAGTATCTCGATAGGCACGGCGTCCAGTTCATCCGAATCACCTGGGTCGACTGGATCAACAACATTCGCTACCGCGTCATCCCCCGGCCATACTTCAAGAAGCTCCTCGAGTCCGCTCGTCCCGGCGTGTCCATCACCAAAGCTGTGTTTGGCCTCGTCGCCCTCGCCCTCGCACCAGGCTTCACCGGAACGGGCGAATACCACTACGTTCTCGATCTGAGCAGCTTCAAGCTCGCCCCCTATGAACCGGGACATGCGACTGTCTTTGGCTTCTTCCAGTACAAGGTCCCCGACCCCGAGCACGGCCTCGTCGTGCCCTACTGCCCCCGCACGCTCCTCAAGAGGATCGTGAAGCGTGCCCAAGACGAGGCCGGCGCATCCTACCTCGTCGGCTTCGAATCGGAGTTCATCCTCCTCAACGCCACAAAGTCCCAGATCGTTCCCGTCAACGAAGCCGATTGGTCGGTGTCATCGAAGATGCCCTCCGGGGCGGTGGAGACGACCGTGATGCAGGAGATCGCTGTCAAGCTTGCGGAGGCGGGGATCGAGTTGCAGATGTATCATGCAGAGGCAGCACCGGGCCAGGTGAGTTAGGTGATGCTGTTGTGCCAACTCTGAAAGCCGACGCTTTTGAAGTATGAAGTAGTCACGGGCCCCTTGCCTCCTCTTGAAGCCGCAGACGCGTTGGTCAGCACGCGTGAAACGATCCACAACGTCGCCAGCAAGTACGGCCTCCGTGCGACGTTCGCACCCCGTCTGTACTCCACAAGCAGTGCGTCTCCTCCTATCACCACCGCAACCCTATCCTCACGTCTCTCACAGCCGGCAGCGCGGCGCACGCGCACATCTCAGTGCACAAGGCCGGACCCAACAAGGCGCCCACGCGCGCCGACGACGACCTGGGGCCAACGATGACGCAGGCCGAACGGTCCTTCCTGCAGGGCGTGCTCACACACGCGTCCGCGCTCTGCGCGCTCACGCTCCCGACGCGGTACTCGTACGCGCGCGTCGTCGACGGCGTCTGGTCCGGCGGGACGTACGTCTCGTGGGGCACCGAACAGCGCGAGGCGCCCGTGCGCCTCACGGGCGCGCAGGGCCAGCACCACTTCGAGGTCCGCTTCATCGACGGCACCGCGAGCCCGCACCTCGCGCTCGCCGGCGTCCTCGCCGCGGGCTCCGAGGCGCTCGTCCGCGGCGCACTCCTCACCTCGCGCGACTGCGCCACGCCCGTCGCGCTCATGAGCGAGGAGCAGCGCGCGGCGCACGGCGTGCAGAACGCGGGCCGCCTCCCGCTGACGCTCGAGCAGGCGCGCAAGAACCTCGCGGCGGACAAGGAGCTCGGGGCTGTCTTTGGCGACGACTTTGTTGAGAAGTACAATGGTGTCAACGCGGTATGTGTCATAGAGGCGTTCGCCATTCTGTGTACTGATGCTTTGGTAGCTCCTCGAGAAAATACTCACGGCGGACACGGAGGAAGCGACGGTGACTAAGCTTGTCAACTTTTACTGAGTATATCAGGCAGGTTCGAAACATACTCGGCAATAGCCTCGCGAATGTACTGTATCCAAGTTAGAAATCTTTATATTTTGAATGAAGCTGAAAGACAGCCTATGAGCTCGCGCGCGCTTATTACTTGGTACACGTTCACTGCTGCGTAGACACGACGGCTCAAAGCGTTACGCCGCTTCGGCCTACCTGGAGCCAAACCTGCACCGGAAGAGCCTACTTGTGCTGACCGAAGCCTACGTGACAAAGGTAATGTTGAGTATAATGCCTCGCGTGGAAGATGCTCATCTGCGCCGCAGGTCTTCCTCGAGTCGGATGGCTATCTGAAGCGGGCTACCGGGGTTCAACATAGCAAGGATGGCAAGCCGCTGTATATCGACAATGTCGACCGGGATGTCATCGTCGCAGGAGGTATTTGTGCTCCTTTAGCTTGGAATGTCGCTGTGTACTCAGCCCCATGACGCAGGTACCTTCCAAACGCCGCAAATCCTAGAACTCTAAGGAATCGGCAACCCGTCCATTCTGTCGCAGTTTGGTATTGAGACGATCATCGACCTGCCGGGAGTGAGAGAGAACCTGCGTGCGTGTCTGCTTCTCAGACGTCCCTGCCAACGATGACATATAGGTAGCAGAGGACTACGTCGGAGTATCGACCACCGACGAGGTCGACCCCACCGACGAGACGATGGACGTCCTCGCGAGTCCTCAATTCCTCAAGCAGCACGAAGAGCTCTAATGAGTATCCATTTTCCGTATCGCGACCATGGCTCTAACAGGTTCATGCGTGTAGTCAACACCAGTTGGGTCTGTTTGTGTGTGTTCCTGTTTCGGCGTTCGTCTTCCTGTCCTCATACACACTTGGCTCTCCAGAGGATGCCCGGTCCTGGAAGGAGCACGTGCATACCCAGAGCACGGAGGTCCTTCCGAACGCCATTCCCTCTCCGAAGTCGGGCCTCGAGAAACAGTACGGGATCCAGCAGATGCTGCTCGGCGACAGCCGCCAGTCTCAGATAGAGTAGGCTCTTTTCTGCATCCTATTACGTTGTTTCTCCCGCACCAAAGGTATACGGGACGAGCAACCTCCGAATTGTAAGTCGTTGGTTCGTGTGGGCCGTGTTGCTGATGATGCGTCTCACCAGGTTCACTGCTCCATTTTTTTATCGTACGTGGCTAACGCTTTCCTGAGACGCTCGCTCCCGGGCTGGCTGATCTTTCTGTCCAGGAATTATCATGCTACACACAGTCTGTCGCGTATGCCATTGGTGGGAGGGCCTGCAACTCATATCTCAGAGTCTTATTGAACGCTGCAACACTACGCATACAGTAACATTTTTTATGAATAAATAAGGACCCAGCCCCGGTGCATTGAAAGACGGAGCAGATGTTGGTACTTCAGTCTACGAATGAGAGCTTAATGTCACAGCCCCCTCAGGAACGAAGCCCACGAGCGCCTTGACATTTTGCAGGAGGAGGCATGACGGTATCCCTGTAGTCCGCAACAACCAACTCACATCCGGTCAGGACTCGCAGCAACCCGGACCTTGCTAGTCGGGGGAGCGCAGCACGTATGGCCTTCGCATTTGCAGTGGCGAGGTCGGCGTCGTCCGCACCATCGAGCAAGCGCAGAATTCGACCTCGACTGGCGCCCCTCTCATCGCGCAGCTGCAACAGGATGTCTTCGAGTCGAAACAGCCACAAACTGACAGACTCGTGACGCAAATGGAGTTTCGGATTCTCGATGGCCCAAATCTTGACGACGACCTGTCTGAGCCGATCCCGGGGGCCTGCCACTTGCAGGACCGATATCATGGAACATATCGTCTTTTCAAGGTCGACACTAATGAGAGCTGAAAACAGGCTGATGCTGAGGTAGAACGACCAAAAGTTGGCGCAGTGCGAAAGATTGACCATCAATTTGGGTGGTACCGACTCCCCCCTAAGAGCGCTACCAAACTGTACTGCACAACCGCATTCGAGAAGATATGTCCTCTGACTTCTCAAGGTGAAATTTTGAATCAGAAAATCCAATAAACGAGCTTGAAGACGTTTGCGCTAAGAATACCGAGGGAGACTATTTCTCGGCAGGATCACTCAAACTCTCAATGTCCAACGACCCAACTGTGATCGGGCCGGCGTCAGTCTTACCCAAAAAAACAAGCGATAGATATGGCAGGCACGCACCCTTCGCATCGTTAACTATAATCTTGGGGCGTAGCTTCTTCAGGTATTTCACGAAACTATCAGGCGATGGCTATACCAAGACATGAGCTTCATTTTCTTGTGAGTAATGTGGTGGCTTACAGGTGTCGGCATACAGGGCACCAATGCGCGTAGATCGCGAGTCCCAGCGACCGCAATCTTAGCAGACGAGTACTAAGCAACGCAGTAAGTCATCATAATAGTAAGTGTAAGTGTGCACATACTTTGAGGATATAATTGAGGATCTCTTGGACAGCATCGTGGCACTAGAAGAGCACACTCTTGTAAACCTCCTGGCAAGATCAACATCAAAGATAACTTACATTGCTTTCCCATCCGCCTGTCATAAGGAAGTCGACGTTCCGTGGCGAACCGGGGCCTTTTATGCGAGAGATGCATACGTCGCGTAGACTCCGGCGTATCTTGAAACGAGACTCCAGGATGAAAACACAGCTATCGCGCGGGAACGGCCCGTAAGTACCTGGACCGCACGGAACTGCGCGTTCCGCAACTATTGGACCGAGGCGAGTCCTTTGCAGGCAGGTAGGGAGCAGTGTCCAGAGGTGCTCGCGCTCAGGATCTGGCGGAGGATTCTTCGCATAGACTCCCTTTGCCCAGGTGGAAGACTTGACGACGCCAGTTACGACGAGCAGATGCTGGACAAGCTCAGGCATCAGTCGCTCTCTGCCCTCGCGCAGATACGCCGCCCAGCTTCCAATGTGCTTGACACAGTAATCGTGGATGCGGTGCTGGGCTCGGTCGGTCAACTCGACGCGGGCGGCACCTTCTGGGAGGAGGAGGACTGCACCGGCGTCCTTGGTGCACGCGAACGAACGATCTGGGCGCCGGGCACCGATGGTCACGATGTTCTCTGCGCTGCGATATTTCGACGAGTTAGTATGACAGAGACATTCGGAGAACTGCCACCTACCCTAGCCCCGGTTTCGTTTCATCGACTCCTGGAGAGGCGAGAATAGCCCCTTGTTCAAGATGGCTCTCGGACCGCTGTATGTCGGACAGACCCAGCTCAAGAACCTCGAAATTGGCTGGAACACCGTAGTACCGATTGACAGGATGGTCACGGGGGAGAGTGAAGTTGAAGAGGGGGCGAAATATACCTATACAGGACATGTCGCCGACGTCACCAATACTCATTTCGTTCTCCGGGTGTTGCCAAAGAGGTCTCCCATGACCGAGCAAATTGAGACATTCTTGATAGGTGGCGACTGCAGGGTACACTTTGTGAGTGGACTTCATGGTTGCGATAGGAGAGACTGGTGCAAATTATTATTCGTCGCCCATATCTCCACTTCCGAACAGCGGCTTGGCCGATTTGGGCTGAACGATCGTCTTAACGCCCGAGGACGCCACAGCCGAAAACGTTGAAGTACGGAGTACACCGTTCGATTGTAGCTCGGAGTTCAGGTCACCAATCGACTATACTGTGAGGAGACAGGCGAGATCACGATTTCCTTGTAAGTCAAGGCAGGGAGACTTCAACTATCACTCACCGCAAAGATCCCATGCCCAAACGGCCCCCCTGCGACGTTCTATCGTCCGTGGAACAAACGGTGACCAAGAAAGCGCAGCAGAGCCCTTCGTCAGAGATTTTCAGCACACGCACCTCGAGAACCGAGAGAGCACAGGCGAAGCGGTGGTCCGCCTGAGTTACTGCGCCTGTCTGTCGATGTCGTCATTGCATGTTCCGGACGTCCAACCCAAGTAAGAATCTCGCAGCTTTACACCAGCCGCCATACCTCCGCCACTGTCAATCTTTCTGGCCTCTGACTGTAGATACCTGACCGGTCCCCTCGACACGAGCATTTACATGTACACCCCATCCCCACTCTCACACCTCGTACTGAATATCAAAGGCGTCTCATAGATCCAATATCGCTACAAACCATAAAATACAGCCGTTACTTGCCACAGTCGCGACACGTCTCTACCAGTGCAGGCGGTGTGTCGGACACTGGTAGCCCGTCGGGTTCTTGTGCAGATACTCTTGGTGGTACTCCTCGCCGTCATACCACGTGCCCGCGGCTACGATGTCAGTCGCGATCTTCTCGCCTGACAGGATGCAAGTATGGTGAGCACGAGGAGTATAACGACGACAGGGACAAAGAGACGGACCTTTCTGGTCAAAGTGCTTCTTCTGGACCTCGGCCGTGACGCGCTCGGCGATCTCCTTCTGCTCGGGCGTGTGGTAGAAGATGGCGGACCGGTATTCTGTGCTGGGACTCAGTACGCAGGTGTGCTAAATGTGTGAAGGACGTACGTGTGCCGACGTCTGCGCCCTGCGAGTTCTCCGTCGTGGGGTCGTGTGTGCGGTAGAAGAACTCTGCTGTGTGTCAGCTGCGCGTCCACGGATGAGACAGGCAAGTACACGCACCGACGAGCTCATCGTACTTGACGATGCTGGGATCGAACTCGATGCGGAGAGCCTCGGCGTGGTCAGTTGTGCCGGAGCATACCTGGCGGTAGGTCGGGTTCTTGGCATCGTCCCTTCCGCCTGTATAGCCAACGGCAGTCTTGAGGATGCCCTTGTTCTCGCTGATGGGGTAGTGCTTGAGGAAGATGTGCTCGACGCCCCAGAAGCAGCCGGCGGCAAACGTCGCGACTTGAGGTGCGGCGCCGGACATGGTGGACAGGGCGTGGCCGGCGGGACGGTTCTGCAGCTGGTGGGCGGAAGCGGAAGAGAAGAACGGGAGCAGGCGTTGGAGGCGGGCGAGCATATACAGCGGGGTGGGACAAGTGGTCGCTGTGGTTGGGATAGTTTATGAGCAACTCGGCCGTGTCTTCTTGTGGGTGCTCATGATTGCGCGTTCGTAAGCGTATGACGCGACTTGACGCCGACGCCAGCTCTGCTCAGCCAATCGCTTTTCCTCGACTCCTCCGCCGTCCTACTCGTCGCCCCAGCCAGAAGCCATGGTTGAAATCACAATAAAAAAGCGACCACGAGCCGATGCTGTCGTCACTCAACGCAGGTTTTTCAAGAAGACGGCGAGAGGAAAAGTCATCAAAGGTGCGTCGCGTATCCCGTCGGAATTGGAGGATGTTAATCAAGGACCGTCACGCAGTCCTCCGAGAGAGATACCTGCGTGATGACGTGAGCTGCGGTATTCACAGCTGCCGGCAATGTGCTTCAATAGAAGAGTCAAAACCTACGCTCCCGTCCTCAGGATCGCTGGACCATTCAAGCTTCCCGAATGGCCACTTTGTGCTGCCAGATACGAATGTCTTCCTTGCGCAGGTGTGTGCCAATCACACTCTAGGCTGTAGGACGACGGGTCCTCAGGAGGATGCTGCGAGGTGTTATGCTAGAATTGGCAGCTTATGTATGTGCTTAGATGGACCTAATCGAATCGAATTTGTTCGCTCCACCGATTATCGTGCTGCAAACTGTCATGGAAGAAGTCCGCCACCGCTCGCTGCCCCTGTATAACCGCCTGAAAGCACTGCTCAAGGCCGACGACAAGCAGACATGGGTATTCTACAACGAGTTTCGCTCGTGCGTTACAAAGCTTCCTGTTCACTCGGTCTACTGTTAACAATTACGCCTAGAGAGACTGCCGTTGTACGAGAGGAAGAAGAGTCGCCAAACGACAGAAACGATCGAGGTGTGCCCCATCCGTAAGAACGCAAAAGCGCTGCTCACCATGTCCGCAGGCATTCGCAAAGCGACATCATGGTACCACACGCACATATCGCTCGCTCGACCGCCGGTCCGCGGACAAGCAAAACCCACAATCCCAGACGTCGTTCTTCTGACAGACGACGCGGCGAACCGACAGAAAGCCGAGAAAGAAGGCATCAAATGCATGTCCGGTACGCGTGTGCCCCAACGTTGTTTTGAAAAACGATCCAAGTTTGACCAGGACTCTGCAGTTCGCAAGTACGTCGAAGGTGCCAAGGAATCGAGCAGGTTGCTCGACCTCTTGTCCGCTGTAGGCTCCAACGAGATCGAGCCGACGAAGACAGCTGCGGCTAGGCAAGCACTGTACCCAGAGGTAAGTGCTCCATTAGGGGGATTCAGAGTGGTTGCCCTGGGCTGCTGTAGGGGATCTGGCGCAGGAGCCCAAAATGCGGCAATTTTGCGCTCAGTTTCACAACAAGGTTCTGCAAGAGTCCAATAGACCACGTCGAACCCCCTTTGTCGCGACCAGGAACCACTTACTGACTGTTCATAGTATCTGTCTACGGCGACTCTTGTTGCCGGTGTCAAGTCTGGACAGCTGCACCAAGGGCACTTCAATGCCAACCCTTACAACTACCTGGAGGTGAGTCCCGTGTAAAACGCATATGTGCTCCCTGACAGTTGTGTAGGGTAATGTTCCCGTATCTACGTTTGACAAGCCTGTTCTGCTCATTGGTCGTGAGAACATGAACCGGGCCATCCAAGGCGATGTCGTTGCTGTCGAAGTCTTTCCCGAGTCCGAATGGAAGGCCCCAGGGGACGAAGTTGTCGACCAAGAAAGTACGCAGTTCACTACGATGCCCCAAGCTAATCACGCTCATCGTGGATATAAAGCCACACTGAAAGATGATGACGCCGACGAGTCTGAGGAAGAAGGTGACGATATAGAGGCTATCAGAGAGGCAAAGGTGCTTCGGGCCGAGCAAGCAAAGAAGGCCGCCGCCGAGCGCCAGCCAACCGGACGAATCGTTGGCGTCATCAAGAGGAACTGGCGATCGTACGTTACAACCTGTGTCGCATCTACTCCAGCCTCTAACTGGGGACTTCCAGATACGTCTGCCACATCGATTCATCCTCCCTCACCTCCTCGCACGAGACCTCGCTCTCACAGCAGACCGTCTTCGCGACGCCCGTTTCGCGCTCGCTGCCACGCATCCGCTTGCGCACGCGCCAGGCGCCGGCGCTGCTCGGGCAGAAGATCCTCGTCACGATCGACCGCTGGGACAACACGTCGCGGTACCCGGAAGGCCACTTCGTGCGCGCGCTCGGCAAGGTCGAGAGCAAGGAGGCCGAGCAGGAGAGCCTCCTGCTCGAGTTCGACGTGCCGTACCGGCCGTTCGGCAAGGCGATCCTCGACTGCCTCCCGCCCGAGGGCGACGCGTGGGTCGTGCCGCCCAAGAGCGACGCGAACCCCGAGTGGCGCGACCGCGAGGACCTGCGGGACCTGCTCATCTGCAGCATCGACCCGCCCGGCTGCCAGGACATTGACGACGCGCTCCATGCGCGTCCGTTGCCGAACGGCAACGTCGAGGCCGGCGTCCGTGAGTTTTCGGCCGCGGCTCGTTTTTTTTTCTTGTCGCGATGCTGGGCTGACTGACCCCCGATCACCAGACATCGCCGACGTCTCGCGCTTCGTCCTGCCCGACACGCCGATGGACAGCGAGGCCGCCGCGCGCGGGACCACGGTCTACCTGGTCGACAAACGCATCGACATGCTGCCCGCGCTGCTCGGCACCAACCTGTGCTCGCTCCGGCCGTTCGTCGAGCGGCTGGCGTTCTCGGTCATCTGGGTAAGCGCGGCTCGTGTGCGTGCCGGTGCCAAAGGGCAGTCCTGTAACAAGGTTATTTTTTTTTTTTTTGCAGGAAATGACGCCTGAGGCCGAGATCGTGAACGTGCGCTTCACAAAGTCGGTCATCGCCTCCAAGCAGGCGTTCACGTACGAAGAGGCGCAGATCCGCAAGGACGACCCGTGCGTCTTCCTCTGTCCTTTTTTTTTTTTTCCTTTCCTTTCGCGTTCGCTGACTCGGCTTGGCTCGGCTCGGCTCGGCCCCGCAGGACCCAGACCGACGCGCTGACGGAGGGCATCCGGCTGCTGAACCGGCTCGCGGTCCAGCTCCGGGCAGGGCGCATGGCCGCGGGCGCGCTGAACCTGGCGTCGCCCGAGGTGAAGATCCACCTCGAGAGCGCCGAGTCGTCGGACCCGGTCGACGTCGAGCAGAAGGAGCTCCGGGAGACGAACAGCCTCGTCGAGGAGTTCATGCTCCTCGCGAACATCAGCGTCGCGCGCAAGATCCAGGAGACGTTCCCCCAGACGGCGGTCCTCAGGTGCGCGTCCGCCCTCGGGCCCATCGCTTTTTGTGTCGTCGCTCGCTCGCTCACGTCTGGCTTCCTTGCGCAGGCGCCACATGCCCCCGCCGCGCACGAACTTTGAGAAGCTGCAGGACGTCCTGAAGAAGCGCCGCGGCCTGGCGCTCGACGTCTCGAGCTCGGGCGCGCTCGCGGCGTCCCTGGACAAGTGCACGGTGCGTACGCCGCGCTCTCTGACGAGAAAGAAAAGAAAAACAGTCCTGCTGACGGCCATCCATCCATTCATTCAGGACGCGGCGGAGCCCGCGTTCAACACGCTCGTGCGCATCATGGCGACGCGCTGCATGCTGAGCGCCGAGTACTTTTGCGCGGGCAGCGTCGGGCGCGACACGTTCGGGCACTACGGCCTCGCGACGCCGATCTACACGCACTTTACGTCGCCCATCCGGCGGTACGCAGGTGCGCGCCCGCCGCTTCCTCTTTTCCTCTCCTGTCTCTCTCGCTGACGCCACGCCACGCCTTTTTTTTTTTTTTCTTTCTTCGGCAGACGTGCTCGCGCACCGGCAGCTCGCGGCGGCGATCGGGCACGCGCCGCTGCACGCGAGCCTGCACGCGAAACCGCACGTCGAGCGCGTGCTCGGCGTCGTGAACCGGCGGCACCGGATGGCACAGATGGCGGGGCGCGCGAGCGTCGAGTTCTACGTCGGGCTCGCGCTGCAGGGGCGGGCGCGGCAGGGGCCGCCGGTCGTCGAGGACGCGTTCGTCATCCGCGTCTTCCGGAACGGCGTCGGCGTCTTTGTCTCCAAGTGGGTTTCCTTTGTTTTTTTGGTAAAGAGGCGGTGGGGCTGAATAAGGCGGAAACGCAGGCTCGGGCTCGAGGGCCTCGTGACGTTCACGCGCGAAACGAGCTTCGACGCGGAGAACTACCAGATCAGCGTCCCGACCACGGCCACGGCCACGGCCACGACGACGACGGTTGCGGTGTTCGACAGGGTGAAGGTGCAGATCGCGGTCGAGCGGGACAAGAACACGCAGCGGGGCAAGGTCAAGATGACCCTCGTCGGGCCCGTGGACCTCCGCGCGCTGTCGGCGTAGTGGGGAGGGCACGGGGCAGCCGGCGGTGGTGCGCGCACGGCAGAAGCAGTTTCCAGGAGGCCGGTGGGAGAGCTGAAGCCCCGGATAGGCCAAGGCCTGCTACCAGAGGGCGAAGGGTGGGGTTGGAGAGGGGCGGAGATTTCACAAGTGGGGGAGGTGTTATTTAACCGCTGGCGCGACCTTCGGCACGCGGAACTAGCAATGTAAACTTGTCGACAAAGCACAGTCGTGACTTGCTGCCATGTCTTGCGCTGGTGTACCCCCTCTGAGGCCTGAGGCTCTGGCCAGGCGCTGCGAGGGATGGGCGGGTGCGATGCGCGCGTCGTACGTCCGAGTCGCTCGTCGCAGCGGATGATGTTCTCTGCTGGCTGTCCCTGGTTGTGAAAAGTGCTTGTCGTGCCTGGATCAGAAGAAAGATTGTCAGAGAGTTTTGTCCATGTTCCACGGCTGCGTTCGAGTCGAGTCGCCTCTGGATGAGCGTTGGAGCGAGTTGGAAGCGGTGGACCGGGCGAGGCGCGGTCTCGGTCGGTGACTGGCCAGGTACTCGCCGGACGCCACCAAGCTGATGGCAGCGGGAGATGACCCTCGCCCGATGGCAGCGTGTACCGTCTCGTGCGCACCCCTCACGCTGCTCTCGAGCCATCGCCGGCTCGGAGACATTTCACGGTGCCGGCGGCGGATCCCGTGCCTTGGAGACCCGCCTCGTGTGAAAATGGGCGACTAGAGGCGGCCATCTGCCCTGTTCAGCCGCATTGTCGGCCGCACGACTGAGAAGCGGTAGGCTGAAAGTGCCCTGAAAGGCACGACGGTCTCGCCGCAGCCGCTCGGCGCGCCACGTGGCCGCCAGGCAAACTCTGATTTCAGCTCATACGAGAACCGTCGGTGCTTGGCACCGTTCCTCCCACTCCCCCCACCCTCGACGACGCCGCCGCCGCCGCCGCCGCCACGTCCATCGTCGAGCACAGCTTCCGCAACGACGCCGACGAGTCCCAGCCATCACCACCGCGGCACAGGTACGCCCCACCCGAGGCGCCCGTTCCCGCCTCTGTCGACGAGTTCGCTTTCTCCACCCAGCATTTTCGCTGGCAGGCACACGCAGTACGAGTTCTGGATCTGTGTAGCAATGTCGTGCTCCTGTTCATTTCCTGTCTCGCCTCCGCAGGCTCCCTATTCCAATACACCGGTGCCAGCGCCAAATACCCGCACCCAGCATGAGCGTATTCAACCCAAAAATTCTCGATGCCAGCATCCGGGACATCACGACAGATCTCGCTGACGAGCAGAAAGTCGACGTGCTGATCTACGCCATGCAACATCTGAAACTGGACCGGTCGGTACCCCGTTCTCGTTCTCGTCCCCGTGCCCCGGCTCACCCATCCCCCCCGCTGCAGTTCCAGGACCGTCATCGAAAACGCAGTCGAGTCCTGCCTCAAGCTCCCAAAGCTCTCTCCAGAAACATCAAACAAGGCCCGTCTCCTGCGCGCAAAGGCTCGCCTCGCCGTCAGCCTCCACGCTGGCGCGCATCAAGGTCGGGGCCCCTTCTAGCCTGCCGGCCGTGGTCCGTTCCAGACTGACGCACCCCCCCCCCCCTCCCTTTTCTTTTCGTGCCCGACGCAGACTTGGAGGCCATACTCAGGCTTGATCCTGACCATCTCGAAGCGCGTTCTCTCATGGGAGGCACACTTCACCCTGGCAAGGTGCGTCCAGTGTCCCCGCCGCCGCCGCCGCACCCGTCTCTCACCCGCGCGCCGTTTGTTTTTTTTTTTTTTTTTTTNTTTTTTTTTTTTTTGCAGAGCGCGACGCACCCGCGCAACCAGAACCCGAGCTTCTCGACCGAGGTGTGGCGCGAGATCGCCGCGTTCCTCCCCCGGCGCGACCTCAAGACGCTCCTCCTGCTTCCCCACGTCCTGTCCCGGATCGCGAGCCAGTTCCTGTTCCGCCAGATTGACCTCCACTTTGGTGCGCCCCCGTTCGCTCTCTCTCTCTTTGCTCTATCGAGGCGGCGCGCGTTCTCACCGCTCGCTCGCTTCCCACACACCACACAGACAGAGAACACGCCCAGCAGAGCGCGGACATCCTGACCCGCATCATCACTCGCTGTGCCCAGTCTGCGGAGGGCACGGTGAGGTGGAGGGTGCGGAGCTGTGTGCGGTCTGCGAGGAAGGCGCTGAGGGCAGGGAAGAGGTCGTAGTCGTTGACGCGGTAACCGCGGAGGGCGAAGGCAAAGTGGCGGAGGAAGGGCAGCGCGGAGGCGTGCTCGCGGAACTGGGCCGACGCCGTCGCGCACTCGAGCACGCACTGCAGCCGGAGCGACTCGAGCTGCGTGCCGTGCGCGAGGATCGCGGCGAGCCCGAGCGAGTCCGCCGCGAAGGTGCCGAGGAAGTCGAGGTGCGTCAGGTTCCGCAGCGAGAGCTGCTCGGCCGGGAACGGCCAGTTCAGGTTGTGCAGGTGGATGCTCCGCAGCGCGCCCCGGTTCTGGGCGAGGAAGTCGTACGCCTGCGTCGAGCTGCCCGCGTTCGCGGACAGCGAGAACTGCGTGACGTGCTTGAACTTGGGGAACTTGAGCTCGCCCATGCCGTCCGAGGGTCTGGCGGCGCTTTCGCTGGTCAGAGGGGGGCCCCCTTTTTTCAGAGAGAGAGAGAGGAGCGCACGACGTACACGAGCGAGAGACCAAAGATCCGGTGGTGGGCACCCTCGAGAACCCGCATGAACGCAAAAATGTCTTTCCATCGCATGCTGCAGTGGATGTTTCGCAGGTTGGCCATCTTTGGCAGCGCGTTCGCCAACATGCCTGTGGGAGCCGCATCAGCAGGGGGCGCCGCGAAAAAAAAAAAAAAAAAAGGAGCGGGGGACGCACCAGTCTGGAAGGTCATCGGGAACGTGTCCCGGCCGGGGACAAAGATCCGGAGCGTCTTGACGTGGCTTGCAAACGAGGCATCCCGCCTCGGGTACGACGCGACGGTGTGGGGCGTGCTCCCCGGCCTCACCGGGCTCCGCGCCCTCCACGCGACCCTCCCCAAGGACGTCGCCGCCGCCGTCGCCATGTGGCTCGTCCCCCGCGGCGTCACCGCCCTCGCGCTCTACTCGCTCCAGGCGGGGGACCCCGTCTCGTTCGTCTCGGTGAGTGCTTGTCGCCCGTGCAGCTGCCGTCTGACGCGTCTTCTGTCCCTCCGCTGTCCCTGTCCCCGTGTCCGTAACCTGCGTCCGTACCCTGCGCTCCTCCTCCTCCTCCTCCTGCGTCCGCCCGCCCGCCCGCCCGCGCCCACAGCAACTACGCGCGGGCCTGCCACCCGGCCTGCGCTTCATCGGCCTGTTCCAGTTCCAGGTCGAAGACGTCGCCGAGGTCGTGCGCGCCGGCTTCCCGATGGTGCGCCTCGCACGCGTCGAGGACGCCTACTACACCGTCACGCCCGGCGCATCGAACGGCACGCCGCTCGCCGTCGAGGAGTGGCCCAAGAGCAGGACGCGCCACAACGTCACCGAGTGGCTCGAGTGGTACGACTGTGCGGGCGCCGAGTGGCGGGACCCGACCGAGTTTCTGTAGGGTGGGGTGGGTTCTCTGCTGCGCCCGGACTTGTCCTCGCTCGTTTGTTTCACAGTTTTTTCGTACTCGCTCGCTGACAGTCGTCTGGTTCTTTTCGGGGGCTTTTTGTTGGTCGAACTCTTTTTTTTTGTTTTTACTGTACAAATACATACACACGTCTTTTGCTTGTCAACAAAACAAAACAAAATAAGCACTGGCACTTTCGCGCGGCATACCCTAGCTGTCCGGTTCTGGCTAGGCGAGTCTGAGCACGGTCACGACGCCCGTGCTGTCCCCTAGCACCACGACGCCGCGCGCCTCGTCATAGTCAAGCGACGTCCACGTCCCGCCCGCGCCTGCAGAGCTCCACAGCGTCCTCGGCCCTCCCCCTCCCTCCTCCCGCCCCTCCTCCCCGTCTTCTCCCCGACCATCCCTTAGCACCCCAGGCAACAGCGCCCCGACGACGCGCTCGCGCTCGCGCCGCACCCCCGGCACGCCCGCCAGCACCAGCGCGTCGAGCCCGGCGAGCCCGACGCTCGTGCTGCGCGCTGCGCGCGGCGCGATCCAGAGCGCGGTGCCGTGCCGCCCGAGGTGCATGTCTGTGCAGCGCAAGTGGCCGCGCGCGCCCGGGAAGGACGCGGCGTGCGCGGGCGGGAAGGGGTACGGGGACGGGCTGTCTGCGCTGGGGCTGTCTGCGCTGGGGCTGTCTGCGCTGGGGCTGCCCGATCCGCCGCCGCCGCCGCCGGGCGTCGGCAGACTGCTCTGGTGATGTGCGCCATCGCACGCAGGCACAGCAGACGGACACGCAGGGTGTGGGTCGAGCGTGTACAGATCGACGGTGTGCATGTGCGACGCCCACGGGTCGTCGCTCTCCGCGCGGAGGAGGACGGACACGCGCGGGCTGGCTGCGCCCAGGGCGTCGCCGGGGAGTTTCGCTTGTGCGGCGACGGCGACGCCGTCGAGCCAGCCAAAGTGGTGTGTCGCGATGGGGTGGTGCTGCGGGTGTGTGGTGTCTGTGGGGGGCGCAAGGGCGGGCGTGTGGAAGGCTTCGAAGGTCCGGGCGCGCACTACAAAGGTGCATGGCGAGGAGAGGAGGACACACAGGCAGCGGTTGTGCTGTGAGCTAGTCAGTGTGGAATGTCCGGGGGGCTGGGAGGGAGAGCTCACTCGGAAGTTGTGCTCTGAAGGCGCGTCGGAGCCCCAGATGCACGCGAGGGCGTTTGTGCGCCAGTTGACGAGCTGTGTTTCGTTCACGTCGTCGCTGAGTGCAAGAATGTCGCCTTTGAATGCCATCGCGCGAAACCCCGTCTTGATAGTTGCGAGTGTGATGAATTGCACGCCACTCTCTCCGTCCTCGCGGATCGCGAGCACCTCAACACGATCCTCGCTGCCGGAACTCGTGAATACGTGGTATCACACGTAATGGTAAAGATAACGCACCCAGAGAAGCTCAACGACACAGCGAGACACGCCTCCGCTCCCGGATCCGAGTTGACTACGATGCCGGTAAAGAGCGCGCCCTTGCGAAACCACTCCGCAGCCTTGGTCGGGCGTCCCACGCCCTGCGTATCCGAGCCACCGCCCTCGTCCAGCCCAACGTTCCAGCAGGTAACTACAGGCCATATCCCCCGCGCGACCGCGAGGACCCAGCGTGGGTGCGCGGGGAGCAGACGGACGTCAGAGATACCCGTGCCTGAGCTCGCGGCGAACTCTGCGTGGAGTAACACATCCGTGTCGCCCGCAGAGTGCAGCCAGAAGCGGGAAATTCTGCGCGCCCGGTGTACGAGGTGCTCGAGTGTCGGCGTCGGGAGGGTGTCGACCGCCACGGGCGGAAAAGGGACGCCTTCATGGTGGACATGCACGGTGAGGGCCCGCGTCCAGACTACGCGCAGCCGCGAGATGGCGTCAAAACGTGTGGAGACCTGTCCTTTGCGTGAAAGGTCGTGAGTTTGGCTGCGCTTTTGCATGCGAGGCCGGGGGACCTACCCGTCTCATGCGCAAGAGGTCATCGATGTCGAGGAAACTGAAGATGTATATGAGGGTGTCGTCGTCCAAGCCAGACAGACAAGTCCCGGCACCGCAAGACATACTGTCTGTAGCCTAAGACTTTAGCTATAGGCTGTCTCAGGCATAGTTACCCACGACGTACCCAAACGCCCGCTCGCCGTCGCTGACGACGTCAAGCCTCATCCGTTGAAGCGCCGTTCAGGATTAAAGAATGTACATCACGTGCATTCGGATCTGTGCGTGATATTCCCACGATCTCACTATCATAAATTTGCGCGCCGTGCGAAATCTTGTTCTCTGATTCTTCCACAACTTGAATCGCCGGTGATGACACGTCGATGAAGCAGCGAGATGAGCACGACGATGTCCTCTGGGATGTTGTCGGCGTTGACATCGCTCGTTCGGCTTCTAACCACCTTGTTACTTGTAATAGGGACGGGCTTGAATGCGAGCTGAGGCGTTCTCTGTGGAAGATGACCTTCGTATGTCCCACTTTGTTGTATCCGCTACGGGGTTAAACATACTTCTGGTGGTTACGGGAGCTTCAACGGTGCTGGTGGCCGCTTACTTTTGTGCTTTGAGGTTGGATTGTTCGCCAAGAGAGCTGCTATCCCTACCTCCGGCCGTCATTGTAAACTGTTTCCTCGCTTGTCTGTCCACGTTACACATGGACTTTCGCGAACAGTATTATCGACACATCGGAGTTCACCGTTCTCCCACAAGCATCTCTACGCCTAGTTTCTTCCCCTCTCTTCCGGAAGGTGTTCGCAGAGACCGCACTGTGTGCGGTCAGTAAGTACTTAAGTAATGTTAAGTAGTCACAGTAAGCGAGGGAACGAATACCCGTTAACAAGCTGTTATTAATTGAGCTGCAGAACACCTCTGCACGCCAATTCAAACTCCGTTTGTTATATGGCTTATAGTGTTGATAATGGGGCCGGAATGTCTGGAACCGAGACCTCTCTACACCGTTGACACTGAGGCCAGGTGGACTTCTGAGGGCACATCAATTTGACATGAACGAAGAACCGTACGGAGGTTTTGTTAGCACTGCACGAGGCGATGCCTACGAGAGTGAACTGTATTTTCACCCTAAATGCCTGCCGGGAGGACTCGATGGTAACCTGAAGAACGCGCTGTATCTACCCTTCTCTTTTGCCCCTCGGAGCGTTTTCGTGCAGACGGAAGGTGAGGATGCAGATGAAAGCGCGCTTAGTCGCATCGTACATTCACGAACGCGCCGGAAGATGTACATGGCCAAGTCTATCATAACTACGACGACCACTCGCCCGCTCCGCTGTCCATGCTCTTCCGCTTCCGCCCACCATTTGTAGGGCCGTCTCACCGGCCTATACACCATGTCTGGAGCCGCACCTGAGGTCGCGACGTTCGCTGCCGGTTGCTTGTGGGGCGTCGAGCACATCTTCCTCAAGTGCTGCCCCATTAGCCAAAATAAGGGCGTCCTCGAGACCGCTGTTGGCTATACAGGCGGAAGGGACGATGCCAAGAACCCGACCTACCGCCAGGTATGCTCCGGCACAACTGACCACGCTGAGGCTCTCTGCATCGAGCATCATCAAGTACGACGAGCTCGTCGGTGCGTGTACTTGCCCGTCTCATACGTGGACGCGCAGCTGACACACAGCAGAGTTCTTCTGCTGTACACACGACACCACGACGGAGAACTCGCAGGGCGCAGACGTCGGCACACGTACATCCTTCACACACTTACCACACTCACGTACTGAGTCCCAGCACAGAGTACCGCTCGGCCATCTTCTACCACACGCCCGAGCAGAAGGAGATCGCCGAGCGCGTCACGGCCGAGTTCCAGAAGAAGCACTTTGACCGCAAGGGTCCGTCTCTCTGCCCCCAACGTCGCCATACCCGTCATGCTCATCATACTTCTATCTCGTCAGGCGAGAAGATCGTGACTGACATCGTAGCCGCGGGCACGTGGTATGACGATGAGGAGTACCACCAAGAGTATCTGCACAAGAACCCGACGGGCTACCAGTGTCCGACACACCGCCTGCACCGGTAGAGACGTGTCGCGACTGTAGCAAGTAACGGCTGTGTTTTATGGTCTGTAGCGATATTGGATCTATGAGACGCCTTTGATATTCAGTACAAGGTGTGAGAGTGGGCATGGGTGTGGGTGTGGGTGTGGGTGCTCGTGTCGAGGGGGCCGGTGAGGTATCTATGGTCAGAGCCTGAAAAGATTCACAGATGCGGAGGCACGCCGACTGGCGTAGAGCTGCGAGACTGTTACATGGGTTGGACGTTCAAGACATACAATGACGACATCGACAGACAAGCACAGTAACTCGACGGCGGCGGGCGGGTCACCGCTTCGCCTGTGCTTGGTCAGTTCTCGAGGTGCGTGTGCGACAAATGTCTGGCGAAGGGCTCTGCTGCGTATTCTGGCCGCCGTTTATTCCATGGACGATAGAGCATCACAGGAACGCCATCTGGGCCTGGAAGTTTTTGCAGTGAGCGATAATCCATATCGTACTCATCAACGTGTTACTCAGGAGATCGCAGAGCTAGTTGAGCCACGCTTACCGCGGCCAGTCGTTGGGATAGCCTGTTGAGGCGCGGCGGGGCTACCAGCTGCACAGGACGTCCGCGAGGGAGTCCGTGAGATCGCCCATACCTGTCCAGGATGCGTAGGGTTGCACTAAGGCAGTACTAAGAGACGATGGTAAGCTGTACGCTGAGCTGAGAGAAGGTGTGCTGCTTAACGGCGAGTGCAGGAGAAGTATTGCTACCGAGTAAAAGTTTGCACCCTCTTCGGAAGCTTCATACACGCCAACCAGCGCATTCGGACCTCTAGAGGTTTGGCTGTGCCCATTCGCGCTCTGCACGCAAGCAGGTAAGAGTCCCCATCTTCTTCGCCGCTTGCCAATAGCTATAGCCAATGATGCAGCGACGAGAATGCTGCTGTAGTAAGTCCTCTCTCTTCGCGGAGTCTACAAGCCCATGCATTTATTGCTACCTCAATCTTCTCTGCAAGCTAATCAATGGTATTATGTGCTCATTTTAATGCTTTCACAGGCTCATGACAGCAAAGTTGAAGTTCTCGCGTAGCGTCTTCGGTATCGGCAATCGCCGACTGCGCCCACGCTGAGGCCTGCAGGCAAGCTGCCGGCCTCTCAAACGCAACGTAGATCGGTCTTGGTGAGCTTTGATTCTGATCTCCTGCTCAACATCTGTGGAGTACAGTTATCCACCGCTCCTTGAAACACCACCACTCCTTGATACAGCGCACAGTTCAAAGCTTTTGGGGTGTCTTAAATTAGCAGAAAAATCATGATAGGCGTGTTCTTTCTAGAACTCTTGCAGAACAATGCTAGAACACGAGGGAACATGTATTTCATGCCGGAGAGCTGGAAAAGTATGTTTTCCCAATTTGATGACACATTGATGGCGTTCTCAAGATCAAAGCCGTGAGTTAAACTATTCGGGAGCCCCACTGACACTTGCAAGTGCATCTCTGAACACACTATTTTTGTTAGCAAGGGCAGAGATCGTGTATGTCGTCCAAACGAGCTGCCGGTCCTTGGTGCGTGGGACGGGAGCGGGCGCTTCGTCAGGTAAAATTGCCTAAAGCGGTTACTCATCAAGCCAGAAAAGGGTGTTTCAAGGAGTGGTGGTAGGGGCAATTACCATCAAAAGTGCGGGATCCCTCCCATTCACTGATTTCCCCACCGTTGGTCTCTGAAATACTCTAGAGTGTGTAGGAGATGTGTGGTATGAGCTATACAAAGTTCTGGCTCGATACACTCTGTGGAACACAGTCAATGGGCACGGAGAATTTGGCTGTATCAAGGAACGGTGGATAACTGTACTCCTTATGTCTGCATAGCCAGCTACTTGACATGAACTCTTCTGCTCCAACGCTCCCTGTGAAGATCTCTATTGTTGTCATTCAGTACATAGATGACCTTGTCCTTGGATCTCTATCTCTATGCACGCAGCGGACAACAGGCAGAATCGAGGGGCCAAGTTCATCGCTGCTACCAACCATATCCGGCTTCGCCGTCAGTCAGTGCCAGGACCCCGGGTCCACTAACCCGAACCCAATTCTACCCTTCTTTGTCATGTCAGTCCGGTTTCGCCAAGTCACATTGGAGGTGCTGTCAAGTATTCTCGATGTCCCATTGCGTAAGGAGGGAATCTGGCGGTGCGTGGAACAGACCTGAAGTAGCTGATTTAGAAACGCTACTGACGATTGGGACAGGCTTGAGAGCAAACCATGGGCCAGAATATGTCCTGTTTGCGCATTTTGTGCAAACCCAGTGGAGGGCGAAATGCCCCCGGAGGCTAGCGCAGCTGCCCTTGATGACTGTAATAGATCAGATGTGCTGGCAGTGTATGTGCTGCAGCACAGAGCGGACAAGATTTTTGACATGCTACGGTGCAGAATTTTATGGTCATCCCTGAGAGGCCCAGACCAAAGGCAGAAGGCTGCTGCCGGTCTCAGCACACTCAACGTCATACTGCGAAATTTGGCCGATCATTGCTTGCACTGTCTCAAAACCTTTTGGCAAATTATGCTATCACGGCTGGAGGTTAACACCACCAGACTTCACATTTGTGAGTTCCTGGCACTTGTTTCCATGAACCCTCTTAAGTGATTATCCGGACTTCTCAGTGCAAGCACATCAAGATTCACCTTACTTCTTTCTGCTAGACCGTTATAAGTACATGTTGGTGTAAACTTGCCCAGCGGTGGGCAGTAGATTACTCAGTAATATGGTATGCTGAAATAGAGCAGGAATGAGCTCGTTTGGCTTGAGATTTGAGCCTAGAACATGGGGAAACTAAGGAAAGAGATACAGATGTGTGCTTATGTACAGTTATTTGACAATTGTCACGGAAGTGAGCGACTTGCAAAACCATATGAGGCAGGCGGACGGTGGGACATCCGATTCGTGGCGTATTCTCAGAGTAGTTTGAGATAACGGGGTAGTCCTATCTCTGAAGAATATGTCGTGAAACTGGCATCACCGTTGTGGCCCAAGTGCCAACAACACTCGTTTCTACCTCTCAAGCAACACCACAATGTTAATTCCTTCACCAGAGCCCAGTCGCCTGCGTTCTCGCGGGTTGCTAGCAGGTGGACAACATTGCACGATCATGACTTTGCTCATTTGAAGGTGGAAAAGATGAGTATAAGGTGGCGGAATGATGGACAAGCGAGGACAAAAGTAGGGCAAGAGGTACCTGTAAACAACCACTAGCGACTATCAAGCATGGGTAATAAACAGATTGTGATGAGGGCTTTCAGAGTTTAAAATACAGCTTGACCAGACTACACGAAGATAACAGTCTAGAACTGAATCACTAGCTAAAGGCAACTATTCCACCACTGAAATAGAAACATTTGTCCGGACACTGTAATACAATAGATGGCTGAAATACTCACCCTTACTCTTGCCTTTGGCATCTTGAGAATTAACATGCCGAAGCCTTTTATACACGTGCTCGACAGTGTGGGGGAGCACCCAAGATGGCAGGCCACTCTCGGTCACGATGAACGCTCGAGGGTGCTCTTCATCCGGCAGTTCGTATACCTTGCCCTCTGTAAGCTCAAACCACACAACTGGGTCCGTTCTATCGCAGCGCCAAGCTTGGTAGGTGTTACAACCAAGGAAATGAATATACAGCTCATTTTGCTGGAGGTCACGCTGGCAGTCAGCTGGCATTGACGGAGGTGTCGAGATACACTCAGCAGAGGAAGACAAAAACCAGGATGGTACAATCTGGGTTCCACAGATCTTGCGGGATCTACGCGTCGAAGTTATGCCAATATTGGAGGTCTACATAAGAGTTGTGCATTGGTGATACCGCAGAAAAATGAGTACAACTTACTGGCCATATTTCCATGGCACTAGATGCTTCTCAAATTGAAACAGTCTGTACTTCACGCTGAAGGCCACATCAGCATGCTGAGCGCCCTGTAAAGGTGTCAGACTAGGCTGTGGCAAGGCTACTATATTTGATGCAGAGCTAACTGCCTTGTCCTATGGAATTAAAGGACTGGTAGAGGAACATGAGACATGGTTACAATCATACAATGGTTATAGAGCACTTGAACAGAATGACTACCACTTTGTACTCAATGTATTTGTGGATAGCATTGTAGCTGGACTATCTCTTCTCAAAGGAGATTGTAGGGATGGCCAGATGCACTCTATTAGGGCATCCACTGCTCTGAAGAAGTTTCTCAGTGCACATGAGCAACACAAAGTACGCATTGTGTTGGTTCCTTCACATGTTCTGGGAAAAACCGAGATGGATAGCTGGGCCACATGGTTTAATGAGGTTGTAGACAAATTGGCTGGAGAAGCTGCCCATGATAGGGCACGACAGCCTAAATGAGGATCTTCATATGCTGCCGCGCATGCAGAAACCAAAGCCAAGGCCAAAAAGAGCTGGCAAACAATAATGAATGGCATCAAATACCGTGGGCATTCTAACCTCCTGAAACAGTCAGAACACAAGCTTATTGTTCCCAAACGTAACCACTACTTCCTCAAGAAATTTGGAAATGACCATTGCTTATATGCACGCATGACCCGCTTCATGACCGGACACTTTCCCCATGGAGAATTCCAGAATAAAATGAATCTTGAAGGTGGGCGAACATGCCTGTGCACAAATACCTACGAGACACAAGACCACATCCTATATGAATGCCCATATTGGATAAGAACTGACAAAATCAGACCACCCAAACGTGCACCTGACCAAACCCGCCTAGAGCTTATCTCCGCAGGAAAACAGCTTGAACTGCAGAACAAAGAACAAGTAGTCACAATTGATGAAATACACAACTTCCTGCTACTTACCCCTCTCGTCAGGACATTCAAGTGGCAGGATCTGATGGAACACATGCAATTGGATGTGTTCCCACTACGTGACAATGATAATCCTGACTATGAGTCTCATATCATCAACATCGTGTTCGATGCACTGGTGCTACAGCGTCCTACGCTTTACACTGAATACAAGCGCGCCATGCGCAGAAACAAATCTCCAGCACCATTCCTTCAATGGCTGAATGCCAAATCACAGTGGCCCATTAGACATATATGGATGAAATACCATCAGCATCACCCCAATGACCAATGGCTGTTCCAGGAGGTTGTACCAGACTGGCTGCGGTCAGTCTTTGTTGTGGCCCATGTTCCTCTCAAGATGGAGGTCGTGTGGCAGAGCGATGATAGTAGGGAATCAGTGAAACTCATCCAGGTAGATGACTCAATTGCATCTGACCCTGCAGAATCCCCTGCATCTAGTCTTCATTTGCTGTCATCTGAATCTGATTGGGAGGAGGCCGCCTCGACTCGGTACACTATGCAATATATTGAAGTATGGCCACACTCACCGTCACACAGTGAGCACTGAGACATTTTCTTTTTTCGTATTGTCTACTATTTATTGGAGCCATGGACTCTTGTGCCTTCAAAGACGCTAGTAGTTACGCGCTATATGGATGCTAGTAGACAGGTGTACATTACTCTATGTTGGTAGCACTTTAAATACAGGAACAAAAAAAAAGGGTGTTAGGCTTACTTGAGCAATTGGTGCTGGCAACTCACTTGTACGTGGAACATGTGAAGGCTGGAGATTCTGTCAGTGATCACTAATGGCAACAGTGAGAAACATGATCAAGGTTGTTAAGAGCGATAATGCTCCTCACCTGACACCAGAAAGAGAGGTTTCTCGCCCACCAGGCTGAGCTTCGCCTATAGCATGGGCTCCAGTGTTCGAGGATGTTGAAGGCTGGGATATGTAGTCTATAGATTCTAAGCGGGGTCGAGATGATCCGGGGGCTGGTCTGGAAGTGACTTGTGGAAGGTCGATAATCGTGACCCGATCTCGACTCAGCTGATAACGGGAGGTGAAGTAAACAATGTTGTCGTCGTTCGAGTTCATCTAGCTGATTGTTGATATTAGATGCAAAATGATTCTGGTAACACCAGTGATGGTCGAAGATAACAACGTTGGTACGAGCAAAGACCCGCTCATATCAGGAGTCTCAGTGCTTGGACTCTATGCAGCCGCAACTGCCCACAAAAGGAGTTTGTTTGAACATGTATTTACTATGATGGCACCCTGGTTTATAAAATTTGAGTAAACTCGCTTCTTATAGCTTACTACAACCACTCTTCATGGGCGGTCTTGCATAAATTGATGTATGCTCACCTTGATTACATATTCATATCTTTGTTGTATTTTATTGAGGTCTTGCAAGAGCTGCTGTGGATCCTTTCCAGTGCACAAGATGGGTCCTGCTCCCTCGTTTATTAATTTTGTCACACTAGTGTCACACCAGATGCCGTCGAGCCATGCTGCTGCCAAGAAGCCGAGCCGTCTCTCCAAAGTTGACCTCAAGTGTTTGAGGTCAGGCGGGGCAACAATTTCATCATGCTTTGCTCATTTATTGTAATGCTCCACTAATGTTCCTTCTCTGTACATGTACATAGCACCTTTTAGGTTGGATCTAGCCATCAGTAGCATTGTTCGGCCAGTTTTGGACTGCTTCCGAGCATCTACAAAATAAGCATACCATCTTTCCCCTTATGTCTGTCATGATATGGATGTCATATTATAGCATGAATACTGTCATAGGTGTAGCCCCAGCCTCCTATTATTTTTCCATTTCTCCTGATTTTCTATGATTTATTCCATGTTTGTACAACCCTTCAAACGTTGCCGGCGCAAGGGCGCCAGTTTACAAGTCCTAGCCACGCGCTAAAACACCTCAGGACTGCATCACCAATGGGCGCACATCAGCGCATCAAACGCGCCTGCATCGCCGCCGCCTCGTCACTGCATCACGCCTCCTTGGTAATAGCCACGCTCTGATCCCCACCGGACCTTCTATCTCCGAGTCCAATCAACAATGGACATCCGATTCCTGTCAGCCTGACAATGTCATACGCTATGACACACCAGCCCCTGCCTCTCGCTGAGTCTTCTAGATACTAGCAGACACCGTAACCACAGTCACTTAGGTAATGCCTGGTCCGTGCGCAATCTGAACAGTATATAAAGGGCCCCTTTGTTGCTACCTAGCCCCATCTCAACCTCTTGGTTTTTTGGGCTAGGTAAGCCTTCACTTGTATTTTAGAATACTCACTAATAAACTTGGTTATTTGGGCTAGCTGAACAAGTTAATGCAATCATCGCCAGACCTCAGTTGGCACCGCCTTTTGTTAGATCCACTTAGTATCCCTGGTGTTGTGTCAACATCAGTCCACATCAAATACAGAGCTATCTTAAATATATTCCCAGCACCTTTGGAGGCAGATTGAAGCAGCAAGAGCAAATTAATAAAGCAGGGAACACTTATAAACCAGGGTGCCATCATAGTACACCATGTGGTCTCCATGGCAGGTGCTTTGCTGGCTATGATCAGTATCAGTTGTCAAATTCAGGGCAATATGCATGAGATTGAATGGTGGTCACAATCAGACACAAGAACAGCATGGATAAATGCGCTGATTTCTTACCCAATATATTTCAAAGAAATTTATCAAGAGTCTTTCGAGGGTTTGTAATTTTTCACATCTGCATGAATTCTACTTCAGGAAACGCTGTTTGGTTCATGGCTAGCGACACACCGGGTAGCATAAGTAACACTGCAGCCCTGTTTATCATTATAGTCTACAAATAGTCATTATGTCCATAGTTTTACCATCTATTGCTAACTGAAGCTATTCAGGAAGTTAGCACACAAAATTGGGATACCATCAACCTGAATCAGTGCGGGCGCTTGAACGCAATGCACAATTCTTGCAAGACCATAAGTGCTGTCAGACAGATGATCCTCGCTTTGCCAGTTGAGTCTGGCTAGTCTGCAACAAAGACTAAGATAAATACCTGCCAAATAGACTGCTGACACATTTGTTCCTCTTGACAATGTAGCCCATGGCAACAGCCCACATTTTCAATACTGACTGCCTTCTTCCAATTGTTCAGAGTCAGCATGTCCACGGACCAATGAGATGAGCAATGCTTCAGTTGCCACCAGGCAAAGGGTTTTCGGCTGCACTTCTGACCAGCCAACACCTGATCTTGCTTGCCAGGCCCAGTTGGAAGATGCTGGCATCATGGGAAAAATTCCAAAGCCTCCTGGTGAAACCGGACATTCAGGTAGAGGCAGTGATACACTAGACTACGAGCTTGCAAAGATCTGTCTTGATAACTAGCACAAGTACTGCGAGTCACTGAGACAGATATTTGCAAGCTTGTAGTCTAGTGTATACCTGCCCCTTCTGGAACGTCCAGCTGTAAGACAGGAGTTTGTATAGTAAACCACAATCATAACAAGTTTATATGATTGTATTGCATAAATAAGTCTTAAATGTATCTGAATACTGATATAAGTCCTGGTAAAGCACATCCTAGTAGATTGTCTACTGAGGTAGCTAAGTTAGTACACACTATAAGCCTGCTTTCTCTTCTGCTTCTTCTCTGGTGACATATCAATAATGTCTGTTCACCAGCATTCAGAGCAGTAGTGGGATATTCAACTTGCAGGGGCACTTGCTCCAAGTCAGCCCATAGCACAGTTACATGTCACCTATGCAGTCAGGGCTAGTTGTTGAGGCAGCAGAAATCAATGCAACTAAAATGCCTGCCAAAGATAAAGGCTAATACAACACAACTAAACACTACCAGCTTGACATACAATACTAGTGGTTTTGAACATGCTCAATATCAGATTGAGGTTCTTGCGCACCTGCTCAAGCATTGGCGGGAGGTGCCCCTCGTCTGCATGTTGTACACCGCATGCTACTCCTCGCTTGTGAGCGCAACAGGGGTGCTGCAGTTGCGTGCCTCAGTACTCGTGGCGAAGATGTCTGCGAGCGCAACGTGCAGACACACAGTTCAGTTGACAAAGCAAACTTTGAAGTGATGCTAGCTCTGCGCACTGGTCAGTACCGTGTAGATGACACCCAAGACATGTTTGACGGGCATGACAGAAGGCTTAGAGCAGGTAATATTGGGCCGACACCTAGCTCTCAGAATAGGTCAAGTCTTTCACAAGTATGAATATTGAGATTGTATGAATTAACAGAAGATTACTAGCTCTACATACAGGATCAGCAGTTTCAAACATGCTTGATATCAGGCAACATTGCCCAGCAGCGTCCCTTGCTGCTCAGGTGGGCCAGCAAGTTTGTCGAGGAGGTGACAGTCATGCTCCTTGGTGATCAGGCCTTCGCGCTGCACACTCGCATGCCAAGGCATATCACTGTCCATCAAGATGTCGCTTGGGTAACACGCCTCACGCTCCTTGCCACACCAGTCAAAGTCAATAAGCATCGCCCCATTGTCGCACAGCAGCACATTCGGTTCGCAGAGATCCTCAAAGACGAAGTTGGCCTCATGGAGCACGTTCACTGCATCACAAAGACATTTGTGATGTGGACTTGCGTCGACACACCATGAGGGATCCTGCGTGGATCTAATCAGAAGGCGGCACCGACGAGGTCTGGCGACTATGCGTTAGCTTGTTCAGCTAGCCCAATTAACCAAGTTGTATTAGTAACTGTACTACGATACAAACAAAGGCTTACCTAGCCCAATTAACCACAAGGTTGAGATGGGGCTAGGTAGCGACAAAGGAGCTCCTTATATACTAGTCAGGCTGCGCACAGACCAGGCGTTACATAAGCGACTGTGCTACGGTGGCTGCTAGTGTCTAGGGGATTTTTGGCGGAGAAGTGAGGGCCAGTGTGTCATAGCGTATGACGTTGTCGGGCCGACGGGAATGGGATGCCCATTGCCGATCGGACTCGGTGATAGACGGAGGCCGGTGTGTCATAGTGTATGATGTTGTCGGGCCGATAGGGATGGGATGCCCGTTGCCAATTGGAGTGCGGCTGTTACCGAGGAAGCGTGATGTGGCAATGAGGCGGCGGCAATACAGGTGCGTCTGATGCGCTGATGCGTGCTCGTCGGTGATGCGCTCTCAAGGTGTTGGCGCGCGGCTAGGACTTGTAAACTGGTGCCAATGCACTGACGACGTTTGGAGAGTCGTACAAACGTGAAATAAATCGGAGAAAATGAAAATAAAATAGGAGGCCGGGGCTACGCCCACGACAATTTGCGGCTGGCAGCTGACAGCTCGCCAGTACAACTGGAACTGTAATCCATCACAATGACATATATGTTGATGCTGTCAACTTTCTCGCAGTACCACAGCTTCGGTGCCAGCAGCAGATTGGAATTGGCAAGGAGCTCGTGTCCTTCATGCAAGTACGTAAGTGCGAACTTGACTACAACCTCAGTCAGGCTGGAGCTTATGTTGGCGAGAGCTTTGAAGAGTGCTTTCAAAGGCTCATCAGGCGATAAGTGGCTGGTGTATTCGAGAGTCACCTGCATCCCATTCTGGATGCTGAACATGGTGAAGTGAGGTCCAATGTAAGAAAGCTCCTGCGCACTGAACATCGAAATCTTACTTGTAGATGAAAACACCCGAGCGTTAGTTTGGGATGCAGATGGGTGCGAGGTCGTGGACAAAGTGGGAGTGCGAACCCTAAAATAAGCGTAGTAATCATTCAGTTCCATGAGAGCAATCTTCAGTGCACAAAGAAGCTGAGCAGCGCAGTAGATTGCTTCGCTGAGCGGTGACTTGTCTGACCCCAAACTCTTGGCATGAGGGACGATGGAGATGTAGTCAGTAAGTTGTTGCACAATGATTTGGTCTGCAAACACCGCGCCGCCAACCATAATGTTGGGACCAGCTGTTGTGATCAAGAAGCAAGAACAGGGGAATGCCTCGTAGACCGCACGCAACTACAGGGGAAGATGTATTAAGCAAGCTGTCCAGCTTGTGCATGTCTCTGATACCAGCCTCTTCTGAGCAATAAAATGCTACGTAGTGGCATTTGGCTTGGGCAATGGGGTCGTTGCCGGCCTTGCCAATCTCGTTCTTGATTTCATGAATCCCTGCCAGGGGAAACAGATATTGATATTTGCGCTCAACGCTGGGTGGTGCAGAATAGAAGAAGACACTATCAAATTCAATAATTCTTTGCTCTGGTGAGAGCTCAAACCCAGTGGTGCTGATAATTGCACCACCCAGAATGTATGCCATATAACCCATTGCTTTCTGGTGGGCTGATTTTGATACGTAAAACTTTGAACAGCAGGCCAAAAAGTCCTGAGCTTCACCAAGTTCCTTAGAGGAGAACAGCTTCGTACTCTTCATCATGCGCTGGAAGGTAATGAACACAGGATTGTAAATTTGAATAGAGGTGGCAGATAATGTCAGTGGTTGAAAGTTGTAGACATGATCCTACCTAGTGGAGCTTTGAGTCACTATGAGCTCACTGACATGGGCGGCTGTCGATAGTGACTTGCGTTTCTGAGCCGCAGAAACGATCTGCTCACGGCCTAGACACGTGGTTAGGACAAAGGCCACTGCCCTAAGAAAGAAGACGCTGTCGACCTATGCAGTGTGCAACCAAACCTTCTTCCAGCACAGGTTCTAGAGTGTGCGTGGGAGCTTGCAGACGTAGATCAGGCTCTACGGAAATGTATGTGAGTGTGTGAACAAGTGAACAGTATGATGGTGCACACTATGAGATTGTTTTGCTTCTCAACGATGTGGAGGAGGATTCTACGTACGGGTCGGCGCTCGATATATGCGGGGCTTTACGTGTGGGGAGGGAACGGCCGATGACTAAACTCGATATCTAAACGCGTAACTAAGCTCGATGAACGATCTAATAAAACTCTTACTTAAATGCTCGTGCCCGCGCTCGTCGCGGGCGAACCTCGTCTCGCGCTCTCGCGAGTGTATTCTCGATGCTCTTAGGATGTGCCCGAAGCTCGGAGGGGCAGACTTTAGAGGTGAAGGTGGGGGAAAGGGGAGCTTGCTCCATTCGACGGCGGGAGGTCGCCTTTAATATACATGCGAGCGCTGCTCCGCTGCCGTGCTCTCGGCCGGAGGTCTATGTGTACGGAAAGTGAAGGTAAACATTAACAAAAGGGTCTCTATTGGGGAAGAACCTGCGAATGCGATGGAAAACGAAGTAGTGGCGTCAGGCTTCGGAAATGGCGCGCTGCTCCGACAGGCGATGACTCGGCACACTCGCGCACAGCGGGCCCCTATTTACATGCGCGTTCCTGCCGTCCTCAGGTCGCGGGGTACTCCGTCACTTGCGGCGTCACCTACGTCCTGTCTTCCTGGTCAAGCCACCGTCCACCATCTGTGTACATGCGGAAAGAAGGTAAATGTAAGTTCTTGGTGTTGGCGCTGAAAACCCTTCTACAACGACAGCATACGAGCGAGAACCGGATAATCTGAGACTTGTTCTTTGAGGTAAGGTAGACCCAGAACACATATGGTTACATCACGTGATGCCGTGACTTAGTGTGATGTCTGTGGCAGAGCATGGCATCTAGGTGATTACTCGGCCCAATATATACATGGCGACTAGTAATTATGGAGAAAACTGGTATGTACAAGGAAGTAGCATTGTTGTAAGCAGTATTAAGTGCAGAAGAAATATGAAGGGATAAGTAGAGGTGAGGATATACACATGAAAAAGAAGAAGACCAGCCTGGCATAATGGAGCTTGCTATACCAGAGCACAATCCCTGCAGAACTGAGTTCTTTGAGGATTGTGTTGTCAGAAATCACACAGTGGCTGGTGGGTTTATCAGCAGTACCAATGGTAATGAATGATAAGGTGTGTTGTAACCTCTCTGTGAATATTATTCTATGAAGCCGCATCAACTCAAAGGCTCCTGGCTGATTTTGGTGAAAAACACCTGGGATCTTGGACTCCTGTCTTGGGCCGTTCGCCATAGATTCCTCCACATTTGCATGGTTATCCAAACACACCAGTACACACATTTCATTGCCCTATAACTTGCCATTTGCATTCCCCTTCTCATACTCAGAGTTCAATCTCTTCTGTATTTTTCCCCACTGCTTAAGGCTCACAAAGCTCGAGCAATTCCTTTTCAATCTCCTTTCCATCCCACAAAATTGCCTGTGCGATGTTCTGCGGGATATACACTTGAGACATGGATCAGTTTTGATTATGTAATGGGTAGCTTCAGAGCCTCCTTTGCCTTATTACTCTCTTACAGGGACATTAATAAAGATTCTGAAACCAAAGAAAGTTTTCCACACATGCACTCTACAATTCTCTAGTCACAGAATTTGCATAAATGCTGTGTGGCTGCTCCAATAACATTTTGAAGGGTTTTCCCCCGGCCAAACTGATGCGAGCGTGACAGACGCCAGTCACGTGATGTAACCGTATGTGTTCTGGGTCCACCTTACTCGTCGGTAACGGCGCTCGCAATTCGCCCTTTTGGCTGGGCCACTCGGAGAGTTGCGCGGGCAAGGCCAGTCGGGTAGCTGCGAGGAGGGGACATACGGTGAGTAATAATAATATGAAACAGTGCCTCCATGAGAGCGTACCTGGTAGAACCGAGTGACAAACTCGTCGTCACCATGGCGCGCTAAGAGACTCGTGTACCTGAGATTTCGGTCAGCGAACACCTTCTCAACGATGGTACCGAGTTTTTGTTGTGTGTCGACATCTTCAAGACGAGCCAAGTAGTTGTAAATATTCGTAAAGTAATCCCTGTAAACGACTGCCCAAGTGAAGATGGCCATGGTGGTCGTCAGCAGACATGGTAGTTCGATTTCGTCGAGCCTGATGGTCTGTTTGACTTTGTTTATACGCAGTGTGCGCCGATGATCAAGTAGACCCTAACCCTAAAGATGAAGGGCAGTACCGCGTTCTTCCGCTCGAGCCGTTCTGTCAACATCCACCATGAGCCTCTCGTCGTTCTTCTCGTCTTTTTTGCCGACCGTGCACGCCGACGCCCCCGAGGAGAAGCAGGAAGAGAATAAACAGGAGGAGGCCCCTGCTCAGGAGCCTGCCCAGGAAGAGCCTGCCCAGGAGGAGCCCGCCCAGGAGGAAGAAGAAGAAGAAGAGGAGCCCGAAGATGTACGCATATCAATCTGCGCGACGCGACGAGGAATAGTTTCGCTAACAGTATGGAATGGTAGATTCTCCCGGCCATTCGTGAGGAGTGCGCACAGTCTTCAAAGTGCGTAGCTGCCACCAAGCATTTCCAGCACTGCGAGGAGCGTGTCAACGCTGGCCAGGGCTTCCACGGCGAGAACTGCATCGAGGAATTGTACGTGTATACTTAAATAAATGTATTGCGACGCGTATTGACGTTATCATACCAGCTGTGCGTGTCTTTCCTCTTAGTGTGTTTTGTCGTCTGACTAGCATGATCTTTCTACTTATATGCCGCATACAGACCAGTAAGTCTGCTTTCTGCGTGTTCCTGCAATAAAAATGCTTACGCGACTGCGTAGTATGGTGCACTGTGTCGACGTAGGTGATTTGCCCGCCTTTATACCGTAATAGTTGTTCACCTTACCCGCAGAATTGCACTGCGCCAAAACTGTTCGCCAAGCTCAAGTAAGCAATTTTGCCCAAGTTGTAGTATGCTTGGCTTGTAAGTACGCTCAGCTCGGTTGAGGGTCGCCCGATGGCTGATCCGACCCAGGCGAACTCCCCACAAGTTGCCGCGACGAGAAAGACAGACCCATGCGTCAACCTAATCTACTGTCTTCTTGCACGCTTAGACTGTTAAATGACATACAAAATCGTAGACCGGACGCTTTCATAACCGTGGCCTCCGCCATGACATTATTGTCTTCATACGCGCTTGATTCGGTGCGCTTCAGCTTCCAAACTCTAGAGCGATATGACAGCACATTAGAGTACATGGACGTTCTTGCGCAGCATTCCTCGCAATATGTTGTATCCCTTGCTTTAATGTTTGTGTCAGGGTGTTCCCTGTTCCCCGTCTGCAGCAATTCCGAACAGCGGGCGTCCCGTCGCGGAGGCATTTCTTTCCCACATACGGTCGCCATCGCGTCGTGACGCTCCTTCGCTCCTTCCATCTTACAGTAGCGTGGTCCTTCGCGCCCCGCGGCCCGCTACGCGACAGCGAAGGTCTCCTGCCCTGCGCACGTTCGTCGCAGCTCCAGTCGCGTATAAAGCACCTCGGAGAGAATGGAGTTGTGGCACCCCACCCTTGAGATGGCCTGGAAGTACACTGTGTTCGGACTTTCTGCCTTCTGGGCGTCGCATGCGGCAGCGCAGAGCCAGCGACCGTCCGTCGTTGGCGTGATCCTGACGAATCAGACCGACCTCGGGTCCGTGACGGGCGTGTACAACACCTCGCAGACGCCCGCAGACCTGCCGTGGGACACGTACAACTATTGCAACGCGCCTCACGTGAACGCGGCGCACTACACGATGCCGAACGTCTCCGGCGCGAAGCTCGTGTACCTCAACGCGGTCATCCGTCACCACAAGGTGCGTCGTCGCGTGTGCGCGGGGACACACCGGAGGCTGACACGGCGCCGAGCAGCGGACACCCGACAACCTCTATCCGCAGGAGAACGTCCTGAACACGCCCTGGGACTGCAGCGACTTTGAGCAGTTCAACTATGGCGGCCCGAACGCCGCACAGGTCTTCCACAAAACGGACATCCCGCCCTGGCACCCGTTCCTGAGCACGATCTGGAATGGCACTTGCGACGAAGGCCAGCTGACGCGCGGCGGGCTCGAGGACGCCATTGAGCATGGCCAGGTGCGCTGTCTGGGTGTTATACCGTATGTGCAACCGAACTGACGCTTGCTGGCAGGACTTTTGGTCGGTGTACAGCCAGAAGCTCGGCTTCCTGCAGTCCGTGAACGAAAAGGACATCTTCATGCGCACATCGGTTGAGACGCGCACCATGCAGGTTGCAAGTGGTTTGCTGGTCGGCTTTGACCCGTCAATGGCAACGAAGACGTTCCCCGTCACCACCCAGCCGTCACCAGTAAGTCTAGGTCTTACCCCTGGGGCTTTACTGTTTACACGGACTGGTTGTGGGAGCGCTTACATTGCTCTCGCTGCATTCCGCCTCCTCTGGCAACTTTCATGCTACCAATCGCCAGAGAATTTTTCAAGTAGAACACTAGAACGAGAATTTCGCGATAATTTTAGTGAATACCATTTCTTGACCTGACCTGACCCCGGTAGATCGACTCTATCCCGCCGAATTACCCGTGCAACAAGGCCAACGACATCCGGAACGCGTACCAGTCTGTCCCGGCGTGGACAGACCATCTGCAGGAGAACATGGATTTGAAGATGCGGCTGGACGCCATGCTCGGCACCGCCGGTCTCGCGGACTGGGCCTCGTGGTGTAAGTAATCCTGCCACCATTTCCGCAAATATCTCCAGCTCACGTGCCGAGCAGACGACCACTTCTTTGACACGTTCTCATCGAGGACGTGCAACGGCCATCCACTGCCATGCAACACGACGACGGAACAGTGCGTGACGAACCAGGACGCCCGCACCGTCTTCTCCATTGGAGACTTCGAGTACAAGTGCGCCATTCGTATCCTTGCTCCGGACTTCATCGCTCATTAGTGCGCAGCTACATCTGGAGCAACGCCCAGAACGCGACAGCCTACAACCAGCTAACCGCGGGCGTTTTCCTGCAGGAGCTCGCGCAAAACATGGAGCTCTTCCGCAGCGGCGGCGAGACGTTCAAGATGCGGTTCGTCGTCGGCCACGACGGCACCATGATCAGGGTCATCTCCGCGCTCGGCCTTGGCGAGACAGTGCAGCTGCGCTGGCCTTCGCTTGGGAGCGAGCTCGTCATGGAGGTGCGTCTCCGCTTACCCATTACGGGCCTACTTTGAACTGAGTGCATGGCAGGTCTGGGAGGTGGAAGGGAGCAACTTTGTGAGGGTTATCCACGACGGCGTCGTCTTCCCTGCGCTGGCGTGGACGTCGCTCGACCAGTTCATCGACCTCTTGAACTCGCAAGTGCCCAGCGACATCTTCGGGCAATGTAACTCATCATAGACTGCTGCAATCCAAACTTAGCTGCTTCAGTGATATCCCTGGCGCGGCAGTGCGAGATCGTTACGTTGGAGGGTGTGTTAGAGATGCCTATAAGCCTTGTGCTCACTAGATGAACTACTCAATGGCTGAATATTCTCCGAAAGACTGTTCACTTTGCGGCGTACCAGGGAGAACACCCTGATGACACGATGCATGAACGCTTAAAGATGTCCTTGATGGATGTGGGGTAGCCGTCATGCCATGTTCGTCGTTTTTTACATCACATGCTAGCTCGGATAAACGGCTGAGCTGATTTTGGCACGGTTGCTACAGGCGAGTGTAATGTAGCGATGCAAAGAGGCCGCTGGAGCGAGACGGCCCTCCATACTACAAACTTGAATTACGCGCTTTCAACGCCACAAATCCTTTCCAGTCGGACGCTGTCATACAGTACTAGTTAAGTTGCATTGAAAAACCTTGCGCCAGCTCAGCGGCTACGACAAACAGCTAAACAAGACAAGTCCCCACGCAATGTTGCGAATCGCGAGGATAGTTGGGCCGAACGCCCGCTCCGCTCGGACGAAGAAGCAGAGTCTTCCTTCCCACGGCCCATCCCGACCAATGTCATCTCGTGCTGTCCATGGGAAGAATAATTCGACATTCAACAACACTCTCCGCGCTAACGTGACATAGATTCCACGCTGTTTGCCCGAGCCGACGTCCTGCTATGTACACAATACTTAAGGCTCACGGTGTCAAGCTTGAGATGCAACAGAGATCACCATGGACGTGCCTCAGCTTCCCCCACCAGACGGCTCTCTGCCGACTCTCCCTCAAATCGCCGACTTCCATGCTACGCACCACCCGAACAGCCCATGGTTCCTCTTTCCATCCAAAGACTCTCCACAGGAGCTCGTGTCCGTCACCTATCACGAGATGGTACAGGCCAGCCACCGTGTTGCGCACATCATGCGACCCAACAGGGAGGGGCCGGATGGAGAAGTCATTGCCCTGCTTCTCCATACCGACACGCTCCTTTATGTTGCTGTCATTCTTGGTCTCTTACGGGCTGGTTTTGTAGTGCGTACATGGTCGGATTCCCCGGGGAGCACTATATTGACAAGAGTTTCATTACAGCCATATCCAATGTCTCCTCGCAACTCGTCCCAGGGGGTGATTCACATGCTCGAGACTGTGTCGTGTACTCGCATCCTTGGTCAAGCTTCGACTTCTGGATTAGTGCAGCAGGTTGAGAAGGAGATGCAAGCCAAGGGCATCAATCTTCGCGTCGACAATATGCCGGGTTTGCCGGAAGTGTTCCCTGGGCTGGCTGGGAAGGCCGGCTCGGCTTCCGCGGAGGCGGAGCCTTACCCTGCTTCGGACAAGCCTGTTGAACCGCGCTCTCCGTCGCTTTACATCCATTCCTCTGGCTCGACTGGCTACCCGAAATCTGTGCACTTTGCCCATCGTCGGACGGTCCAGTGGATGGCTTCCAGTAAGTTTTTCCGGTACCTAATCGTATGTATCAGCCGATAATAATGGCTTTGGTCTTGCAGATGTTTATGGCAGTAACCGCGACGTGCGCTTTGGCGCAATGGCACCGCCAACTTTTCACTCTATGGGTCTGCTCTTGCAGCTGACCTATCCTCTTGCGACGGGTCGGGAAGTCGTGATCTACACCCCGCAGGATCCTGCGCCGCCGGTTGTCCCCCATCCGCAGAATGTCTATGAAGTTGCGAAGCTCGCAAAATGTACAGCGCTGCTTGCAATGCCATCTTTCGTTGAGGTGCGTCCTCTTTCTACAGGACTCTGCTCATGGCTAAGCTGGCTTCCACAGGCATGGACGCTCTCTTTGGATACAGAGATCATCGAGTACTTGAAGACACTTACCGTGCTGGTCAGTCACACCTTGTGTCACCAGATGACCTTCCGTTGACGTTCATCAGCTCTACGGTGGTGGCCCGCTTGCCCTCTCGACTGGAGACAAACTAGTCCGGGCAGGTGTGCCGCTGCGGAATGGGTACGGTGGGACCGAGTTCGGAAACCCCGTGGTTCCATGGGACAAGATCCCGCGTACGAGTACCAGAACCGATCCTGACTGGGCGTGGTTCCGCGTCCCAGTGGACGCGCCCCACATTAAGTGGGAGAATCAGGGCGACGGGACGTATGAGCTGGTCATCTACGTGAGCTGACGCTTGCTTTGCTGCAGGTGCACAGTGCTGACTCTCTGTCGCAGGAAATCGAGGGTTATGATATCGCCATGTACAATGTGCCTGGCGAAAAGGCATATGCGACTTCTGATCTGTTTGAGCCACATCCGACGAAGCCTGATCTCTGGAAGATGTGCGTAGCTTCTTATTCAAGCGATGCAATATATTTACCCGCTTTAGTGTCGGCCGCAAGGACGATGTGATCACGTTGAGCACTGGTAAGCTTCCGCGTAACCAGCGTAGTTCCTTCGTCTCACCCCCGTCCGACAGGCGAGAAGATCGTTCCGATCCCACAAGAGGCTTATATCACGTCGAGCCCCTTCGTCGGCGGCTGCATGATGTTCGGCCGCGAGCGTGAGCAGCCAGGCATCCTCATCGAGCCCCATCCCGAGCACTCTATCGAGCCTCACGACGAAGCGGCTCTCGTCGCATTCCGCAACAAGATTTGGACGTGGATTGAAGAGGCCAACGCGCTGGTCCCTGGGTTTGCGAAGATCTTCAAGGAGATGATCATCGTTACCGACCCAGCCAAGCCGCTCCCGCGTGCGGCCAAGGGTACTATCATCCGCAAGCAGGTCTTGGCCGCTTATTCCGAGAAAATCGAGGAGCTGTAGGTAGCCTGCATTCGTTCAAGCGACAGCCGTGCTGAGTGATGCTTTAGCTATGAGACAATCTCCGCCAGCACGAATAATTATGGTATTGCGCCACCAATATCTTGGGAAGCAGCGCATTTAGAGCCTTGGCTGGTCCGCCAAGCTGCAAGTCTTGTTTCGCAAGGACAGTCCATATCTCCTGCGTCTGATATCTTCCAACAGGGCTTCGACAGGTAAGCAACGAGTGTGGAGACCCCCTCTCTGCTGCTTACGCCCTTCTTATAGCCTCAGCGCAACTTTCTTCCGCAACCGCGTCATCGGTGCCCTGCGCGCCTCCGAGAGCTCTAATGTTCGCCAGGCCGTGCAGCATATCTCCTCAAACTTCGTCTTCGAGCACCCGACTATCAAGCAGCTAGCTGCCGCGCTCGCGTCGTTCGTTGACCCGTCTGATGGCGCAAGTGCCGCGACATCGAATACACGTACGCGCGCGGGCGAGGTTCGGGCCATGATCGAGAAGCACACGAACAATCTGCCCACAGCGCGGGCGCAAGCACTCCGTCGCGGCGCGGCACCCGTCGTGCTTCTCACGGGATCGACAGGCAACATTGGCTCTCACATCCTCGCGTACCTCCTCGCGGAACCGCGCATCGCTCGTGTATACACGCTCAATCGGCCATCGGCAGACCCTCGTGGACGTTTGGAAGCCGCGTTTCGCGAGCGTGGTCTGCCGGTGGAGGAGCTCGACGATCCGCGGCTCATGTCGCTCGTGGGGGACGTCACGCGCGACAACTTTGGGTTGGATGACGCGCAATATCAGGAGGTGTGTCCTACCCAGTCCTCTTCTAGCGCGCCAGGGAGCTCATCGGTGGCGCACTGCTGCAGGTCCTCGCATCTGTGACTCATGTCGTCCACAATGCCTGGACGGTGAACTTCAACCTGGCGTTGCAGTCATTCGAGGATCAGGTCGCGGGTGTGTGTAAGCTAGTGAACATCTCTGCAGGTGCAGATCGCCCTGTGCGGCTGCTGGTGACGTCCTCCATCGGCATCGCAAACGCATGGGACCCTGCGAAGGGCCCCGTTCCCGAGCAGCCTCTGCCCGACCCCGAAATTGCCGCCAGCATCGGGTACACCGCATCGAAGTATGTGGTCGAGCATGTAAGTGCGTGTCACCTCTGCTCCAGCGTCTGTTCTGAATGCCGCGATGTCAGATCTTGAGCGCCGCGCGGGAAAGGGGCATCCCTGCCACCGCCATGCGCATGGGCCAGGCCTGCGGCCCAAGGGAGACGGGCGCATGGGGAACGACAGAGTGGATGCCGATCATGACGAAGTCGAGCGTTGCGCTGGGCTGTCTCCCTGCCATGAGTGGCGTAAGTACATCTACCTTGTACCGTCAGCGTTTATTGACGATAATGTATGTAGCCCGTCGCGTGGATCCCTCTCGACGCCGTGGGCCAGGCGTACGTCGACTGGGTCCTGGAGGAGGATGTGCTCCCTGCGCTCGTGAATGTCGTCCACCCACGCCCGACGAATTGGGACGTCGTCCTCCGCGGTCTGCGCCAAGAGCTCGGCGGCAACCTTCCCATCGTCCCTGTGCAAGAGTGGGTGTCCAAGCTGGAAGAGCATGCAATGAATCCGACGGCCGAGGACCTCGTCCGGATCGTAAGCTCGCCTTTCCCTTTAATGTGACTAGTGTCCTCACACTGTGTTCGGCCAGCCCGCGCTCAAGATCATGGACTTTTTCCATTCCCTCGTCCGCCCAGCGCAGGGTGACACAGGCGCCAATGCTAGCGGCGCAAAGGGTGTTGCCGACCTGGCGTATGACACCTCCGAACTTGTGCGCTATAGCCCAGCGATGCGTGGCATTCAGCCCATGTCGGAGGAATATGCTCGCTCGTGGGTGCGCTACTGGAGGGCGAAGGGATTTGTGGCATAATCCAGGAGGAAGGTAGAGTGACACGCGACGGTTAACGGTCAGCATCAATGATCTTCCTTGGCGCAAGGTTAGAGCAAGTCTCGACGCACAATTTATGGTCGACTGAGTGTGGGAAATACTCGTGCTAATATGTCTGTGGCAAAATTTGTGACTTTTGTAGCCGGAAGTAAGATGATAAAGTAGTGTCAGCCGCCACTGACAAAGTTTGAACGTGGTGATTACTGCTGAGTGGCACACTCGCGCAGCACTTGTGAAAATATGAGCCATCAGCCTATGCTTGATCATGGAAGAGAGATTCGGTGTCTAACGTCTATGGCCTATACATGCAAAAACTCCCTGGCCACTTGAGGACAAGGGAAGTAAGATACTGATCACACGCGGAAACTCGGAGACACGAGAGAAATTTGGAACTTTTTTTGTCACAGAAAATATGCCAAAACAGCTTGAAAAAATAAGGAAATGTCGTATTTTTTTCCCTCGGTATCCGGCAGCCCGGCAACTCGGCAATCCGGCAGCCGAGCCGATTGTCCGCCAGGCCATTTATCAAAGCGCCCGGGGACGGCGGTACCCGGACGATAATCGGCTCGGCTGCCAAATTGCCGAGTTGCCGGACTGCCGGATGCCGAGCGAAAAATACAACATTTTCTTACTTATTTTTCCAAGCTGTTTTGGCATATTTTTTGCGATAAAAAGTTCCAAATTTCTCTCGTGAGAGCTTGCTTTACTATATAACTGCCTTCGCGAGACCCGGCAGAACAGCTGCGAAGGGAGAAGTTGCTCTTGTATGTTAAGCTCATGCCTATAGACTTGCTCGGGCCCCAAAAGAAAAATTACTTGTGCTGTCCTGGATGTGGTCTCGTGAAGGTGGAAGCCTTCAGCGCTTCAGCTTCAGCAGCCAGCTTCGGTTACTATGATGGCACCCTCGTTTATTAGTGTTCCCTGCTTTATTAATTTGCTTTTGCTACTTCAATCTGCCTCCGGAGGTGCTGGGAATATTTTTTAAGATAGCTCTGTATTCATGCTATAATATGATACCCATATCATGACATATATAAGGTGAAAGACGGTATGGTATTTTTGTAGATGCTCAGAAGCAGTCTAAAACTGGCTGAAACATGCTACTGATGGCTAGATCCAACCAGATCTCGCTCACCAAATATTCTTGCGACTACATTTATGAACTTGTGCACTTGCACTGAGCCTGGTAGGCTAATATATTTTGTTTTAAAAGTGCTAGGTACATGCACAGAGAAGGAACAGTTGTGGAGCGTTACAATGAACGGGCAAGGTG